ACTCAAATATTCAAAAAATCAGCTACACAGTGACCCCAATTGAGAACAATATAGCTACAGAAACAGATTCTCAAAGATCAAGAAGTGAAATTTAGGCACAATTCCAGAAAAAGAATGAGCCTTTTTGAAACAAGAAAGAGATTCAAAACCTGGCCACATAGGACTCATCTCAGAGAACCATCCAGGAATAACAGAGGACATACAAGCAGGCTCCTTTATATCTCCTCCACCGTTCTCTGTTTCCATGGCGGCGCCGTTACCTTGGTCTTCTTCTCTTGGTCTCTTCACGGGCAAATCAGTAGCTGAAACTTCTTGTGTTGACGACATGGATGCTCTGTTTGAAGAAGCGAGAGAGAGGGAGTGAGAGACTAGGGTTTTAGTGTGTGTGTGTCTTCTCTCTGTGTGGGCTTTAGCTCATGTGAGAGTTGTTGTTTGATGCGGAGATGATGATATAAGAGAATAGGCCAAACAAATATCTGCCGTACGATTCGACTGTTATAAAATCATTTTCATAAATATATATTTTTATTTTCTTATTTCACTACGTGAATAAGGAAATTTTAATTATTTTGTGATCATCACTCGGAATAATTGAAATCAATCATGACAGCTAATTTTTTTCCTTTTTTTTTTCTTTTTGGTTCTTTTGCTTTTCTTAAGCCTCTCCAATGAATGCATCGTTTCGTTTTGAACTTTTGATAAACGTCTATAGATGTATTGTTTTAATTTTTTAGATTGTGTTTAGTGTATATACGTTTTCGAAAACGTAAAAACGCACAAATTGCAAACGCAAAATTAACGTTTAAATTAGGAGATGGTGCGATTTCTTTTAAACGCGGTCTCACACACACACACGTGTGGAATATGTGTGTCAGTGAGAGTACCAAGGAAAAGAGTGTCAACTTGTAAAGTACTCATTTCGAGAAATGTAAAAGTCACTTTTTGGTTTGTTGGGAGGAGAGAAATGTTTGTTCTATTGCATTAGAATTCGAATCTTTGCATGTAGAAAAACTGAAAAATTCAAAGATAGTTATTGTTCATTACATAAACACATTAAATTATAACAAAATTTCCCTGAAGAACACAAAACAATTCTGACCAAAGAGCAAAACGTTTCGTCGTATAAGTAACTTACTCCAGTGAGCTATGCTAGGATCGATTTTGTCGATGGTAATATCTTGAACGAAGTCGATATATGTCTGAGTTTTGTTTTTATACCACAGTATTAGTACTGACCCAAACAAAGTCTAACTGAACATGAAATCAAATGTCGTCACATATCGAAATTTGGTTTTATATATCAACAACTATAGTGTTTGTATTTCGGGTTTTTGGTACCAACTTTATTCGAATATACAATATTATTGTGGAAAAGTTGAAAAAAAAAAGAGAGAGCATATTACAGACTTTGTGTGTGTGTGTGTGTGTGCGCGCGCGCGCTAAAAGAGCATAATATATATTTGGTATCGAAGAGATTCGACGAAAAAGCACAGGCTGAGAGAAAAGATAAGTGTTCTTCTACATATGGCTTTAAATTAGTTTAAACCATTTCTTTTAACGTATAGACCTTGCTTAAGGTTATGTTTGTTGAAGGGCTCGATGTAATATGAAACTTTCCTAGTGTTGTTGTTTAATTTGACATGTTACTTACAATTGATATGATCGATAACTTTGATTGAAAAGAGTAGTACGTAAGTTGAACTATGACATTTTCTTATAAATCGTTAAGAAATAGGCAATATATTTATACATAAAAAAACTATGTAAAATTGTGTAATAAGAATTTCCAAATAATATGTTTCCTTATTGTTTTTCATGCACATTTACATTCCTTCCTTTGTACATTACATATTTACATATGACTTACCAATTAACGATTTAGAAAACATGTATCTATGCATTATATTGAGTGCTCTTCTCATCAAAATCTACAAGATATTTGAATTGGAGATTGGTTCTAACATTTCTCAACACCCATTTGGTTGCAGTTTTCACTATTCAGTATTATACACCAGCAAATCAGTTTATGATATTTTTCTATTTTGTTGATGAAAGTTCTCAATTGGTGATCAATCATTATAGGTTCACATTGGCGACTAGGTAACCATACCTAAGATAAATTTTTATAGGCATTTTACTTAAAAAATATATAAAAATTATGGGCTTTTTACTTTTATAAAATCAAAATTTTGGGCTCCTTATTAAATTTATACCAAGATTTTAATTTCTTGGCCTCTTATTATATTTACACTAAATGTAAAAACTATTTTGGCCCATTTATTTGCACTAAAAAGTAAAAAACCTTTTCTACATTTTTTTCTCATAAAAAATTAACATCTATAATAAAGATGAAACTTTGGATTTTTTTTCTCATGAAAAATTAACATTTATAGTAAAGATGAAACTTTGATCCGACAGCACTTTTTCTCAATCATACTTGAGTCTAAGATAATGTTCATACAATAAAATGGACGGGTACATAGGTTAGGAGATTTAGTTTTATTTATTGAGTGTTAGTTAATCTCTTACACATCCAAAAGTTGTTAGAAGACTGTTTTTGCTTCTTGAGATATAAGTTTAGAGCAAGACATCAAACAAACACATGTCTTTCAGTGAGTTGAAGAAGCCAAAGCTTTAGAACTCTGAATAGAAAAGGATATGTTACTGAGTTGTATCCTCAAGAATAACTTATATTTTTCCATTAGATATGCAAAATCTCAATAACAATCAAAGTAGAAATGTTATATGAACGTAATCTAATTGCCTCTTTTTAAAAGTACACTTACATAAATTGACTAATGTAAGTAGTAGGAGAGGAGTATAGACTAATGCGAAGACTTTATTAATCGGACGCCTATACCAATTTATGCATAGGCTAGTACAATACATAGGTTCTGGTCATGAAAACGTATTGCAAGTTGCAACTAATTTTTATATACATAAATATATAGTATACTAGTTGTTGACCCGCGCTGCGCGCGGGAGTTTTATAATTTTGTTTTTTTTAATATTTTAAAATTTATATTTTGATTTTTCTTTGTTTTTTATTTATTTTTTTTGTTTTTACTCTTGTTTTTGTATTAATTTAGTATATGAAATGTTTATTTTTATTTGTTTAACTCTGATTTAGGTCAAATAGTAGCTGTTAGAACCTTACATTTTAAAAGCCTTCAATTCTTGTAGGCCAAATTATTCTGGTGAATCCACTTATTTATTTATCCAAGTAGTTTCATTTTACCTTTTAGTTTTTTTTTCCTACTTCTTATGCCAAAAATCAATTGTGTTCTCGTTTGATGTGGCTTCAGATGACATCAATTTAGTGGTATATCTATTTGTATAGTATAAATGTCCTTGTTTTGTATTTTGTTTTGTACTTTGTTTTGTATTTAGCTCCATTAATCAAAAAATTGATCATTACTTTATAAATAGATACTTGTTTTATTTATTTTGGACATAAATGTTTTTTATTATATTATTTATTTTCTTAAAACCACTATTGAATATAAAAATTAAATAAAAGCTAAGTTATGAGCTAGAAAATAAATTAAAAACTAAAGTGTTGTAATTCTAAATCAATTTAAAAATTTAGATGAATGATGATGTGGCAGCTGATGTGGAAGATGATGTGGCATAAGGAGAAGAGAGAAAAAATTAACTTTATATAGAGACTAGTTGTTGACCGCGCTGCACGCGGGAGGTTTATAAAATTTTTCTTTTATTTTTAGTTATATTATAATTTTTCGTTGATTTTTTTTTTGTTTTGCATTGTTTGTTTTGTTGGCTTTTTACAGTTATTATTTTTTGTTATTCTATTTTCCATATTGGTTATTGTTTTTAGTTTTATAGTAATTTAGTATTTGAAATGTTTATCATCATTTGGTATTCGTCAGAGGTCGATGGAAAGTTTATGCGGCATTCTCTCTTTTTACTAAGTATGTGATTAGAGATATAAAGTTTTTGGTGTCTGGGTTTGATACATTCTAGGATCTGGCTTGTTTCCCGTTTTTTCCTACGTTCGAATCCGTGTATTCCGGCCAATGATTTTGAAATTGGTATCGTTGTTGCAGATGTGTCGCTCTTGTAAACGATGATTCTAGAGAATGTTTTCCATGTTCCATTTAATCATCCTGTTCCATTTAATCATCCAGTTCCAAACTCGTATATCCCATGTTTTTCTGATTTTTTTAACTGGTTTGATTGTTATGTGTTGGACCTCAGGCCCATGCTTATTTAGATTTTGTATTTTGATCGTTGTTGAAGTGTTGGACCTCAAGTCCATATTCTTTTGGATTTAATAAAAAGAAAAATGATGATGTGGTGGATGATGTGGCGCTGATGTGGCGAAAGGAGAAGAGAGGAAAGGTAACTTTATATATATAGATTATCTAAATTATTATTTTCTATATATCCATCTAATAAAATTTCTCTTTTTATAGCTTAATTTCTTTTCACTATATCTTTATTCATTTAAAATGATTTTTTATATTTATTAATTTAAACAAAATTAACAAACAAAGATTAAAATTATTTATTAGAAAATTAGAAATATATAGTTTAAATTTGACTTTCATGTAAGTTTTTTCCTAACTTGGATATTGTAAATGGAAAGACATCTTACATGTGCATGTGATACCAAATTTATCATTAATATAACATATCGGTATTCACGCCTCTTAAATGATTTAATATATTAATTGAATTACTAATTATCTTCTAAACGAGAGTGTTATCACTTTATACTCAATCAAGTGGCTACACGTAGGGGTGGAACGGATACGAAATCTGAAATTCAATCAAAACTAAATCTAGTGAGCCATCAAGGAAAGAAAAACCCTCATAGGTAAAAGCACCTTTCATTTCTTATATAAACAGCTCTAGCCAACCAGACAAAACACACAACAAAGATAAACATGAAAAGAAGAACAAAGTATTCGTTTATAGTAGATAAATCAGTAAGGAGAGCGACGTTTAATAAACGAAAACGAGGGTTCCAGAAGAAAATGTCCGAGCTCTCAACTCTCTGTGGCATCAAAACGTGTGGGGTTATCTACAGTCCGTATAACCCAGAACCTGAGGCTTGGCCATCAAGAGAAGGGGCTGAGAGAGTGATCTCGGAGTTTCTGGAGGTTCCGATAGAAAAGCGGAGGATGGTGACTCAAGAAGCATTGTTGTGTGAGAGGATCGCCAGAGAGCAAAGGCAATTACAAAAATTGCGTACTGAGAATCGCGATTCTGAGATGCAGAATATTATGTTTGGCTTTCTCAGAAGAGAGATTGATGTGCCTAACCTCGGTGAATTGAATATCCCAGATTTGATTTCTTTTATTGATAAGTATATCAATAAACTTACTTGCAGGGCCAAGCAACTTAGGGAGAATGGTGAATCTTCTTCGTCTTTACCTCTTTCACGTCCTCCTGTTGCTCCAAATTCAGTTGTTATCCCAGTCGAAGATAATGATCATAAGAATCATAATCAGCAGAATTTGATTCAACGCCAAAATGATTTTCGTCAAGTTCCACAAAAAATTCATAAATTTAATATGAATATGAATGTGAACTTGGATTTGAGTTTGAATTTAAATTCGAATTCGAACCGAAGAATGATTTTGGATTTGAATCAAATTCCTAATGCGGAAGAGCATGAAGACATTCCTTCCATGGAGGGGAGCAACCCACCAACCTAAAATTGATATTCTCATCTACCCCTGTTGATGTTTGCGCTCGGAAGAATCTTGAGTCCTAAGGGGAGTTATTTTGTTTTGTGGCTGAAGTATTGAATGGTTTGTATTTGTGTTTTCGTCATCTTGAAGACTTTCTATGTAATGTCTTTTTATTTTCGTTGTTGTAATAAAAAAAGGTTTTTGCCTTTCAGTACTTTGTTATGGTTATTTTGATTATTTGGTAATTTATTCAAGTAGTAAATTTATTTAGAGAAATTTAGTCATATTGAAAACAAGTAGAAGTAATCAATAGTTTCAATAGTTATTCCCCAAAATAAAATAAAAATTAGGTTCAATAGTTATAAAATACTTGTGTGGAATCACGAACTACCCTAATACCAATTTACATTCACTGGGTAGATTTGGTTCATTAGTTCAATATCGAAACAAAAAAAAACATATAAAGAACAATATTTTAAAGAGTTTGGCTACGGGTGTGATTACTACATTAATGTAATATCATCAAACCATGAATAACACATAATACTAAGAACAACTTGTTATTCCAATTTTATTTTCTTGCCTCTTCCTTAGTTATTATAGCTCTAATTCCATGAGATTTCTCATATGTGTACTCATTCGACCAAGAGAGCAAACTAGGTTTCACACAACTCTCTTGTCTCTACAACCAAGCTCCACTTTGAGACACAGACACATGATGATGCATCAATCTCTTCGTATCTCACATGCCCTTCTCCCTCATGTACTCTTTAATGGGCCTCTATACACATCAATCATGAACGCCACAACCCAACAATGCTAAATTCGTTCTCATATATTATTTAAATGTCATACCATAACAAATAGACCTATGAGGCTATGACCATTGTGAATAAATTAGATATATCAAGGCATTAATTAAACCAGTTTATATTTGTTAGACTGAAGCAGGTTTGTGTTATATGATCCATGTCCAAAGCTTATTCTAGTCCAAAGAAAGAGCTTGTTTGGTTGAAATTCTCGTACATATATCATCTTCCTCAACATATTTTTTAGCCAGCAAAGAAACTCTTTAAAACCGTAGCTGGAACAGAGAGAACGGTACAACTCCAAAGATCTCCTCTACCTTTAGTACTCTTCCCCCATAAACCGGCCTAGCTCTGGCCATAATCCACCAAATGATAATGAGAAATAAGCTATTAATCGGAAAGCAACTCTTGAAGCTCCTCTTGAAGCAATACGTGAGGTCGGAGAACAAATGTGGAACGTACGTCAAGGACAAGACGAGTAAGCAATAATGGATGAAAACGTTGTTGATCCCTTGGAGGAAAACTTCGACACACTCGTTGGAGCACACACACCAATCAAGTTGGTGATATCATCAGATTCTTCATTTGCTGAATTATTATCAACCAGGATGATTTATTTTAATCTTTTCGACAGTACCGGCCCTGTTCTTGATCAGTGACTCGTATGATTCTTGTGAGTCAATTATGAAAGCTTCTACACACCTTGTCATATTGATCTCTTAATTAATCATATGGGGGTATCAGTCTCCCTTGTGCAAAAAATGTTTTGTAATTACATTTAAATTACTAAAATTTGGTAATAAAGATAGAATCATGAATAGTAAGGAATGATAAAAATTTGAGAAACCTTGCAGAAGTAAAAGACTGAACTGTCACACAAAATAAAGGTATAATTAAATCTGAGACTTGAGTGTTGTAATAAGTGGGAAAAAAAACCAGTCATAGATTGTTACAAAGACGTGAGAGTCTCGACGTGATTAGGGAAACTAAAGAGCGCACGCAGACGTTTGTTTCCAAGTCCATTCTTAAACCTAAACTCCTCATCCGCGACCCCTTTAAACTCGACCCTTCTCAAGCTTGATCTCCCCGGATCAAAATATAAAATAACAAACGACTTAAGAAACGTGGATTGTACAAAAATAAACTCACCATCATCATTGACACCATAGAGTTTGTAAATCTTTTTCAAACTCCGAGAAAAAGGTGTAACAAAGTGTTGATAAGACCATTGATGTTGCTCTGCATCCTTCAAAATCCACAATGTAATACCATCATCGTTTCCCATGAGATTATCACTATCAAGACAAGCTAACCTGCCTTTATAAGATATCAGCGTAATCTTATCATATCGAACTTTTCAGTTCTGACATCAAAACTCATTACTATGTAACTTTCCGACTCATCTTCAAAATAGGAGGCTACATAATACAGAACACCGTTGATGCATCTCCCAGTACACTTGTAGAAAGCTTGATGCTTGTAACTGGTTTTAACCGTTCTCCATGTTTTTTCAGCTGATCCCAATGTTAAAACCCGACACTCGTCAGAAGCATTGTAACACGGCATGCACAAAACTTTGTGTTTACCCTCGATTGGATCATATCCTAGAAAGACTATTACACTATAGATGGACTCCTCTATGGGTTTGGTTAAGGTTAAGAACTGTTTCGTGCTAGGGTTCCAAATCACGGGTTTTGTTGATTCTCGAAAGTAGATCAAGCCGTGGACCGACTCGGTGATCGAGAAGTTGCAGCCTGTGGGATATTTCATATGGTAACTATCCACTTTATGAGAATACGAACGAGTCTCGTTCGAATTCTTACTGTGCTGTGGAAACGAGAAAACGAACACTCTGTCCCTTTTTGTGAAAAACATTAGAAGACTTGGCCGTGTTGAAGAGCGAGTTTCAAACCTATCGGTGAAGTAACCGTCGGTGATGATTGATGACCAGAGCTTCGAGACGTAACGAGATTTCACAATAGATTCCGCAGGTAGCTTTAAGAGTATCTCTCTTGTTAGCTCGATGGGTAAAGACGATGATGATGTTGATCTTGACATCGATAGAGATTCTTCTTAGTCTATCTTTGGAAAAAAGACCTAGCTTTTATTTTTCTTTGTGTTACTTCTTATCTAAGATTCGTTCCTCTATATATACTATAGTGTATGGATTTTTTCTTATACGCTTCTTCGGTTTTTAAAAACCTAAAGAGAGTACCGGTTATTAGCCGCCGGTTAACTACTTAATTTTTGGCGATTGGTAAACTATTAAAACCATAATCACATATTTCTTATACATCATAACTCAAGTGTGATATTTCTCGGCAACACCTCTCAGAGACCACATGTTATTTTTTTTTATTTTTTTTATGTTCTTGGTTACTGAAGGTATTAGCTTAGGGCATCCTTAACTGCTTTGGTTCTATGTCATCTGATTCTACCTAAAGCTTGCATCTCTGTCTTAGAATGACACAAAGTATCATTATCATATGATATACAATGCAACTTGATAATGGTGATGCACATGCACCACTACACAACTTGTGGAGATTCACATAGTATACAATAATGTTTTATAAGTGCACGTTTTAGGGTCATTGCCAAAAAAAAAAAGCCTAGTAGTAAATAAAAATACACTCCAAAATCCAAAGTAATGCGTCTACGCTACACCTATCTATCCGCAGCCAACTAGTATTATTGCTTGGCTAACAAAACGACACCGTTGAAGTAATTACACACAGAGACAAAAACACACCGTTTTAACCACAAAGTCCCATTAGTCAACAAATTTCTCAAAATTCCCCAAAACTGGAAAAAAAAACTATCCAAATTCAAATGACCACCGCCGATAAATCCGCCGGAATCGTAACTGACTCGGAACCAGGACCGGAGGCTTCTCTTCTCCCCAAACAACACGAAGGATCTACCGGAAAAGAACCTTCTGATTCTTTCCACTTCGCTTACATCATCTACTTCACGCTTGGTGTTGGCTTTCTTCTTCCATGGAACGCTTTCATCACCGCCGTCGATTACTTCTCTTACCTCTACCCTTCCACCGCCGTTGATCGGATCTTCGCTGTTATCTATATGCTCGTCGGCCTTGTCTGTCTCTCCGTTATCGTTGTTTTCTATGCGCATAAGAGCCTCGCTAGCTTCAGAATCAATCTCGGTCTATTACTTTTCGTGATCGCCTTGCTTGTGGTTCCTGTTTTGGATCTGGTTTATGTTAAAGGTCAGGTTGGTTTATACACCGGATTCGATATTACTTCCGGCGCCGTTGCGTTATCCGGTCTCGGTGATGCACTTATGCAGGGAGGTCTCATCGGCGTCGCCGGTGAAATGCCTCCGAGGTATATGCAAGCTGTTGTCGCCGGAACTGCTGGCTCCGGTAAATTTCTAATGCTTGATTTTGGAAAAACACAAATGTAGAATGATTTGGTTGCTCTGGTTTAGATTAACTTAGATGGTTTTTGGTAATTTTGGATGTGTAGGTGTTCTTGTTTCACTATTGAGAATCTTGACTAAAGCTGTATATCCTCAAGATCCTGATGGGTTGAGAAAAAGTGCGAATCTGTATTTCGCTGTGGGAATTGTTGTTATGGTGATATGTGCTGTCTTGTACAACATAGTGCATAAACTTCCGGTGATGAAGTTCCATGAAGAGTGGAAGAATGAAAGACTAATCAAAGAGAAGAGTGAAGAGAAAGGTTCTTTAACAGGAAATGTGTGGAGAAAAACACTCTGGGATATCGTGATGAAAGTTAAGTCTCATGGTTTTGGGATCATTCTTCTATACATGGTGACGTTGTCGATATTCCCCGGCTACATTACCGAGGATGTTCATTCGGAGCTTCTTAAAGACTGGTACCCTGTGCTGCTCATTGCAGCTTACAATGTGTTTGACTTGGTTGGCAAGAGTATGACCGCTGTTTTCATGCTATTGGATGAGAAAATCGCAGTCGGTGGTTGCATCGCCAGGCTCTTGTTTTACCCTCTCTTCTGGGGTTGCTTACATGGTCCGATGTTTCTCAGGACTGAGATTCCTGTAACTATACTGACATGCTTATTGGGACTCACCAACGGGTACTTGACAAGCGTATTGATTATTCTGGCTCCAAAATCGGTTCCACTGCGACACGCAGAGACCGCAGGTATCGTCACTGTGATGTTCTTGGTTATTGGTTTGGCCGCTGGGTCTGTCATTGCTTGGTTCTGGGTCATCTGATTCTACCAAAGCCTGTTATTTGTACTTGTTGTATTCTTTGAGCGTTTCCACAAACTCAGCTTCATTAATCTGTGAATTATTCCTTTTACTTCAGTAATATGTGAAAATTCTTTTTTTACACAAAGAACACAAAAGACTTGTAAGCTGCAAAAGGCTACAACGTGGATTCAATGTATTCATTAAAAGTAAATGTGTTTCAAGGATTCTTCAATTTAATTCTAAGCTTTCTAGTGATCTTTGATGCTTTTGGATGGCCTGCACGTCTCTTGTTGTTGTTGCTATCAGACTGTTCGACTTCTATCCAATTTAGAACACTGAGAATCACAGATTGCGGAACTTTCTTAACGTCTGCATCATCAGGACCTCTAGATTTCTTCATACCTTTCTCCAGAGCCATTTCGATGAACTCCATGAACCAGTTTGCAGCTTCGTCCTCAATCTCCTTTGCTAACCTTATCGTGTTGCCTATCCCGCCACAAGCTGGGTTCTTGTTCTCATCATTTGATCTCAGTGTCCCTTCACTCTGCTGCTTCAGGATAATCCGCCTCTTTGATCTCCTTTTCTCCTGATCGATTGAATTATACGCGATTTCATGCAGGATTGAAGGAGACTCTTCTTCTCTTGGTTTCTGATTTTCGTTTCTTGAGTTTATGTTCCGTGACTTGTTCTCAGCATCCAAAGCAGCTGCTTCAATGGATGTTATTTCAGTTACAGTTTGTGCCATCTCCTTGTGAAACTGCATGAATTTCTCAAAGCACATCGCAGGGCATTCAGCTTTGGCTGATTTGCTCAGACTAGCAAACGTCCTGTCCCAGAAAAAAAGCACATCAACACATAACATTTCCAACTCAAAATCCGATTAAAAAGCATACACAAAGAACGATTTAGCCAATTGTTTATATACTTGAGATGACGGACAACAGTTTCCGTAGCTGTAGCCTCGCGCAATGCCTGAAGCGCAATCTTCTGAGCTGTCTCCCGAAGCTGAGTTGCTTCCTATCAAACAAAGCAACACCAAAGAGGATTTGAGTAACAATTGAACTTCAAGAAAGATGTAAGTATCAATCAAATTGATGAACCACAAGAACACAAATCAACCTTGCTGAGTGTGTTGAGCCTTCCTGGCAAATTGGTGTCTTTCTCAGATTTTATCATCTTAGTTTCCTGTCTTAAGGAAGTCGACCTCTTCGAAGTTGACAAGGGAACAACATCTTCTTGAACCTCTGCAATCAAAGAAACAAGCTCCTGTATGATCAACCACTATATGATCAATAAAATGTTAAAAGCAAGGAATCACAAAATCCAATACCTAGAGAGAATTTGAAAGGACTAAGAAGAGAAGCTGATGTATTATTCCTCTTGCCCTCTCTATCACAGACACTTTTACTTCTCGGAAACTTGGAAGACGACGGTACAGCACAACTCTTCCTCAGCATCGCCGTCGCCGGGCTCTCTCCTTCCATTTTCCCCAAAACCCCTCCACCAAAAGAGCATCTCACTCCGCGTGCTCTTCTTACCGGAGACGCAGCGAATCTAGCTGAAATAGACCTCTTCGCCGGCGTGGACTGTTCTAAGTCCAATAGCATTGGTTTCACTACAAACGGTGACAAAACATCGATGTTTTGTCCCCAAGACCCTCTTCTCGGCTTCGATACAGTCACTTGTTCGGATTTTCCTTTCAAACCCATCAACGGCTCCGGCGTCCCGAGTAATGGGTGCCGACCAGGGATTGGCTTTGCACCTTTGATGACAGGAACAGGGGATCCGGGTTCGAGCCTATCAACATATATAAACTGACCAAGCTGCATCTTGTTGCTTAAAATGACATCATCTTGGTCCGAGGGAAGAGTGACATAGATCGAGTGAGAGGAATCAGAGACTTTGATAAGAAACCCTTGGTTTGGCTCCAGAGACTTCTCGTCAAGATCGATTGGGACGATATCTGTGACTTGTAAGATAGAGCTCCGATGCTCTCTGGTTGGTTTGATTCCTGTTTTCATACCGTCGATTAGCTTTTGAAGGATTCCAGGTGCTAAAGCTGCCATTTTTCTGATCAAGAACGAGCAATTCAGAAATTTAAAGAACTGGGTATTTGGTTGAAGAAGAGACTTATCACTTTGAGGTGAGAAGAAGAAGATGATCTTAAGGATTTGCAGTTTCTATGGAGGCAACGGTTAGTAGTAGAAGAAGAAGGGAAAGATAAAAAAAGCAAACTTTTTGAATCATGGCCTTTCGTTTTTGAGACGTTGCAACGGTCGAAATTGCTGGTAGATCTGTGTCTTAATTATCTAATATAACTCCGTGATCATTTGGTTTTACATACTTTTGCTGATTGTGTACCAGCCATTGAATGCAAAGCTGAGTTTGGTCTTTGATTGACTTGGGGAATTTTGAGGAACCATTCATATGCTTATTGTTGTACTTGGTGGTTGACAGTGAATAGTTGGTGTAACAGATAAACTAGTATGATTGGGACTACAAAATTACAAGAAAGTCGAACTGTTTCATACACTTTTTGGTCGCTATAACAATATCTTTATTGGTTTTGGTAAGGGAACACGAACAACTTCATCAAAATGACTTAGTTTATTTCCAGGCAGAAATGCTAAGATAATGAAATCATCAATTGAAAATGACAATTGTATAAACTAAAAAGAACAAAGTAGGCCTTAGAGGAAAACAAAGGTCTGTCTTTCTTTTGGTACTTCTGATATCTTCAACCTCTCAGAAAAAACTGCAAAATGCCGCGATGAAATGAAACAAGTTTCTTTTGAATCTGACTAGCCATCTGGCACCTGAAATCACACAATACTTGCAGGCCATGCTATAGTGTTGAAGCAAATCCTGTAAATATCAAATGCATACTTTGATTAGAGCCATTAGACACTGTGCAAATAGACCAACACAGCACAACTCTGGAACAATCTAATCCACTGGTTTTTCGTCAATGTGAATCAATACAACATTTTACTACCGTAAGGTTCCATTTGCTTTGTCTGGAAAGACAGACACTGATAGGACCTCAGAATGGAACAATAGTATGACATATATGACAATGAATTCAAACTCAATTCCTTCTGCAAGTTTTTTAGTGGTAAAACATGCAACGAAAAAGAATGTTGTTGTACAAAGCTGATCAATTGCTATACTTGTATTAGCATGTCAAGCAGATCATTTATGAACAAGATCCTATTTACCAATTGGACTACATTTACTCCTTCTCTGGAAACAAAATTACAGAATCAGCTTTAATTCTAAACATACAACACCACTAGTGATTCAATTTCCCTAAATTTCAATCATGAGCATCAATGAAACGAGACTAAAAAAGAGCTGTAAATCAAATTCACTCGCAAAGAAAGATTATAAGAACACAAGCCAAATACCTTCAGATAAGCAACTCCAATTTTGATTGCTCAGAGATAGCAACGAAGTGAGCAAAGCTGAAGCAGTAACACTATGTAAAGGTATAAGTGAAACCCCTGCACTCAGTTCCACAGGGACCCTGCTCAACACAAACCCCAATCATACCATTTTAGAGATAAACCCTAATTCTTCATCATAGCAGCAGATTCATTGAAACTAGATCTAAACTACCAAAGGCATAAGGTGTTTATACACTCATTTCTACGATTTGAGAGCTTAACCTGGAAAATGTCAGTCTACGAAGTGAGGGTCGAGATGAGGAAGATGATCCATTCCCGAAAGCAATTCCGGCGGATTTTCCGATCTTAGAACTAGAAGACGCCGCTGATGAACGACCGAAGAGTATCTTCGCGGAGGATGACGATACCTGAAGAGCTCTTCTCATGCCGTTGGCCGCCATGTTTACTCTTCTTCTCTCAAACTCTTCGGTGACATTTCTGTGATTTACGAATGTGGGGTTTTAATTCGGGTCGGGTCGGATCTTAATGATACGGATCCAATACGGCCCATAAATATTAAGAACTGGGCCGATAACCGGGAATCAAATCAATACCGGTTATCATCTCTGGCTCTCTCCGCCGCCTCTTGTCAGCTTCTCTTATTACTACAACTCAGTTCTCACCTCTCCTTGTCCATTTACGTTACGAAGATGAAGAAGATACACTTGAGAAACCTCGAGACTAACGAAACCATAACTTTCGAGTTTTCCGATGAGTGCACTCTCCATGATCTCCAGCTAAAGATCAAAGAACCGTCTCCTTCCTCTGTTCGTTTATCGATTCATCTCAACGACGAGCTCCTCGAGGTTTCGTCTCAGGCTACGCTCCAATCACTCGGCGTGAAGTCCGGTGATATCATCTCTTACTCTCTCGATTCCTCTGACTGTAGTGCTGTTGTTCCGAAATCGGAAACGAATCATCAGGCGACTGAAGCGGCAGAGTCCGGTTCTGTTCCGAGAAGCCAGAATGAAGCAGAGGCAGAAGAGCTTGGCGGCATGAATCTCTCCGGTTTAAAAAGGTTAAGCGAACCTCTCTTCTTGAAAAAGATATTGATGGAGAAATGTGGTGACACTTGGGAATTGACAACTGTGGTTATGACTGTTCATGCTGTTATGTTAGAATCTGGATTTGTGTTGTTCGGTCCTGATTTAGGTTTGCCTTTTAGCTTTGCGGATGTGAATGAAGTCTCGTTAAAGTATACTCTGCCATCTTCGGTTATTGCTAGTGGAAGTGAAGTAGTCATCACTCTGAAGTTTGAGAATTTAGGTGATGTTGAAGTTTATGGATATCTTAATGAGGAGATGTTGGTGGATAAGGTGTCCGTTAATAAAAGTAGCTATATGCATGCTGCTGATTTGCTTATGGAAACTTCGGAATCCGACAATGAAGATACTTTGCGCGTCCACCACCGTGAGGTTCGAGTGTGGTGGAGAAGGATAAAAGATTGTATTGTCACGCCTCTCTTGGTTGATCTCTGCTACAAACTTGGCTTAGAACTTCCACCTTGCTTTGTGATCCTACCTCGAGAGCTAAAACACAAGATACTAGAGCAGCTTCACGGTGTGGACATTGCGGCATTGGCCTGTGTTTCTACTGAACTGCGAGAACTGACTTCATCAGACAATGAATTGTGGAAGCAGAAATGTTTGGAAGTGTGTAAAGATCTTGTGAGAGGAGGCAATGATGAGGTTAACTGGAAGGAGAGGTTTGCTGGTTATTGGAGGCAACATGGAAAATTTTCTATGATAAGAGCCAGGGCCATTGAAAGTTGTTTTCAGATAACAAGGATTTTTGGAAGCTTCGGTCGTGGACGAGGATACTACTAAAAGGCTGAGAGATAAAGAAAGAGTCCCTGACTGAATCAGGTGGAGATGTGAATGTTGTTTGTATTCAAATCTTGAAAATATGCAATTTTAAAATTTTAGGATTGTGTAAAGAGCATTTCAAACTTATATTATACTTCTTCTTCTTCTTCTTCTTCTTCTTCTTCTTCTTCTTCTAGTGCTCAAGAATGAGATTGTTTGTATCGGATTTTGCAGAGAGAGTATACTGAAACTGATGAGTTGTTGAAGTTCACATGGAATTGGCATTTAGTCTTTGATTGTTTCTCAACAAACAAGAACCAGATAATTAACACATTTAGTAGTAGGAAGGATCCAAATTGAATGAAGTGAGAAGTCTGCAAAGGACGAAAGCACAGAAAACTCTATTGAAGTTGATTTGATCTCACAACACTTAAATGCCTTTGTCATAAAACAGCATCCCTCTTTCCAATAATGGATTTGGACTAAGTTAGTTGAGAGATAGGTAAAGAAACAAACTTCAATGGGGAGAGAGAGAGAGAGAGGGATGAGTTGGGTCTTTCTGATCACACGCAGAGGTCAAACTCCATAACTCTCTCTAGCTCTCTGTTTACATTGTCATAGCATCTTTGACAAAAACCGTGAAACTTGTAAATACGTATCACATTAACCAAACAAGCTACGACGTTGTTGTGTTCTTTGTGATTTCCATTACAAAACATCGCTTCTGGTTCTGAGTTTCACAACACCTCACTGGCCTCTCGTTCAATACGTACGATGATGACAGAGATCATATTCACTTTTTTTTTTTTTTTTTTTATGTTGGTAATGCAAAACCACGTGATAGATGTAAGTAAACTTCAAATAGTCCTAAATTAAAGGGAAATAAAGCAACAAACATAACATGCCAAATAGTTGAGTCAGTAATTGAAAGTGATGGATTGTTACTAGATAAATTATATGTTATGTTAGATTAGATTACAAAAAGAAGAATGATATGTTATGTTTTTAAAATATGAGTTAGGTAACATTTGTCAAAAAAATCAACGATTGTGTCCTTTAAATCATTGAACTAAAAACATGAACATATTTATGAACAGGTTGTATCAATAAAATGATTAAGAGGGAAAGATCAAAAAACCATTATTTGCGCGATAATGATGTAGGAGATTAAGTTTTGATTACACATGCTGTTTTGTCTTTTGTTCGGTATATAAATCACGTCTGATAAAGACATACATATTAAATCGAAGTAGGTCTAACTGCAAATATGATTCAATATAATAAAGTTCCCTCAAATTTATGAGTTATGATGATACATGTTTAGTTTTAGAGACAATAATAGTGAATAGTCTCTATAAAATTGAACATGTAAACAAGCTTGTTCTATATTTGGAAATGTAGACTTTTTTGGCATATCGTTTTACACACAAATTTTAAAAACAGCTATTGACAATAAGCAAAGATGGCCACACACGTATCCATTTTGATGTGTTAACGCGTATACTACTATTTATTTAACTTGTGATACTAACCGGAAGTTGCCAAAGACAAGACTCACAGTTGACTAATCCAATGTACTCACTCACTCAACACTCAAACAAAAACAAATCTCTCACAAGACACAAAGAGTCATGCGAGAAAAAATAAATAAAGTGTTACATATTGTTAATGTCGGCTCACGAAAACTCCCAACAAAATAAAAACAAACACAGAACAAAAAATCTGATATTAAAAAATGTTTCACAGGAGCCACAAGGCCAAAATATGTGCTACCCTCATTACGCATTTGTTTGTCCCATTGATAATATAAGCCAAGCTCGTGACTCTTTTCTTTTCTCTCCTCTATACATGATCTTAAGAATAATAATATTTATTATACAAAAACAAATTGGGTGGCACATATAGTCCACCTCATCTCTCTACACTTTTGTGGACATAACTCAGCACATGTATTTGTGAAAACACACCATCACTGTCCCTATCCATCTTCTTATATTATGTTATATCCATTTCAATTTTTCATAATCAACCAACCAGTCCAACCGAACCATTCATTAAACTCAGCTTTCAACAGACATTCACTAAAAATCTTTTTTTTTTTTTATTCGTACCGCCCACATATTTATTCAGTAACAAGTCCTTTACATGTTACTGAAAAAAAAAGAAAAAAAACACTTCCAAAATATAATAAGTAGAAAATTAACATTCCTCTATGTAAAAAAAAAACCCCATAATCATATAATTTTTTGATAAAGTGGATCGAACCAATGATGAATCTTCTAATCAGCGATAGCCCAGTTCATGTCGTTCTCAAATATCCAGTGACACACTTCGATCCGACCCGGTTTTGACCCGAGAGCTAAGAAAGCTCCATGGCTCGCACCCCATGATGACGTGTCCATGTGACAGATGGCGATCCCGTGGTTAATCTTCTTCTTACTATCCAACTCCAGGAGGTCAGCTTCGTACACCCGAACCTTAGGCACGGAGTGGCAGTAATACATCAGGTACGGGTACAAGCTCTGGTGACACGACACCGCTTTCGTCACCTTCCCGCCGTTGATCCCGTTGACTTTTCCGATCACGACCTTCTGCTTTGACCCTGCCACGTTCTCTGTGGTTCTCAGCACCACGCTGCGGCCAAGCACCGACGTCGCGAAGTCGATCATGTCCTCAGCCGAGCCGACGCATCGCTTCGTCTCTCCGACGCTCGGTGGTCTCTCGCACTCCGTCACCGCGTCGGTGATTATCCCTCCCATCGTCGAGTTCTCTCCGGCGTGGAAGATCCTCTTGATCTCGCCGAGTTTGGAAGTGGAGAAGGGTAGTTTCGTGATTATACTCCGGGGTAAAAACGACCTTTTCGGCATTTTATCTTTGATATCGGGCATAGGGATCACTGTGCCTTCTTTAAGCGACGCTTCCCTGAAGAATTTGCCCGGTTCGATCCACTTATTCACGGTTTTGCCATCGCCGACGGAGTTTGTTGCAGAAGAAGCGTTGTATTTGGCGAAAGCGACGCCGTTTTTGTTGTAGTCCTTGAAGGTGGAGTTGGGAGTATAGGTTTTGAAACTGATTTTGTGGTTTTCAGCTCCTTTGCCATAACCGGTGAAAGTCTCCGAACCGGGATTGAATGATTGACCGTAATTTACGAAATTGACCTTCTCGGAATTCGAATCTTTGGCGTAGGAAGAGAAGGAATCGTCGCCGACGTTGGCCTTATCTCTGTAATTCGCGAATGTGTCCACGGCGGAGTTACCGGAAGCGCCGTAGTTTTTGAAATTGTTCTGCGGCACATTCCCGTCGGTTCCGTAGCTGGTGAAGGTGTCGTTGGCGGCGTTTCCGCTCTCGCCGTAGTTTGAGAATCCGGAGCCGATTACGTTGGAGGAGGCGCCGTAAGAAGCGAACTTGTTCGGGAGCCCGTTTCCGTTTTTGCCGTAGCTCGTGAAGGATTGGCCTTCGCCGGCGTTAGCGTCGTGCGTGTAGGTTTTGAATGATTGACTTCGACCGTTTCCTCCGTCTGAATACGCCGTGAATCGACTCGTCGGGTTGTTCACGTTGTTTTGGTAGTTAGTGAACTCTCCGGCGCCGCCGGTTCCGAATGTTCCGTATGAGTTGAATCCTTCCTCGACGACGTTGCTGCTTTCTCCGTAGACGGTGAACTTATCGTCGTGTCCCGCCGCGTTACGGCTGTATCTCCGGAACGAATCGGTCACGACATTGGCGTCTTTGGAGTAGTTTTTGAACGAGTCGGCTCCTCCGGCGCGACCGCTGCCGTAGTTAGTGAAGTTCTTCTGGTCGTAAGTGGAGAACTTGACGTCGTCTTCGTGTTTCTCGAGACTCGCTCCTAAGTCAGGGAAACAGAAGAGATTGGCGGCGGAGCAGAAATCGGGAAAACGAGTCGGGAGCGAGTTGGTGGCGGCGAGTTTGGAGAAAGTGGCTGAGTCCACGGCGTTGAGTGGCGAGGCTTTGGAGATTAAAAACTCCGATCTGGGAGATACGTTACGGATCTCTTTGTTCCAGTAACGAACTAAAGATGCTTTCGGTGTGAATGGATTCTCCTCCGCCGAGAAACCGCCGCCGATTACACGTCCTCCGACGATAACAACCTACATTGCCAATAAAAATCCAAATAAATTCCAAAATAGTAACAAAAATTCGAATCAAACTATATAATAAAAACAATCAAATAGAATCATTTGAAGAGAGTGGTGGTTTGTTTACATTGAAGAGGAACAAGGAGAAGGATTGGAGAAGAAGGAACTGTTTGAGCATTTTGGTGTTGTTGTTTCTTCTCCTTCTTCTTCTTTCTGCTAAGTGAGAGAGAAGGAAGAATAAAAAAGATATGGAGAGAGCAGAGGAGATGAGATTGGTGGGCTTTGATGGGTTTTGAGAGAGTTGCTGATTTGTGTAATATATATATATATATGATAAGAGTAAGTATTGGATATATATAGAAGGCAAAAAAAAAGCTTATTATATAACAATTATGTTTTTGTACATAAACTCTAAACCCTACACAATTAAATTATAACCTTTTTTTTTTTTTTTGGATATCAACTTTTTTAATTTATTAGTTATTTATGTATAGTTGGTATAAGTCTTGTGAATTAATAAATGTTTTTAGATTTTTGATTTTTAAAAAAAAAGTTTTGAGGAAGAAATTATTAGTAAGAACAGGATAATGAAAGGGGGAAATAAATAAAAGTTTAGAAAAAGATTGGAGTGAAAATAGGGACAGCAGAAAGAGAGTGACAAGCGTAGAGTTTTCATTTTTAGAAGAAGCAGGAAAAAAAAACAAAATTGAAGTGGGACTTTTTTTTTTTTGCTGTAACCGGTTTAGTAACGCGTTTTCAAAACCGGTTACGAGTATCTAAATTTAACGGTTATTAACTTTTTTAACCGTCCAAAAAACAAAAAGAGCAATGAAAGCTGTACCTATATTTCGGAGATGTTCTTGAGTTATATGATAATCATATAGAGAAGAAGACAAATAAAATAAAAATAATGGTAATGTTCAAGAAGACTCTTGTGTATATTTTCTGGTTTGTCTTCTAGTCTAATGGTTTTTTTTTAACTTATCGACACCATTTCATTTGTTAAAACAGCTTACTATGGGGAACTGAAACCACATTTGAAGATGCCAATACATTTATCTACAATTTTTTAAGTTATATTATTATTGTTTCTGATCTGTTATATACTTTTATATTATAGTATTATCATTGTCGTCCAACAACAACGACTCAAAACTGGCCCATACGTTCCACTTTGATATTTATATATATACAATAATAATTATGTTAATGTATATAACAATGAAAAAAGGATCATTTATAAATGGATTTTACAAAATAATTGTATTGATGAGTATAAAATATGAATCACTAACATCTACTGATTATTCTGCACTCCAAATAGTCTAGAACAATAAAAATCACATAATACAGCTCTCGTGTCATCTTTTCTTATGGAATTATATTACCAAAATAATTTTAAAAGGTATTTATCTAGCTGAAATATGACGTCAACAACATACAAATATGTATGTGTACTATCCTAAAGTCCTAATCAAGTATTTTCCGTCAAACGTTTTTTAACTTGTAACCCGTAATGGTTTATTTGATTGATACTTGATATAAAATTTTGTGTAAACATGGCTAAGCATGGTTTTAAACCACCAAATCTTAAGAACATTATAAACGCATACACGTATTTTATCAGACCAATATGGTTCAACATCGATCGATCTGTCTTCTGAAGTTTATATTAATGTATCGAATCTTATGAGCGAACGATATGAATGCATGCATCATGCCTTAATGTCACAATTTACTGCAGTTGTTGTCGTTACAATATAGTCAGAAGCTAAACTTTTTTTAACAGCCTATTTTCAAATTACCTTTGACCAACAAAAGGCTACAGCAATTGATGACCAACAACTACTGAAGAAGACTAGGGTAAATCTATGTATAGTAACTGTGTATAACTGATGAACCAACAACTATTCAAGTACTCCAGTATAACCCTTTTATAGTAACTTTGTGTAGTAGTCTTTCGTTGGTTATATCTGATGACGAATTCTTGATCGATCGATGTTACATTTTTAAACACTCACATGTTGGTAACTAGCTAGCTAGCAAGTTAGAAATATTAGTTATCCAAATAACTTTTTTGTTACTATCATACATTTTAATTCCTACAATTTCAGTATTTTATTAAAAATTACGTCTTTGAAGCCAAATACATATTTTTGTAGTCACACGTCTTCAACACAAAGTTAGTTCTACTGTCAAATTTTATTTGGAACGTACCATAACGCCTTGTACTGTAACCAACTAATGGTCTACGTACCAATCAAGCTTCTAGTGTGGTCTCTTCACGGGGGGAGAGAGAGACTCGAAAATGTGTTCATAGTTTTGGTTTATAAATTTTTGTCACTATGCCTAAATTTAAAAGCTAAAACCATAGATGGTAAAAGTTAAAAAGATTGCTTTAATATAAGTTTTTACAGACTTCGTTACTGATACTACTTTATGAATCTAAAACTTAGCTTACATAATTGAAGTTGCTACTTTCGGCGGACCATAGTTAACTTATGTTCTTGGTCGACAACCAGAAGCACGGTTCGGTCTGATCAGGTCGAGTTCAAAAAGCCAAACAGTAATTTGTTGGTCCGACATAAAGCCACGCGCCATGGACTCAATGGTTTGCAACTTTGCAATGAAACGCGTTTTTTTTTTAATTTTGCCTCCAGCCAAAAAAGTAATGGGTACGTGTTGTTATAATAAGTGGAAGGAACTGAGTAAAGATTCGTTAATAGTCAGTGAACCCGCAAAAATCACATTATTGAATAAAATTATCAAGATTAGAAGAAAAAAAAGTTTCGAGCATTATTTATCTCTCGTTACTAATGCTCGTGAGAGTGGCAAATCAGTACTACTGTTGAAGACGATAAGGGTCATTTTGGTATTCGACATCATGAGTTCACGTTTGTGATTCTTAACATTTTGTTAAAAAGCTTGTCGTTGTGACTATTTCGTGGTAATTCGAATATTAATTCAATATCAAAAGCTTACAAGTTACAAAGATAGCTTTTTTGTGATAATGTGATCTAAATACTAATGAGACAGAACTAACTCGTCTTTGCGATGAGTAGAGTGGCACATTCCCGGTTTCGTCTTGGCTTGACTAGACATCGATGCCCATAGATTAAACTATATACAAAAAAAAAAAAAAACACAATAACATGAAATACGAGTCATGGTCCCCGTGTTATTGTGTATAATATGACTCGCAATGTAGGAGGATTAACTTAAATTATTAGTATTAGTTTTGGATAACACAAATTAAACTAATAGCTTTACCCCCTCCTCCAATACTTTTTTATAAGTGTCAAACAGGCGTCACGCCACTTATATATACACAAGTTGCAACTAAGTGGACTGATCTATGCGATTCCACATATGTGTACATATGAGTATGCATGACGAGATGATGACATGTACATTCTTTTGGGAGTGCGAGTTTGCAGCGGCATTGACATGGATGTAAGTTTTTGTCACCTAGCTTTTTCCAATTAATATGGCCATGGTTGGATCGGATATTTATGGTTTACAGCAGCAATAATATCTCTTATTGTAAATGTAAGTAAGCAAATGCCATTAAATATTTCACCCAACACTCTGTAACATTACTGGTGGATATATATTTCCAACTCCCATTTTCATCAAGATTTATAAGATGAATTTAATAGTAAAATTCTTACCAAGGAGAGGAACACTTGTAGTAATCTAATAATGGAATTGATCGTGCATTACTCAAGTACCAAATACGATATACAATCATAGCAACATGTTACCATGCATTCTTGTTTAGTAAGTATGGTGAGAATCTAAAATGCAAAACCGCGTGGCTATGTTAGTGGTCACTGGTAGCTGCTGGTACATTGTCTTTGATGTCTACTTTTATTTTTATGTTCCCTTTTGCTTTCTCTTCTTTTAGTGGGAGATGCGTTTTGAATTCAATGGCTCATGACTACAACAAAAACTAAAGCACTTCAAAGATTCAAACTCTTCTAATTAAACCCACGTTTTCAACTTCTTGAGGATTGGTAAATTCGTGTAAATGATTTGACTAATTATAGTACATTGGTCGTTAGAGATTCTTTTACTAACAATACTTGTGATAAGATAACGAAACCTATCGATTTTATAACATGTTTTATTTGCACTCAATCTTTAGTCGTGGTGGTTATTTCCTAACTTATTATACCAAATGAGTTTTTTTTTTTTTTTTTTTACAGCCTTTCGCACTCATGAAATCATTACTGTGGCCCTTGTCGGCACTGCCTCATTTAATCTTTATGCTCCTCTGCGCATGTTTCTTGGTAAAATTTACTGACAAGCAAATTATGTCTGTACGTTAAAAATAAAGTATTAAGATTTTGTTTTTTAGTTGACCAAGTAAAACAAAGAAGATATATTGTGAATAAACGTATATTTAATATATTTAACTTAAATTTTAAAACAAATTTTACAATATATCACACACTCAATTCTTCTCAAATATACAACTTTTTAACAATATGTTAAGAATTCTCTATCTATATACGAGGTACTTTTTGTAAACCCGACATGGTCTTGTGATATATTTGATATTATCTCTTAATTCTTTCTTTTTTCTTGAACAAAATATTATCTCTTAATTCAGTTCTCGTTATTCTCATATTTTAGGAGTTTCATTTTCATATATGACTATAGTTACATAATAGATTGCATATCATTCTGTGTGTAGATAGAAGATATACAATAAAATTTTGGACCACAACTCGTTTCCTGATTTCCCCTTCTTTTATAAACTTGTCATAGATAAGTCATAAGAGTCCCATATATATCGCAAATTTTTTTAAGTAATTAAGAAGCCGCATATAAGTATTATATACTAGTATATTATTATAAGGGGGGTATATAATAAGACAGAACTTGAACTCGTTGAAGTATAGATTCTAGCTATGCTATACGACAGACATACTCTGTCGTGATTCGTATGTACAAACATAACATCCACATGCTAACTCTTGCATATATACATTGTAAGATGAGAGAGATCAAGCTGCATGTTCGTCTATATATATATTTTTAACGGTTGATGAGGTTAATATAATTACTGAATCTCATTAATGATGATGAAGAGATTAACACACCCACATGACGACGCTTGACCAATTTTAATGTATAAACATTAATTATAAATAGTTCCGTACGCTTATAGTTAACTGTCCCATATATTAATGAGATGCGGACTTGAAAATTTTGTGTATCAGTGAGCATCCAATTTATTAGATTCACCAAACAGTCAAACGCATATGAGATGTTAAGATAAAAACAGAGAATGTTTGTGCTCCATCATTAATTGTTGTGTTGATGATGATCACTCTTTCATTTCTAATAACTCATTTACTTAGATGTCTTACTACGTACAGCTATGAAACGATATTGATTAAGTTTGGAATGATGAAAAAATAGTTAGTTATAATGAACTAATTGAAATGAAATACGTACCACCTGACCAATATTGAGTAGTTTTTCTTACTACTTATAGAAGGTTAATGAAACAAGAAGCATAATCATTAAACTATCCATTAATCAAAGTCGTAATTAAATGAACAAGCCGGATACAACAGAGAGACCATGTGTTGCATTGCATCATTCATCATGTGACGACCGACTATATATATATATATATATATATAACTAATCCATGTATGTTTTTAATTCTAAATGCGGAAGCAACTTGTTAAGGTCGACCAATATGTACATAGTTTATATTCTTCTTCACAAAAGATTCCTGTAAGTAATGACATATATAATCTTAGTTGTGTTTGGTATTATTGTTGTTTATTGAATTTCTTGCAGAGTCGACGACGTATCTCACTACTGAACTGTGATAGTTTCTGTGTGTATAATTTAAACTGAGGAAAAAGTCACGACATCTTAGGGACGTACACATGTTAACAATTTTTGGGATTTTCCAAGCCTTCTTCCTTTACAAAAAGATTCACCCGTTGATGTGGCCAGTAATAATTTATTTTACGTACGTAATCATCATATATATTACACATGTGAATTTTCTTCTCTTTTAGAAATCTTTAGTGATGAAACTGTATAACATATTCGGTGATTTTTGGAGTTTTGGGATCTGTTGATTCGATTAAAACAAGAGAATGTGAGATTTTTCTTTTGGCTTTTTGTTTCTTGTTTTTTTTTTTTAATAACCCAACACTTTTTATGATCGTTGATTCGTCAAAGGAATGAATACTGAAAATTGAAACCTTAGTACTGTTAGTTAATTCACAAAAAAAAAATAACTAGAAATCATAATATTAGCATTTTCACCAAAAAAAAGATAAAAAAAATCAGTCACATTGTTGCTTTATATGTAAAATTTAAAGCAAAAAATGTTTACTATTGAAAGCATTACATAGTTAAACACTTCATTTTTGTACCTTGGTTATAAATAATGATTTTGCATTGTCTTAACCATAACACTACTCTTTAGCCGTTTAGCGGCTACTTCTATAGTACTTACTCCCATTTGTTAATATACATAAAACATCAACTATTAAGGGTTTTCACTAACCATTAACTAAAGTGATTTTGGTTGATATACATATATAGACAGATGCCAAGGTGAAACGGCAATTTAAAAATAGAATAAGCTGCGAAAAATATGTTATATAATCGTGATTAGTTGCCAAGAACATAAATATCTTTTAATTATTAAAAATGTTCACATGCGATCCAACTATTTAATCAATCTCAGTAGCAAGTAGCAACACACAACTCCAGCTTTTCCTCAGTACTATGTGTTGGATAAGATATGAATCCCCAAAATTATCTTTAATTATTTTTGTGATAAAAGTTAAAACCTACGTCGAAAACAAAAATATCAGTAATTTTTCTTTTCTTGTGACTTAGGTTTCACTAAATTAGACTATATATTGTATATATTATCTCATGGTACTTTTTTTATTAATTGAGATTCATCTAAAGTGGTATTTTCCTGAAAATTCTCATGTTTGTATATAACTATATATTATATCATCATCTAATATCATTATCAATTATATATTTTGCAGTACAATTATATATCCTTGTGGGGTTGATTTTGTTCATAGTCGTGGAAATTGGAAAATGCATAATTCAAGGGAAAATTAAGAATGAGGAGCCTTATTGGAGTTTGATGAGAAAAAAGTAGAGTAACAAACTGATGTGCTATTTTTATATTTTATTTTTGAATTAATCAAACTAAAATAAGCACGAAAGAAATATTACAGCTTTTCTGAACAAAAAGCAAAAAAAAAAAAAAAAAAAAAAAAAAAAAGGAGATGAGAACAATTTTCTTCTCCCTGCAATAATATGAAAAAAAAAAATTTCCTCTCTGTTTACTTTGATTTTTCTTATAAATTAGTATTATTCTACTATATACCTAAACAATGCATTATTTTACTGGCTCAGTACCGGATTAAAGACATCATTGAAATTTAAAGCCTACTATGAATGAACTCGAATGCTCCTGTCTCTCTATATAAAAAAAACAAAGTCTCTAAACATTTATTCATGGGTAATGTAATCATAACGTCCCTTACAACATTAGAATTTGTATAAATGAGTGAATAGTACATGAAATGATGAAGGTCCCCATCGCAAACGTGGTTTGTCCCAAAGTATTATAATGAGTTTATGCCCCCATGAGACTTCTTTACCTCACATGATTAGCTTCTTCTCTTTTCATTTTTTTTTCTACATCTCCAAGTTTTTACAAGTCGTTGTTTCCAATATATAACAAAGTAAGAACCGTGAAATGAACAATTCCTTCTTTTGTTTCATTGTTAGGTATAAATATTATATGAAACAGTTCGTGTCGTAATTGATATGTTGTACAGTAACGTGTTGCTTCCAAAAATGTAATAAGAAGTTAGACCTGCCTATATATGTATATGCTAATTAATGTACGTGTATGAAAATGAAATGTAAATAAGGCGATGTCACGTCGATGCATCGTAATCAAATAGTACTGTACATCATATATGTACGTGGCTTGTTTTATGTTTTCTTTAAGTTTGTGATATTTGTTGCGTAAATGGGTTTATGGGCTTTAATTAATTAATTAAAACTTGATCTCTGTTCTTCAAATGGCTTATACTTTTATTCATTGGTCATTGTAGTAGGATACCACCACGCAAGTCTATTGGCTTTGCAACTTTATTTATTTATTAGAGCTTTTATCATTATCATGTTTTCTTCATCTTCGAAATGTTTAACCCATGCAAAATACTTTTTAGTAGTGCGGAAGACAATGGTGCCAAGTCTTTTTTATTTTGGTCTGTTTTTTCATAATTGCGAATATTCTTTTGACGTATAAATGTTCCAATATATGTGATTGCCTTGCCTTGCCACTTTTACTTTATACATATCTTTTATCACAGATAATTTTATTTTTAAATAAGTGAGTGAAAAGGTAAGAACATAATAATCATGATGTGATTAATATTGATTCACAAGCCTCAGAATATGGGCCGAATATAAGCCTCAGAATATGGGCCTTATGGACACTGTTTTTTTGGTATGTTTTGGTCAATTTATTCGCATGCGTAGCTTACAAATTAGATTTATGTATGTATTATGTAATAAGGCTAAAACGCCTAAACCCAAATGTTGTATAATCTCTATATTAGTAAAAGAGAAATACAAAATAGAATACGGATCGGGTAAAAATTAAAAAATTAACCCGATTTTAACAATTGGATAGTTCAAAATTGGATACTAAAATGGGTTTGGATACATACATCGGATACTTTCCATATCTAATTTTAAGATTATATTATTTCTATAACTAATTTTATGATTTCCTAATATTTCTCTAACTAATTTAATATAATATATTAAAAACAATTATCATTCTTCTTTGAAATTTATTTGATATTATTTTAAAATTTATGATATTATACTATATAATACAAATATTTAATAAAAAATTAATTTTTTTTTTTGCATATGTTGCAATTTGAATTTCAACACAAACATATAATACTCAACTACATTTGGTTAAATATTCTGGATAATGATTTAAAATCAGTATGACCAATAATAAAACAATTGTTACATGAGCATATTTAAAAGTTTTAAAAGTTTCAAAATATTATAATTGAAAGGTTCAAATATAAAAATAAATTAGAATTTAAAATATTAAAAATATTTTTTTGAGACATAATTATTATTGATAATATATATTATATATCAAACTATGTAAATTTTAGATAGTTCACGGGTAGTTTGTTAAAATCACAATTATAATGGTAAAGCGAGTTATGAATAACGGTTTTCACAAAATGAATTATGTCACGGTTGATACTTCATAAAAAATATTGTAAGTATATAACTTTTACGTATAATTCTACTTGTACTACAAAAATGGTCAATTGAATAATTTGTTTTTTTCGTGATGTTAATTTTTCACTGTTTTTTTAATTGTATCAAAATTTAATGTATTATTATTTATTTGCTTTTTCGTTTATTATTTTATTTAAACTTATTATACAAATATATAATTCGCTGTAATCGACTACATTGCAATAAAATTAAAATGTAACATATCTTAATCCGTTAAATGTAATATATAGTTAATTATTTCTCCCGCGCTGTAGCGCGGGTCCGAACCTAGTAAACTTTTATTTCATCAAAAGGCTCATACGGGCCAGAGAAACATAGTTATAGAAACGTAACGTTAGACCATCCTCATTGGGGGTATCTTAGCTCCTAAGATACCCCCACTTTTTCAAAGAAAGTATGTTATATAAGGATTTTCTTTGGAAAAGTGGGGGTATCTTAGCCTCCTAAGATACCCCCAATGAGGATGCCCTTACATCTGAACTGAACAAACATTATTATTAGTCGAGAGACACGACATTGTTAGCACTAACGACAATAGAAATGATAACTACACAATCCCAAACCAGTTTCTTGATAATAAAGAAACGTCGACCCAACTCTTGTTCTTCAGATAAAGATAGGAGTATCAACATGATCCAAGTAGATTCGAACACAATGACTCTCTTCCCCACCTTCAATCTTAAATCGTCTGAGATCTCTTGTCTTCGGAATTGGATCGTAACACACAACACAGACTGATCTTTTCCCATTAATCTTTGGTAACAAGTCTTTCACTAAGAAAACTAGTTTTCTTGTTTTGGTGGTACCTCTGAAAAAATACACCTTAGGACTCGCAACTGCTTCTCTAAAACGAGGGATCTCTATGGGCTCTCTCGACCAGTTTCCTCTAACTTCATTTCTAACAAATATATGAAAGACTTTATTCCCACTCGACTCGTTCACAACTCCATGTGAAAAACCAGAGCCATCCACCAAGGCAACTGCACCATTGTAATTCACTAATTCCCAACCACGCCTATCGTTGTTATTCATCAGATCCCAACCATGTCCAGGTAACTCAATGACACTAAACTCTTCAGACCTCACGTTGAACCTCATCATCATACCTTTGCCACTATCGGACCAAGCTCGATAGTACAAAACTCCTCCAGTACATAGTCCTTCTCGGTTAGGAACTGGATCATACTGATCATGCTCACATGTGATCCGTCTCCAAGCTACTTCATCCAATCCCATCGTGAAAATACCTTGTTCCTTAACTCTTTTCGACCGCTTCCTAGTTTCCCAAACTGCTATGCATAAAACCTTATATACATCCGTAAGTTCATCGTACCCTAAAAAAAGCATTATGCCTCTTTCTATAGGCACTGGGATCTCCGGTAAATGATGACACTTGTTCGTACCAGGATTGAAAATGATAACATTTTTCTTTTCACGAAGACAGATCAAACCTCGGACGAGTGGAGAAGCCACATATCCTCGGTCTTGAGAAAGAAGCACATGTTCTTGACCAGACGACAACAATGGTTCTTCTTCTTCATAAACAGACTGAAACAACACCTCACTGCTTCTCCTGTATCTTGGTTGATAGACCAGGAACATCATTCGAGGCCTTTGTACCGAACGGCTCAAGTAATCATTTTTGAATTCTTTTGTGCGGATACGAGACGCCCAAGTCTTTGAGGCGCAGATGCATTTCACCAAGGTCTTCAGAGGCAACCGTAACAGTATCTCCGTTTGTATCTCTGGAGGAAGTTCTTCGAAGCTTCTCTTCACCACCATTACTCTTCTTTTGTTTTGAACATGCTCCATTTTTTGTTGTTGTTGTTTTTGTTCTTCTCTAATGGATAATATGTGTTTTCGTGACAAAACCACAGATGAATGTGATGTATAATGTATTTATAAAGAATGTCAAGAATTTGTTACCAACGTAATGAGTGGATGACTTTGGTTTTACTTGTTGATCAAGTTGTCGTTAATCTGACTCAGTTTCATTGCTTTACATCTAAAACAAAAAGAGAAGTTTCAGTTCCGCACGTAGAAGACTTACTAAAATTATTGGCCAATCAGAATAGAGATTATTGGACGCCAGCATGAAATTAACAGAGTTTTACACGGTCTTAGTAGTTAAGTTATTCGAATACAATTGAATCACACGTCAAAATTTACTAATATTCGATAAAAAGTTTCAACTTCAATATTTTTTTTGAACAAAATAGCAAGAAAAGCAAAGGTGTCACACGTCAAAACTTACTAATTATTATGACTAGATTAGAATGTAGTGACTTGAAAGGTTTTGTTTCATAGTACACATCTACTCGATAATCCACAAATTAATTTAAAATAAGATACATGCATGTTTTAGCATTTTTAATGGTTACAATTTTTAATTTAGTACTTCAATTTGTATACGCATAATAAATTACAAATTCTTTTAAATTTCTCTTTTTTTTTGTACTCGGTTACTCGTTGACGATTGTTTGGTTCATGTTACTATATAAAATTTAATAAAGTAATGCAATGTTCTTATACTGTATATGTAAGTTTACTATTCAGCGTGTTATTAGTTTTGGTTATAGTACTTCACAGATTTACAAAGTTCAGCCAAACAGTAAAAGAACAATAAACAATTAATCCTAATAATGGCACCTAGCTAGGACTATTACTAGAGAGACACCATTATTTATTATTTAGCATATAAATAAATATTAACTACAATAGAAAACTAGAAATTAAGACTAACAATTTCAATAAGACTTTGATAATCAGTATTGGACTTAATTTGACATAATCAGTTCCTAACCCACAATTCAAAAACTCCATGGCCATTGCCATTCCATACATTGACAATTCCATATTTAAAAGTCAGAGTCGTTCACAATGGCAATGTCCCCTTTGCAATTCACCAAGATCCAACGATGCTCAATAAAAGCAGAGATTTTGATCGACTTCCCCAAGTACTTTAAATTCAACGACACTAAAATCTTCAGAACATTTGTTGAAGCTCATTGCCAGAGATTAGTCACTATTGGACTGATGAGCTCCATAGTACGAGAAACTTCTTTTACATAATCCTTGAGTAACCGTTCATATCGTATTTGATATGTTGTAAAGTAACGTCTTGCTTCCAAAACGTTACAAGAAGTTAGACATGGCTAATTGCCTATATGCATGTAATGGATGTGTATGAAAATGAAATGTAAATAAGGCGATGTCAGTAGAATCGTCGATGCATCGTAATCAAATAGTACCGTACAACATTACTTTGTGATCGTGTTGGCTAACTTAATTAATAAAACTTTATCTGTGTTCTAAAACCATGCAAGATAATACTTCAATTATTTTGGTCCTATCTTTTTCAGCGTGTTTTAGTCAATTTATTCGTCTAAGTAGCTTACAAAATACAAATGGATATATATATATAAATGTGATACGCAAATGTTGAATAAACAAATCTTTTATTTCATCAAAAGGCTCATCACACGGCCAGAGAAACAGAGTTATAGAAACGTCACTAACGTAACGTTTACATCTGAATTGAACAAACATTATTATTTTTGCATAAGTAAAATATCATCACTAGACATGAAAACGAAACAGTCCCAAGAAGACATAGTATAAGTCGAGAGACTCAACATTATTACAATATTACTATAGCATTAACGACAATATGAATGAAAACTAACAATCCCAAACCAGTTTCAGATAAGCTTAGGGAGTATCAAAATGATTCCAAGTAGATTCGAACATAATGACTCTCCTCCCCCACTTTCAATCTTAAAACGTCTGAGATCTCTTGTGCCTTGTTGTCAAAGTAAAGCTTTGCGAATCCTTGTGTGCAGATACGTAAAGCTTTGCGAATTCTGGTGAGCAGATAAGAGACGCCCATGTCTTTGAGGTGCAAATGCATTTCGTCAAGGCTTTTAGAGACAACAGTAACAGTATCTCCGTTTGCAAAACGATCGGAAGTTCTTCGAAGCTTGTATTCACCACCATTTCTCTTCTTTGCTCCCTTTTTTTTTTTTGGTTCTTCTCTAATGAATAATATGTGTTTCGTGACAAAAACACAGATGAATGTGATGTATTTATAGAGAAACTCTGGAGTTTGTTACCAACGTTGTGACTTGTGAGTGGGTGACTTTGGTTTTAACTTGTTGATAAAGTTATCTTTAATCTAATCTAATTTCATTGCTTTACATCTAAATACAAAAAGAGAAGTTTCAGTTCCACACGTTAAAGACTTACTAAAATTATTGGCCAATCAGGATAGAGATTATTGGATACCATGCATGAAATTTACTGAGTTTTCTTTCATCCTTCATGGTCTTAGTAGTTAAGTTCTTCGAATACAATTGAATCACACGTCAAAAGTATTGATAAAAAGTTATATTTTTTGCACAATTGCAAGAAAAACAAACGTTTCACACGTCAAAGCTTCCTAATTATTATGACTAAATTATAATTTAGTGACTTAAGAGGTTTTGTTTCATCGTACACATCTACTCGTCAATCCACATATTAGTTTCAAATAAGATACCTTTTAGCTTTTTTAATGGTTACAGTTTTCACTTTAATCCTTTGTCCACAAATTTTCGAAAGGGAGGTGTCAATTATATACGCATAATAAAAACTAAATTGCAAATTCTTTACATTTTTTTTTTCTTTGAAACAGAATTCTTTACATTTCTTTAATTTTGTTTTACCCGGTTACTCGTTGAGGGTTGTTTGGTTCATGTTAGGATTTAAAATTTAATAAAATAACACAATGTTATTATATATGTAAGTCTACTATTCAGAATGTAATTAGTTTTGGTTACAGTACTTAAAAGAACAATAAAAACAATTCCAATAAGGCCACCAGTACTATTATTATTTTTATCATAAGTAAAGATTAACGACAATAGAAATTTAGAAATTAAGACTAAAAATTCCACTAAAATCTTCAGAACTCATGTCGAAGCTCATTACCATTGATTTGTCACTACTAGACTTATGCAAATGTTTAACCCATGCAAAATACTTTTTAGTAGTGCGGAGAAAATATATGGTGCAAGCTTTATAATTTTGGTCTGTCTTCTCATAATTGCGTCCAATATACATATGTGATTGGCTTGCCTAATTGTCTTGCCACTTTTACTCTATACATATATATATACAGTCCATAAAAACTCTTATTATCACTGATAAAAAATAAATGATTCACAAGTCTGACTTAATTAGCCAAAGCTAAGCCAAAATTTGTATGGGCCTTATTGTGTAGACAGTTATCTCGGTGTGTTTTGGTCAATTTATTCTGTCTGCGTAGCTTACAACTTAGATATATGCATGTATGTAATAAGGCTAAAACCCAAATGTACGTTGAATAACAAACTTTGTTTTATTTCATCAAAAGGCCAGAGAAACAGTGAACGTCACTAAACGTAACGTTCAATAGACATGAAAACGAAACATATAAAAGTACCACTGGACCAAAATGATCTTACTCTTCACTTTGACATAAGCCAAGTACTATCAACATGATCCAAGAAGGTTCGAACAAAAAAGTATCGATCAACCATTCCTTCAACATCAAACCTTCTGAGGTCTCTTGTGTCTGTATCGTAACACAACACATAGAGTTGTCCCCTTAACGGCCAACAGTATGGTGCGAAAACAAGTTCTCCTGTTGCAATGGTACCTTTGAAAAAAAACTTGTGAAATCCAACACTTTCTCCCCAATGAGGAATCTCAAAGTTCTTATTCTCCCAGTTTCGTGCAGCTTCTTTCCTAATCCAAATATCAAAAAATCCATTGTCACTTTCAGACCATTCATCGAGAATACCACTTTTAAACTCATAGTCGTCCACCATGGCAAGTTCCCCTTTGTAGTTCACCAGTTTCCAACGATGGTCATTAACTCGAGAGTTTTCGACTCTCTCAGGTACTTCAATGACACTAAAATCTTCAGAACTCAAGTTAAAGCACATGATGACCAGAGATTTGCCACTACTAGGCTGAGCTACATAGTACAAAACCCCTTCTATACATAGTCCTTGAGTACTAAGTTGAGAACTAAGTGGTGAATGATCATGCTCACATGTGATCCGTCTCCAAGAAGAGTCTTCAACAGCTCCCTCCTTCACCGTGTATACCTGAAACTCCTTAGACCCCTTACCATCTCCGAACTGTTTTGCACATAACACCTTGAAGACATCATTAGATTCATCGTATCCGAAAAAACATCTTATGGTTGCTCCGTCAGGCCTTTGGATCTGCGGTAAACTAAGAAATTTTTTCGCACCAGGGTTGCAAATCACAACATTAGTACTACCATCATGAAGACAGATCAAACCTCGGACGGGTTGAGAAACCTCAGCAAGTGGTGCATCGTTTGTACGTATCTGTTGTTGACCAGACGACAACAACTCCTTTTGATAAACAGAGTGAAACAACGCTTCGGTTCTGTGTATACCGGAGACGAACAAGAATCTAGGCCTTGTCATCGACTTGTCCAAGTAACGATCTCTGAATGCTTTTGTGCTGATTAAAGTTGCCCATTTCTTAGCGACGCAGAGGCATGTCACCAATGATTTCAGAGGTAAACGTGACATAATCCTCATTTGTAGCTCTTCAGGAACTTCATCGAAACTTGCATCCTCCATTTTTTTGTTTGTTTGTTCTTTTCTTATGTATGTATTATGTTGTGTTATAGAAAAATAAACACTGATGTGGTGGTGGTATTTAAACAAAATCTCAGACATTGTTTACCAAGTGGGTAAATCTTTTAAATATCTAATTTTACTTAATTGTATGCTTAAATCTCTAAAAACCGGAAGAGGAATCATATAATTTGGTCCGCACGTTATAATTTTTTACTATAAACAGTTGGCCAATTAGCATAGAGATTTCTTGTCATAATATAGTAGATATAACGTACAACACCTTAATTATGTATAAATGCATTAAAAAAAGGTGTAACGCCTAAACAATTACTGATCTTTATGACTAAAATTAGGAGAGAGATTTCGAGTCAAGGTTGACTTGGACGTTTTTATTTCATCGTATATGATCAATGATCAATCTTTTCGTCAATGATCGATTCCACTCCCATTTGTAACGCTTTCAGTTTTTACTTTAATCTTTTGTACGTTTGTTGAAAGGAAGGTTTCACACGTACATACCATAACATCTTTTACATACCACTTCTCTTAAAATTTGTTTTTCTTTTAAACCGGGTCGTTACTCTTTGAGGATTGTTTTTTGGTTTATGTTGGAATTTGGAAATGAAATAAGAAGATGTAATGTTACAAATTTCACAGCTTAAACAAAAGTAGAGGATATTGATGACTGATCGCACAAAGCTACTTGCTTTATATGCGTTGCGACTTGCGAGCTAGGTTAGTATCTAAACTTCCTTGGGTTTGTAAATGGTTTAATAGATTTGACCTCACTCACGGATTATGTAAATAGCTTTACAATTTTGTATTATTTGTGCTATAAAACTAGTGTTTTTGAAATAAAAATAAGCATTCTAATACTGAATTGTTTGTAAGTCTGTACTTGTCACGGATAAAAGTTGTAGACGGTGACAGTTTAATCCTCAATATTAAATAAGAGGTGATTAGAATCCATAATTTAGCTTCTTGTACTCAAGACCATCTTCTAATACAGTTCCTTTCTATTAAGAACCTCTTTCACTCTCTTCATTAAGTCAGCATGTCTCTCTCAGTTCTTTGTAGCTTTGAAACACTATCAATAAAAAAAAACTGTAATGATCAGTATTAACAAGTCTTTGCACGCACATAGATATATAATCTGAAATAAAAAGAACGAAAGTTCAAATCTTTCGTTCAAACATCAATTACACGAAATACAAAAGTTTCAAACGTTTGGGTTACAAGCTTTTATTGTTTGAGCTTTTGAAATAGAAGCAGCAAAGTTGAAATTCTGAATTAACAAAAAGGAAAAGGAAAAGAAACCAAACGGGGTTGGAGAGGAATCATCAACATGAGAGAAAAGGAAGAAAGATGAGTCAAAGTGTGTTTAATCTCAAAAGAGTTATATGTATATTTCTTTCTTTTAAGAGAAGGCAAAAGCAGGAGTGGTCTTGAAATCGAGCTCCCAGAGATCAAATGTTCCATTGACGAAATTGTAGTGACCTCCTCTGATTGCAAGTGTGTTCTTTACCACTTCAGCTCTCACAAATGGGTATGAAAGCAAGTTCCCAAGCGATACATTCACAGCTTCCTGCACAAGATAACATATATTTGTTGTTAATAAGCATCAATATGTCCCTCTCTTATCAAGAACATGAAATAACAGAGAGAAAAGGTTGTTGTTATTATTATTACCTTCTCACACTTGTTGCATTGATCATCATAGCTCAAGTCTTGATGTTCTTCCTTAATCTTGTTCCTCGCTGCTGCGCCTATCTTCACCCAGTTTTCTATGAAGTCACTGTCATTTCAGAGGATTCTTCATCGCATTAGAGATCGAATAAACAGCATCATTACTCAGAAAAAAAAAAATCAAGACTAGTCAGTTTTCATTTACCTTTGAGTTGGGGCAGCATCATCTTCAATGGACATGAGTCCCTTAATGCCACCACAGCAGCTATGGCCTATCACCAGAATGTTCTCCACCTACAAATAAATTGACAATCTTAATACAAAACTGTTGACCATGAACAAAAGTGGTTGCAACTTGATGCATTAAGACCCATTACAATTCTCGAATATTATCCAAAAAATGATTCAACTTTATATTTAGAAAAAGATAATCCTTAGTGGCAACCAAAAAGGAGAACAGGGTTTGGTGGATGAGAGAGATGGGTCCAAAATAACACACAGTGACTAGACATCAACATCAACTTATATAGTAATATAACCATGTGCAAGCAAAATGGCACCATAAAACAAAGACTTAAAATAATGAGCACAATCAAAAAGAGCCAAACTTTGAGTGATTACTGACTAGAAAGAAACAAAGGTTAGGTTTTTAGCTTAGTTTAATTGTTAATCTAAGTGTGTGTCTATCCTTAATAATAGGACTATAGCTTAACGTACCTTGAGATGTACAACTGCGTATTCGACGGCGGCACCAACTCCAGAGTGTCTCTTCTGAAAAACATATTCAAAGCCAATATATGTGTTATTACTTATATAAGAGAGAGTACAACTCTCTTTGTGATGTATCAATATGAACACGAACCTGGTCAAAAGGTGGAACCATATTGGCTATGTTTCTGACAACAAAGGCCTCACCAGGTTGGAAATTCAAGATGTGCGATGGGCAAACTCGAGAATCCGAACAAGCAAATACCAGAAACTGCATATATCATTATTCAAATAAATAAATTCAACATTTCTATAATTGTTTTTGATTAAAGAAAATTCAAACTTCTTGATCTATCAAAGAAGAAAGGTTGGACCATGTTTGGTTGGTTTCAATAATTGATTTTGCTTAAATTCATAAAGTCAACATCAACGTTGGATTAAAGCATTCATACTCTTTTGTTCAAATACTAACCAATCTCTCTTTATAAGTCTTTAGGTAGTAGTCGAAGAAGAAAATAAAAAGTAAATGAACAGAGAGACAAAGTTGAAACCTTTGGGCTCTGACCCTTGGCAAGATCATTGAACAGAGCACTGTTCTTCCTGTAAAAAAGTTAATAAACAGAGAAACATTAATGAATCATCATCATCATCATCAACCTTAAAAAGTCATACTTTTTCCTTTTTTTACTGTATATACTAATTGAATCCCACTATATAAACACGATCCGACTAAATTAATTAGCTTCTTTATAGCACTATCCGATGAAATATCATAAAGACGTAATACTACTAAAGAGGAAGACCACACAAAAAAAAAAAAAAGTAGATACTATCATAAATGTGGTTGCTTTATTCAAAGGGCAAAAAAAATGAAATGGACCAATTGATTCCATTTCACCGTCAGGAAAATTCTTTACAGAACAAAACGAATTATATTTATATTCTTTTCCTTAAATAACGCATTAGAGTCACAACTACTAATGTACTATTTTTTTTTGACACACACACACACAAAAAAAAAAAAAAGGTTTACTCACAAGTATTTCTCAGTTTTGAATTGGGTGAAACCAGACTTGATCCGTAGAACAGCGTCTGAGTTGTCGGAATCAATCTCCTTCAGCTCCGCCGTCAATGCTTTGATCTTCGCCGCAGCGACGTTTCCAAGATCTGCTTTCACACTATACCAATATACCAAAACAGATAATTAACAATAAAAAAAAACACGGAAATGGGATAAAACTTTTTTCCCAAGGTAAAGGATCTAATGATCAACGGCTAGGATTAGTCCACGTGTCCCTTTGATCAAAAAAGGAAAAAAACGCGGAAATCAAAAGGAAACGCGACTTTTTCCGATTCAACGCTAAAGTCTTTTTTGTTGCTGTGATGATGGCGTTGATTTTGCCGTTTCATTTGGAGGAAACATAAATTTGAGAACGATGAATCGTTTGCGAGATTGTTGGAAGAAACAAAAAAACAGCGTTTGGTTTGAAGATGAACAGTGGATATGACCGACACGTTAATCAAATAATTGTCCTTTTTTTTTTGAGTCAGAGCAGAGAGAGAGAGAGAGAGTGTACCTGAGAAGATCCTTGAGTCCTTTAATGGCGGCTTCGTACGAGTCTGTACCCATTTCGTCTCCTTCCTAAATAAACAAAACCAAAACAAGGTAAGTAATCAAAATCAAAGTATGAATTGAACTTGGGATCTGATGATGATGATGATGTGAAAGAGACCTTTTAGAAATAGAAGTTACACAAAAGCAGAGGAGGAGGAGGAGGAGGAAGATGAAGAATCCTTATCGAAGAATGTGATAAACCAGTTAATGCAGTAAAGGAAAGATGCTTTTGTTTTGTTGAATGGTGATGGATAGGATTTGGTGTGTGTTGGTATTTATAGACTCTTGTGCTGTGTTCAACTCTTTACCAAATTAAAGTTTCTCTGATTTTTTTTTTTTTTGACAAGGGAAAAAATAAAACTCCACAAAAATGGGAAGATTATATTTAAAAAATAAATATTTTTTTGGGAAAGTGATTGGATAAAAGTATATTTTTTTTTTTTTATAATAGTGTTGTGGGGGATGAAATGGTTGATTGAGGAGGAGATATAAGCATGTGCGTATGTCTTATAAGATTAAGAGAATGAAACATATGCTTGGTTCTATATTCTTTTATCATTTACATATATATATATATATATAGTGATACTCTTGAATTAAGTTAAAAAAAAAATCCATTTGTTTTTTTTTCTCATGGTAAACAAAAACATATAAAACAGTAAAAACAGTGCAACTTTTTGTTTATATTATAAGAAAATTTTCACTCTAGTTTCTACTTTCTACCTTATTTGACTGTAATAGTTCATTTGACTTCAATAATTCCTATCTTTTTTTTTTGTTTTCTCATGTTCCATTTCCATTAGCGGAACAGTTTTTTTGTGCTAGGTTTCATACCCAGTAATTGAATTTGAAACAATATAAAATGGTTTTATTATCATTTTTTGGTTTGGGATAAAAAAAAATTTCATGAAGCATAAGGTATAAACATGGGATTAAAAACAAAAATAGAGAAAGCATGAGTTTAACATGCCATCACCAGCGCTAAGATACCCTCATCATCATCATCATCATCAGCAATTAATTTTCATCGGAATATATTATAGTCAACTAGACATGAACATTATCTGAGTTTTGCGTTTCTTGATCTTCTTTTTATACATACTCCTAAATGTTATAATGTATATGCAAAAAAGTTTAGCCATATATATAGTAAACTAGCAATTGATCCGCGCGGGAGGTTTATAATTGAGAATTTTTGAGAAATACCTCTTTTGGTATACATCTTTTTAAAAATACCCCTCTTTTTTATTCATTATAAACTTTTATATGGTTGATAAGGTACATCAAGATCATCATTACTACATGGAGACTAAATCCAAATATTTAGAAGGTTTTAAAAGGTTTTAAACGGCATTTATATGGTTTTTATAAGGTTTTTAAAAGGTTTACACAGTTTTTATAAGCTTTTTATATGATTTTTAAAAGGTATTTATACGGTACTTATGAAATATATATATAAATTTACACACATGTAAAGATAATTTGTGTCTATAAATATAAGTTTATACATATTTTTTTGATAAATTTCAATTTTTGTTGTGACTTTTTGATAAAATTAGAAAGAGGGGTATTTTTAAAAAGTGGTATTGAAAAGGGGTATTTTTAAAATTCTCCCTTTATAATTTTGTTTCGTTGATTTTTTATTCATATTGTGATATATTTTTTTTTAATTGATTTTCAAAAAATATTATAATTATTTTCTCTTTAATTATTATCTTTCAATACTCAAATTTGGATTAAAAGCATTTGATTCGATTTATGAAATATCATTTTTTTTCTTTTTGATCACGTTATAAACTAATATTTCACTTTCATTTTATTTTTCCTCTTTATAATTTTATATATACAATTACATAAATGTTGTTTTAGTCTATCATAAATTTAAATTTTATTTCCATTCTAAAATTCAGTAACATATGTAAAATATTAAATTATGATCAATTTAAAATGAAAGTTGGATTATATTATTACCACTAATAAAAAAATTAAAGTATTGTTTTTCTTATTTTAACATTTCATTTTTTTACATAATTTATTTTTATTTATATAAACTTTATATTAATTAAATAAGTAACATAAATATGCATTAAATGAATGTTTTAAATTTATTTTAATGTTTAAACAAAAATGTGGCTTAGGTGGATGCTTAGGTGGCATCATGAGAAGAAAGAAAAAACTAACTTTATATATATAGATTTCATCATATAAAACTAATTTTAAAGTAAACAAAACGCAGCGTAGCAAATTGGTTAAACTTTTTCTTTTTCCCATTAAAGGCTATAAAAGCAGATTGGTCTGCGTCTTTTCCGATGTCCCGGTGGCTAATGGTATAGCGAAGATAAGTCAACCAAGGCAAGCCTAAGGATGGACACGGTCGTGTTTTTTAACCGACTCCCCAGTTGGCAAATTACGCGTCACCATTTCTTCTAATTATCATTACTTTATCAGTTTCGTCACACTTTTATATAATACTATTTGGGTCGAGCTATAATAATACTACTGTTTCGTCACCCAATTGTATAGTGTTCATTAAAATAAAAAATAAAGTGAAAAAATCTTAATATGACATATGACATATGTATAGTTCGGAGTTCGGATATTACCGGGGAAGTCTTAGCGCAGCAGAACATGAAACATTTTCCGAATGCGGGAGCCATTAAACTCTACTCTCGTTCTGCGACCTGTCCAGTCCCAACCCATTAAAACATTTAGTATACATCTAGATTAAACAATAGAGAACGTCACATTGTAACTTCCAAATAATCGAACTACATTATTGAAGCACAATATATTTAAAATAGATTTGATTATCTAAATCCGGAATGGTTCTCTCTGACTCTTTTAGTTCCCCATATAATAAATTATTTATCAAACTTTTTTTTTGTTGTTGTTGTTTGCTTGAGATGCTCAAGAAACGCAAGCTGGCTTTTCAATGAAACCGAAGGTCCATTTCCATTTCCCATTAATCATTATTGTATATGACTATATTGAATCGTTGCCACGATGTTTTTATTCTATTATATTACGTTCTTTAACCTATCTTGGGAAAACAAGATTGGGTTCATTTGTCAACAGAACATCATTACTGTATATATATAGTACTCGTTTCTTTAGTGTTTTCTTTTCAAACATGAACTTGAAAACGAAGTTCTTGAGTTTTCTTTTTTATCGGTATGGAACAAAATATAATGGTATTTGATTTTTATCAAATGAATATGAGATAAGAAAAATATTGAAGTAGGAAATGAAAAACGTAAGTTTTAGGGATGGAGAAGACGCACTTACTTGGTTCTAGCTCCTCGATGACTCTATGGACGTGGGAACAGTTTCGAAGATGATGAGGCAAATGATGATTTCTTGAAATAAATAAATAAATAAACTCCCCCAAAAATAAAATGTTAATTTATATGTTTTGGGAAGAAGATTGGATTTTGGATTTTCGAGGTTACAAGAGAATTTATGATGACCGTTCGAGCAATGTGGGGGGATCTGTTAAGGGGATAGAGAAAGCGAAAGGTGAGTGAACCATGACTTCTTCTTCTTTCTTCTTCCATGTGTGTGTTTTTTTGTTCTTCTTCTTCATATTTTTATTTAGTAAAAAATCACAAGAGATAAGATCTCTATATATTTAATAGTTACAGTTATTGACAACATGAGAAAACACTAAATACAATGCTAGAAGATAATCTACATAGATTTTCTTCGATTTTATACTACATGAATATTCTGAATCTCATTGATATACTAGCAGCAATTAAATCAAATTTCCATTACATAAACAAAATTTTATTCTTCTATAAAATATTATAAGTTTTGTGTCATTAATTCTATTAAATGATTGATTGTCTCTAATTTTTGAATCCATAAGCATAAATAGTATAGAAATGAAATTAGTATCGGAGATTTTTTTCCCGCTTAGAATATAAAAATTTGAATCCGGATAGGGAAATTCTGAATCTTTTCCAACCGCGGATATCATATGATTTTATCTCAATGTTTTGGTTGCATGAACTGCCCCCATTGGAAAGGATTTTATCTTTCTGTTTTTAATTTTATTTTATTTTTGTCATAATATCTCCCTTCTCTCATCTAAGGGACCATTAGATTAACTACCATAGAAAAATGTAGCGGTTGCAAAAATGTTCACAGTCAGTAATTTTTGGGCTTGATGGGTCCGTGATCTATAAGAATTATAAACATCTATTTCTGAAAGGTGTTGGTCAGTTTAGACTAGGATTACATGCTAATGATGCTTGTTTTTGGCCCAACTATTTATATGGGCCTCATACACATAAATATATAAATATACAGTTGTAGTCATGTTTCCGGAGGAGACATGTATTGAGTTTGGTGCGAGATAGTGTGAGATAGTGTGATGTATGGTCACTTGTCATTACCAATAGTGTGGCTTGTACTTAGACGACATCTAACAGTTGATTGTGTCGGTAAACAGAAAAAAATCGTGAAACTAACCTATCAAAATATAAAGTGAATGCGACTAGGAAATAATTTGTAGCCATCTCTATATAATGTTTTTTACATGTTTTCTGCGGCCATCGTTAATCAATGACATAGAGATAGGATACTTTTAACTTTTAAGTAAGATGTACTTATGCTAACCATTTTTATTTTACTTTTTGACATTAAATCCTATATCTTATTCTACCAACAATACTATGGATTTTTCTTTTGAGCCAAATGAAAAAACAGTTGAACTTACGTTTTTTAAAAAACCAAAACCTACTATTCTTAATCTCATTTAAAATACTTATTTGTGGATCGTTGTATGTAAATGTTTCATTCTATCACAAAACGTATTAACAAAAGTTTATTCATCAAAAGCTAACAGCTAAAATCAATAACTCAATTAATCTATTTACACTTACATTTAGTATACTACAAAGAAACAAAAACTACCAATTTCTGTTATATATTTCTATAAAATGGACGAAATAAGTAAATACCAAAAGAAAGATTTGGGGTAAGATGGCTTAATCTTCTAGAGGCCAACATATAAAAGGATCGGTGAACTGCTTCTTTCTTTATCTACTATACCAAATCAAATCGATACAACAGAATTGAGAATTTAATAAGTAAAATTTCACTTTTTTTACTTACAAAAAGAGAAGGTTTTATAATACAAAAGGTACCAAGAAATTAAAAAAAGGTTAAAAGAGATATTATACACAAAAAAGGCAAAAGATTTGTCGGTAGAGAGATTTTTCTGCAACAGACCGGTCGGTTTGAATCAGAAAGGATGAACATTTCTTGTTAAACCATTGACGTTAGTGAAGAAACCAACATGTTTGTATGGAAGATACGATCTTCGTTTACCTTCTTCTCTCATTGCTCTGTTTCTCATATACAACCTCTCATGTGCCGACTTCGTTCTCATCTTCTTCTTCTCTGTTCTCGTTTTCTCTTTCTCTTTCTCCGTTCTCTTCGATCTCACCGACGAAGACGACGAAGGTTGTTGGTTCTTGTCACCATCCCCGTTGCTTAGAAACACGAACGCGTCTTTACCGTCGCTGTTACTTCTCAAAACAAGATCTTTAAACCTCCATAGCTTCGAAAACCCTGTCGAGTTACTTTTCCGACAAGTCTCCGGCGTTGCTTCTTGAACCGTACGGCCTTTCCATGAACAGTACGGACCCATTGGTTCTTCTTCTTCTTCTTCTTGTTCGTCCTCCGCGGTTGTGGATTCCACGAAGAGTTTCTTGAGAGGTGAACGTAAAGTTTGCTCCTTTGGATCGTCGTAGAGAAGATTCCGGTTAAACAGAGGATAAACCGGTCGGATCTGACCGTCTTTAAACGCTTCATCTGCGGTTATCGGTGAGTTCTCTGCGTTTACACTTGCGAATGAGAACTCTTCTCCTTCTCGTTCTCCTTCCTCATCTTCTTGATTAGATTCGGCTTTGGTCTCGTTCTGATTCCACCATGATGATTTCTCAAGATTGTTATGATGATCTCTGTGTTCTTGCCCTGTGGTGGAACCTATCTTTAATTTTGAGCCGAAATCGTTGTTTAATTTACCGTAAACCTCTGAAAATCTCTCTTTTCCGGCGAACTTCTGCGCCGGAGATGAAGGAGAAACAACTTGCATCTTTTTTTCTTTATTATCAATCAGATCTATAAAAACACATAAACACAAAAAGTTTGTTTTTTCTTTTTTCTTTTTTTCCCTCTTCTTGTCTGAAAGAGAAACCTGAAAATAAGATTCGAGTATTGTTGAGATTTGATAAAAATAGGTGAAGCTTTGCTCTCTTTTATATATGGTTGGGATATTATTATTAATTAGCTCCCAAATCTTAATAACACCACCACCTCCTTTTTTTCTTTTAAAAAAAAAGAAATTGTGAAAGATTTAAAATAATATGGTCAAATATCGTTGTTAATCTCCGGTCAAACTTAACTTAATAAAATTGGTCTACAATAAAATTACTAAAATAATTTGTTATCCATATCTAACAAAACAGAATCAAAAATACGTAGTACTTGTTTTTGCTTACGTTGAATGAATTTGGATTCTAGAACAAAACTAGTTGAAGGCTTAACCTTGTCTTCATAGAAACATTATAAACAAATTAGTCTTAGATTGTTGTTGTTAGCATATATAATATCTTTTGACCAAATAAAAAAGAAGCTAGAGATATATAAATACAAAAAGAAAATTTGGTTTTTAGCTGAAAACAAATATCTCAATAGTTAAATAAGACCTTCCTCCAATCTAATCACACAAATAATGTAAACCCAAAAAATACGAGAAAAAAGATCAACATATTTCAACATTACTTGATAAAGCTAGAAAGCTAAAAAATACTAGAAATAATAAAATAAGAGATTTCTTTCTTTTTTTTTGGGCCAAAACAAAATAAGAAATTTCGAATGCATTTTCCATTTGTTCCCTTTTTTGCCGGTTGAAGTAAAAAAAAGCGCGTCACGGCGTGATGGGCAATGAACATGGCGACGAAGCTAGGCGCTGACGATAAAGAATAAAAGGGTAGAATCGTAGTTATCTCTAAGTTTACAGAACCATTACTTTGTTCGAGAAGCAAAACACGAACGCGACTTGTTCAAATGCACTGACATGTGTACTGACGTGGAACGTATCTTGAGGTCCACGTGTTGACTTTGCACCAAACCAAAAAAATAAAAAAGTTGAAATGTTCGAGAAGCTCACTTGTTTTTTTCTTTTTCATGTGTTACGTTGAGTAGTTGACCTACAACGTTATTTGATACTATGCCTTTGGTGAATCTTGACCAATGTGGGTTGCTATGGCCTATGGTCAACTCAACGCGATTGGTAGACTTTTCCCTTCCCTAACCACATGGAATGATTCGGTTCGGGTCATGGACTCATTGGTTTTATAAGGGATTAATTTACGGTTCTCAAATTGGTTTAGATATTTCTTTGTAGATATTTTTCTTTAATAAATTTCGATTATGCTTTTGTGGAGATTTTTTAAAACTTTTAATTATGCTTTTTCGGATATTATGGATATTTTATTGGCTTTTGGATTTTTCGGTCCACTGGTTCAAAGATAGTTGAAAATGACCAAATGACAAAAATTGAAAATTGAAAAAGAGAAATATATATTGAAAACTAAAACGATTTTTCTATAAAAGAAAATGTAGACGATATTTATTTTGGAAATGGAAAGATTCTGCAATAGCATTGGAAAAAAAAAACTCCCAAGATCATTAAATGAATAATTAAAAAGAAAATAAAATCAGGGGAAAAAAATAAATCAAAACAGAGAAAAACAGTTACTACTCACTAATTCGGTTGGCGGAAAACATATAGTTTTATTTATGATTCTATGGTTTTTTTTTCTTGGGATGTGGAGCAAATTTCATTAATATATTATCCTGCGATCAAATTTGCCACATGTGTGGTCATTAGGTTACCACATACATTACGAAAAGACCGACCAAGAGTTATGAGTATGAAGTGGCAAAATAGTGTTAGGCAGTTCCATTTATTGGTGTGTATAGCATAAATGGGAATAGGTCGCTGTTGGTTCGTTGGTGACTCACTCTCAGTCGTGCACTGTGTGTAATTAGTTAGTTGTATTACAAATCTCTATAAAAATGAAAAATCTCATCATAGTGTTTTACTTAATATTCGTATAACATGGAACGCATTATATGGTATGTAAAAGGGACGTTTTAATTAACCATTAGGTAAAAAACACATTAGTCTCCCCTATGCCAACTAGTATTCTATTGTGAGATCCTCATCAAAAAGTAGCACATGAGACTTGAACCCATGACCTCAAACACTACATAGAAGCACTTAAACCATTTTGACACTTATAACTTTAATTTTAATGTAATTTTTTTAGTTTTTAATAGGTTGTTGGGTGCAACTGCCCCTACTTTCTTCTTAGTGGGTCCGCCCCTGTTACCTTTTATGTACACATCTAGTTTCTCACTTCTCTTATACCCTTTGTGTACAAAAAAACTATCATGAAGAGAACTTAACCACTAAACAATGAAGTGAATATGATCATTACCAAACAATTAATAACAAAGATGGTTTGAGTAGTTTGCAAGTAATGCATGTATGTTCCATGTGCTCAAATAAACGGGGGGAAATGATAAATAAGAGCTCTTATTACATATCGATCGAATATGAGGAATTAATGCTTTGTGCCCAAATTTAGAAATGATTAGTTGGTGATCGAGAAGATAGTTAGAACGTGGACATCAAGGATATAATGTCATAATCATCCGAATTTACAAAACCACGAAAAACTATTCACGCGTTTATTGGATTTTGTGGTCCTAAATGATAATGATGTTGAATGAAAAACATTATAATATACCACAAATGAGTTGTTTGTTTCCATTATTCAAAAAAAAAAAAAATTTACTTGTTTGTTTCCATTATTCAAAAAAAATAAAAAATTTACGTCCTAATCGTAAGCAAATAAATTAATCATATTTTTTGGTAGGTTCTACTGATTACATTACTTGGTTAATATGGTTCCTAGATTATCAAGACATTAAGATATTTCATTTTCTCGAAGAGACTTTTATATCTATATTACATCAATGATATCACGAAATTTTGATATATAAGCTAATCTTATCGGAAAATTAGAATGACAAATCGGGAGAAGCCTTTGTCCCTACACATGTGGGTTACATAAAGTTCCATAATCCGACAGAACTCTTATTATATGCAATAATTTGTTTTGTTTGTTTGTAATTTGGTTGAATTGAAACGAGCGATGATTTGATACTCTACGGACCAAAGCTGCCGCCGCAAATTGCTATCATGTCGTCGGATTTTTGTTATGGTGCTCTTTTGTATTTTTTAGGCATTTGGTCTGTACATATATTCTGATGAGATATCACAACAACTTCCAAGTTTAAAGAAATTTTATATATATATATATATATATATATATATATATATATATATATATATATATGTTAAGGTTAATTTCTCTCCTTTTTAGAACATTTTTTGGATAACGAGCACTTAATCAGTCTACTTCTTATTCTAAGAATCGATCAATAGGATAAACCACCATTATTTATGGGCTCTTAACCAACTTTTATCTTAAGATTTGTTAAGAGATTTCTCTTATAGATAATATTGCTTTAGGAAGCATTGACTTTTTGTTTGTCAACGATATAGGCGTGAGTATCAAGCATATATAACATACACACACCATATGCTTACACTAGCCTAATCAATTTTTAAATGAGAGTCAGAATATACCTTTGCAACTTCTCTATGCAGTTGGACATTTTCACACACTAGAATTTTTTTTCTTAAAGCTTGTGCATACCTTCACGTTGTCAACACTTATACATGATATAGAAATATTGTTGGTCAAAGACTTTTCTCTAACTTCAAGATTAAGGAAGTTTATTTTGCAATGGCTATGTATGTTTACGTTATATTCTTTATTTCGATAGACTATTGATCGAGTGAAGCACTATTGGGAACATAGAAATATAATTCACTAGGTGGAATAGGACTATATAGGGAGGAATATCTTGAGCTTGTTAAAGAAGAAAGAAGCTGTTGATTAAGTATCGTGATTTTACATGCTTCGACCAAGAACTAAGAAGTAACAACGAGCAAAAGGAAAGAAATAAAACCATCATCAAGAAGAAGAACGAACTCTCTCATCCCTAAAGACTTAACCTAGCCAATCCAAAAAGCTACTAGCCACATAGAGATTGCGATATCTATCTTCATTTGTCACACTTTGGCAATGAGCTTAGCTCCTTCATTCGCTGACGTCCCTTCCATTCAACTAATGACCTCTAATACCGCCAAGATTTCAAGAATAGATTGAAAACCTGAAAGATGACTAAGCTTTTGAGGTCACTATTAATTAACTCCCACTAACACAACATGCAAACATAATCATACTTATTGTTGGATGATTATTTCAAAATGGTAAGGAAAAGTGACGTAAGTTATTAATAAACGAGCACACGAGGAGAAGATTTGAGAAACTGATACATAAAACATAACCATCAATACACTTTCTCTCAATAATCTATAAAATTAAAAACCATGCCAAAGATTAAAACATTCATGTGGAAGAATATCTCAAATAGTGGGCTCTGGAAGTAGTTGATAAATATGTATATCACATGCCTGATTTAGAGTTCTGATACGAAAATATCACCAATTAGCAAATGTTCATTAATTTCTCCAAATACATTTTTGTTCTTGTAACGTTTATCTAAAAGAAAAAGTCCATAAGCTTTGTCCCTTGGATTACATGAAAAACATAAAATACTTTTCCATCAGTTTAAAGGGGAAAACAAATGTAATTTGATGAAGTGGTCATCAAATAAACTAGGTAAACTAACATTACTGATTAAAAGATAATACATAAGTTATATTTAGACAAAATGAAAAACCAAATCATACAACTTTTACTTTTATCACAGAGAGCTAGAAAAAATAAAAAAAATCAAGTTGTTATAAATAAAAAAATCACTATTCTTTTTGTAACACAAAATCGCCCAATGGGGGATTTGTTTAATAAATAAATCAAAAAATCACAAGAAGACGAAAAGAAAGGATCCAATTAAATATCGGATTAGATTTTTACTAAATTAAGACATTGTCTGGTCAAAATCACCAAAAAGCAAAAAAAAAAAAAAAAAAAGGTTTGATCTCTTCATCATCATTTAACATAAACAACATTTTGCACTGTCCTCTCCAAATCTTTTTTTTTAATGTGAGGCTGCTAGATTCGAATCTTTACTTTTTCCTCTCACGAGCTTCTCGTCGGACCTTCTCCTTCTACCTCTTTCTCGTAGCCTCCGACGCTGAAACGAATCGTTTAAAACTCGTAACTCAACAGACAACAACAAGAAGCAGGTTCCATTATCTCGCGCTGTTTTGTTTCGTCCTGAGGTTGTCTTTGTCCTCTCCTGCATTTTCGGGTTAGTGTTTCTTTTTTTAACAATGCGAATTTGATTATAATAAAAAAACTCCTGAAAATTGTTTCTATAGGGAATTAGAGAATGGCTGGTTCATCATCATCATCATCGAAGAGATTTCCTCTTTATGCTAAAGATTACGAGTTGTTTGAAGAGGTAGGTGAAGGTGTTAGTGCTACTGTGTACAGAGCTCGTTGCATTGCTCTCAACGAGATTGTTGCTGTTAAGATTTTGGATCTCGAAAAATGCAGGAACGATTTGGTTCGTTTATAAATTCTCAATCTTTTTTGAATTCTTTATCTCTGTTGTTACCATAACATTACATTTGATATGAAGTTTCATTTTTTGTTGTTGTTAATGTAGGAAACAATACGCAAAGAAGTTCATATAATGAACTTGATTGATCATCCGAATTTATTGAGAGCACATTGTTCGTTTATAGACAGTAGTAGTCTGTGGATTGTGATGCCTTATATGTCTGGTGGTTCTTGTTTTCATTTAATGAAATCGGTTTTTCCGGATGGTCTTGAGCAACCTATTATTGCTACTCTGTTGAGGGAAGTGCTTAAAGCTCTTGTTTATCTCCATCGACAAGGTCATATCCACAGAGATGTTAAGGTAAAAGATTGGAAAAATTCTCTGTCTTTTGTCTTGTGTTTTGAGTAGAGGGATCATGAGTTTACATTGTTTTATTTCTAGGCTGGGAACATATTGATTCACTCAAGAGGTGTTGTGAAACTTGGAGACTTTGGAGTTTCAGCTTGTATGTTTGAAAGTGGGGAAAGGATGCGTCCAAGGAATACATTTGTTGGAACTCCTTGTTGGTGAGTCCTTAGTACTCTGACTAGAATCAAGTTTCTATATTGGTGGTTGATTCTTTCAAAAAAATTGAATCTTTTGGCTTTTCAGGATGGCACCTGAGGTTATGCAGCAAGTAGACGGATATGATTTCAAGTATGTATGTGTGTTTACTAGTAGTCCATATGCATAGCTATCACAAGTAATTAGCTTAGGTTATTGATATTTTACATTTCTCTGTTTGGCTTATTAGAGCAGACATATGGTCGTTTGGCATAACTGCGCTGGAGCTTGCTCATGGTCATGCTCCATTTTCTAAATATCCACCTATGAAGGTGAGTCCTACCTGTATACAAGTTCATGGCCATCATGGACTTATGATATTTCCTTATCCGCATCCACTGTTTCTTTCAATGTAGTTTTTTACTTCAATCTTACTCTGCTGGTTCTCTCAACTATTTTTCAGGTGTTATTAATGACTTTACAAAATGCTCCTCCTCGCCTTGACTATGAAAGAGATAAGAAATTCTCAAAGGTAAGTGGGATTAAATGATGTACAACATATAGAAGTAGACTCCATTTTTCTTTCACTTAGAAAGGAACGGTGTCCTTTTCGCAGTCATTTAGAGAGTTAATCGCAGCTTGCTTAGTTAAAGATCCAAAAAAGCGTCCAACCTCAGCAAAACTTCTGAAACACCCTTTCTTCAAACATGCTCGGTCTACAGATTATTTGTCTCGTAAAATCCTTCATGGTCTTTCTCCACTTGGTGAACGTTTTCAAAACCTGAAGGTGAGTTGAAGAATTTACTTATCTGTTGGAATTTCAGTATCTTCATTACTTACCTTATATATAAGTAGATGTTTTCAAACTGTGAAGTTTCTCTTATGTTGGCTTTACAGGAGGCAGAGGCTGAGTTGTTTAAAGGCATAAATGGTGACAAAGAACAGTTATCTCAGGTACAAAGATAAATAACAATCTAACATCTCTTACCTCTTTTGGTACTAATCTATAATCAGTATATGGAGATGCGCATCTATTCAGTTATCTTTGCAGTCTACCTAATTTAGAATCATGTAATGCTTTCTTGCAGCATGAGTATATGCGAGGGATTAGTGCTTGGAATTTTGATCTCGAAGACTTGAGGAGGCAAGCATCACTTGTAAGTAATGTCATGTCTTAAAGTAAACGTAAAACTAGTCTTTTTCGCTCGCTCTCAATGCTTCAGTGTTCTGCTATCAGATTTCAAATGATGAAATGTGCAATTCAGAGATTCAGGAACTGAACGAAAATGGGGAAGTTGAACTTGATGTACCAAAAAGAAACACAGTGGTACAAAGGTCACAGACTTCTTCAGAATGTCACTCAGAAAAGGCAAGTGTCATTCGTTCGTCCTATGAAGGCATATCTCTGCGTACCTATTTTGCATTTCAGTTAACCTCTTGTCATACCCTTTTCCAACTTACAGGATATGATGAGTGAAAGTGAGAGTCAATCAACCAGCCCATTACTTCCGACTCTTGGGTACTTTATAACATTTTCTCTTCTCTGTACAATAGTAAATCCCATCTGTGGAGTCCCATTTCACCGCAACCCTCCCCTTATAATGTTTTCATGTGTCTGTTTATTAATATGATAGGTTATATAACATAGTCATGACTAGGATAATCCAAAGTTACATACTTTGATATCTCATTAGTTTGCTTGTACAACTTAGAAATAAACATATTGGAACAGATATCAAGTTGGTATCCTTACAGATGAAAGCAATGCATGTTACTCTAGGGAAGGAACTGAAGAGAAGCTCGTTCCTGAAGAGCCACATCTACTAGAACCATTAGCGGATACAAAGCAAGTGAACAAAGCAGGACATGAGCCGGTAGTTTTGAATTACTTTGAATAAAATGTCATGCTGTTCTCGAGATTGTGAAACCTTATCTTCATAGTTCTTTTATCAGGAGAAACCAAAAAATGGCTACACAGTTAGTCCTGTGAACCAAACATCTTGCGCAGCAACGGAAATCCTCCCACTGTTACAGAGTCTCCTGGTTCAGAATGACATTCAGAGGGTGTGTTTGTCTGTTTCAAACGCTTCTCGTTGAGAAAATGGTTATTTGGATTTTTTGTCTTATGAGAAATTCAAATTGTGTTTGGTTTCATGGCAGGCAAAAGTAATCAGACTAATTAGATTATTTGATGGAAGTGCAGCAGGTACTGTTGTCTCTTATGAGTCTCATAAGTAGTAGATTTTGTTTCTTCTTTCAAGTAATAAGTTTTGATAGATGAACCTTTTTACAATGTGTACAGAAACCGGAAGGAGTCATATCCCGAAAGTGGAAGGAGTGCAGGTATGCTATTTTTATCATGTGCTTCAGTGCTTGACGCATGTAGTAGAAAGTGCAGCAGAACTAATAGCAGGAAAATTCACAGATATATCCATCAAAGGAGAAAGATCTGCAATCTCATGTTCAGTTTTTGGAGCAAAGGTAAATAGCATAACTACTTGTACTTTTCGTCTTTTTTGTTTGCTTTGAGGATTACTATTTGATTAGAAAGTTGAGATAAGTTTGTTTCATGAGTTTTTTTTTTTTCAGTGTTGATAAGCTTGTAGATGAAGTTCAGAGAAGAAAAGACATAAATAGTCAGGTAAATTCAAAATGTGGGAGTAAATACATATCAGAGATCATATGAGAGTAATCTAACTAAAAAGATGAATACGTTTTGCAGCTAGAACAACAAATCAACTCTCTAATAAACAGCAACAACATTCCTTAAAGCTTAATGGAGAGAAGATGATTCTTTAATGTAATTCAATATTTATATATAATAATTCGCACAAATTAACTCTTTTTCAGGTTTTTTACATAAATAAAATCTATATTAGTTCATCCCTCTTAAATGTCATATCAGAGACCAAGAAGCAACGGAAGTGACACAATAGGCATATCGGGGATTTTTACCAAGTGTCTTTGTATTACTAATTGTCAAATCTGGTTGATCACAAGCTAACGAGTAAAAAACAAACAAGAAAAGGTAAAAAACAAAGAAAGTGTGTTTTTCATTACTGCAATCTATATATCTTCTTCTATATACTACTAATGTGTGAATGTGTTGTTTCTTGTTGTTTCGAACCTACTCCATTATGTCCTCAGCTCCTGTTAAACTTTGGCTACTTGTGGTAAAATCTGTAAACGTCAATTTCTTCTCTGCCAAGGACAAAAAAAGTGGGATCAATACTCTAGTCTGACTAATATTCTAACAAACTAAAGTTATGAAAAAGTAATTAGACCTTGCTCCATAAGCAAAACATTTATCATTGACTGATTATGAAATCTTGTTAAAGGAGACTTACTTCTACTTTTTTTTGTCCTTTCTTTCTAACGCCTCTGGTTCTTGAGAATCTTGAAAAGAAGATGATCTCCAACCACTTCCCTCATCTTCTTAACTAGCTGCTCTCTTCTCAGCTTCCGTTTCTAACAAAAGAAAAAACAAAATCAACGTTTCAGAAACCAGAGATGTATAGATAAATCACACTGATCATGGATATTGTAATAACTCCGTACTCTAAAATCATCATAAGTTGTCAAGATCATGTTCATTCTTGTAGCGTCGAGTGACTTTGAAAGTATAGACATAAGAACAGAGAAGCTAACACATGGTGACCTTGCTCTTCTAATAAGACCTGCACAAAACATTAACTTCACTCTCAGATTAAAACCACAAAACACAAAGAATCTTGAATAAGTTTGTGTTATTATTATTACCTCTGAGACGAGGAGACTTGAAACTGACGATATAAGTGGGAAGAATGTGGGAATTCATGTTAGAGCTCCAAATCACATATTTCCTCGGATTCTCAAGATTATCAACACCAGAATCAAACCGGTACGAGCTTGGTTGAAATTGCTTAGAACCAGCCACGATTTGTTCCGGTTTACCAAGAATCACACGGCACAAGAGAACATGCTTCGTCCCTTCTTCATCACCTTCACCAACTAAAGCCCTGAAAGCAGAACCATTAATTAGTTTCACTGTTTCATCAAAAGTGATCACATTAACCAAAAGACTTACGCAGCGAGAGAGTATCTATGATGAACAAGATGAATCCCAACACCGTGAGATCCAGCGTCATTCTCAAACTTCTCGATCTCTCTGTTACTAAAACCATACGTAACGATACGATCGATCTCTTCTTTAGAACCAGAGTACCATCCGTACTTAACGTTCGCGACTCCTTCGTTCTTCCTCGTCAAAGCTTCGGTGAAAACTTTAAACGCTGCGAACTTAGCTTTCGTCGTGATTCTTCTCTCCGTCGAGTTCTTACGCACGGAAACGATCGTTGTTTCCCCGGAGAAAGAACCCATTCCCGAGAGGAAACAGTTCTTGATGAGATCGTTCTCGAAGCTGTCTTCACTTAGAAGAATCGTTGAATCGCCGGAGAAGTTAGGTACGGCGTTATCATCGGAGACGGGGTTGAAGATTTCGCCGTTGTCTTGTCTCGTCACGGATTCTTGATCGTCGATCTCGACTTGTGCCGCCATTAGAAAGAAAGAGAAACAGAGAGAGAGAGAGAGAGAAGAAGAAGAAGGTTGCTTGGGGAAAAAGGAGAAATGGTGAAGGTTTGTTTCAATGGCGGTTTTAGGGATTTACAGTTATAGGTAAGAGAGAGAGAGTGTACGTACGATTAAAGCGAAAACTTGGCCAACAAGTTTCTAAATCTATATTCTTCAATTACTAGTTTACCCTTTTAGACTATATTTAGAGAATTCCCAAACATTATTGAGGTAATGAACGAAACAAATATGAATATGATAGCATGTGGTTATACTTAATGGTTTGTGACTTATAAGCTCCCAGTCAAATTTATGAACAACATTACTTATAGAGAATACCAAAATAGTGTAGAATCTTATTAAGTCATCAAATATGTATGCGTGTACTGTAGATATTTCGAGGTCGGTTACATAATAGTGTACGAATTCTCTTCTATCTTTGTTTTTTCTTGTGAATAGGAATAATATTGGTGTATTATTATTAATAGTTAACTTGTGAAATTGAAAATGCTTCCATTAGTTTCCTTCTACATCACATAATTCTGAAGTTTTTGATAAATTATTTAGATATAAAATAATGATAATTTTAGATAAGAAATATTCAATAGAATTAGTTTTGAAATAACATAACTTTCGTGTATTCGGTAAACATTATACAATTTCTTTTTCCTTTTCAAAATGATATGATGACCAAACAAAAAAATAATCCTAGATTTCTAAGATTTAAAGACATTAGAAATCAATGAGCCCAATAGGTATCAACAGGCCCAATACGTTTTAGACTTTCAAAGCCACACAGTAGGTTCGAATTAGAGAAACACGTCATAGTGTGTTGTTGTTCTTTCTTGTTTATCCGACGTGTCAGATTTAAAACAGATCAAGTCGGTTCAGGGAACTTTGCGCGGTAACCCGGATACTGCTAAAAACGACGTAGTTTTGGATCAAACGGGCACAGCAAAACGACGTGCTTCCAATGAAATTTGAAAAAGAAGATCATGGGCGAGCTGTTACAATTTTTATAAAACAAAACGAACAAGAGAGAGAGAGAGAGGTCCTCCATTAACGTGTTATTATTTTACATTTGACATATTCATATTATAATTTCGTAATGGTACGCATTTCTCCAGCTTATTTCCAGGTCTTCGCTTTATAAACATTTTTTTTTAATCTTTCTGTGATTAGAAAATATTTGTTTATTTCGGATGTTATTTGAATTGAGTTGTTTACAGTTGCAGTACCAGATATTTTTTTAATCAATGGATGAATTTTAAGGTATAGTTTCGTATTTTTTTTTAGAAGAGAGACGATAACTCTGCTTCTGTTTGAGTGATTTTGAATTTTCAGAAGCAGAGTATTTGCTAAAAACAGAGAGAACCAAGGCGAAAATGTCGGACTCGCCGTCTTCTTCTCCACCTGCACCGTCTGCCGATTCTGCTCCTCCGCCGGATAACTCAACCGGCGGATCCGCTCCTCCACCTACGGATTCAGCCCCACCTCCTAGTCCGCCGGCTGATTCATCTCCGCCTCCAGCTGATTCATCTCCTCCTCCGGCTGATTCTTCTCCCCCTCCGCCGCCGGCTGATACATCTCCTCCGCCTGCTGATCCATCTCCTCCGCCAAGTTCTCCACCTCCTCCGGAAAATGCTCCACCGCCGTTGCCTACTGTGTTCCCTCCACCTCCACCGGAAGACTCACCCCCGCCGGAGCCCACCAACTCCCCTCCCCCACCGGAAGTGTTTGAATCGCCACCGCCTCCGCCCAATGAAGCAGACAGCCCTCCTGCTCCTCCGCCTCCTGAACAGGTACCTCCTCCAGCGTCTTCACCGCAGGCGGGACACAAGAAACCTAAAAAACACTCACCAGGACCTAAAAAATCTCCTTCAGCACCAACCAAATCACCTTCAGCACCTGCCAAATCGCCACCCGCTCCTCCACCCGCTCCTCCGCTAAACTCGCCATCTCGCGGAGTCCCCAGCAGCGGAATCTCTGTCCCGCCACCACCAAATGGCGGTGGCGGCTATCAAGGAAAGACTATGGTAGGTTTTGCAGTAGCGGGTTTCGCGGTCATTGCCTTGATGGCTGTTGTGTTTTTAGTCAGAAGGAAGAAAAAGAGAAACGTTGATGCTTACAGTGACTCACAGTACTTGCCTCCTTCAAATTTCTCCATCAAATCAGGTTAAATCTTGATCCATCTCTCATCTTCTTGTCCATCTTCAAGAATCAAATTTTAAAGTTTTCTCTTTTGCTTTACTTAGATGGATTCTTATACGGTCAAAATCCAACAAAGGGATACTCTGGTCCTGGTGGTTACAATACACAACAACAATCCAGTACCGGAAACAGCTTTGGCAGCCAAAGAGGAGGAGGAGGTTATACACGGTCAGGGAGCGCACCTGATTCAGCAGTGATGGGAAGTGGTCAAACGCATTTCACTTATGAAGAGCTAATGGACATAACTGAAGGATTTTCTAAGCAAAACATACTTGGAGAAGGAGGGTTTGGTTGTGTCTACAAAGGTAAACTAAATGATGGAAAACTAGTTGCTGTTAAGCAGCTTAAGGTTGGTAGTGGACAAGGCGACCGTGAGTTTAAGGCAGAGGTTGAGATCATTAGTCGTGTTCATCATCGCCATTTGGTTTCTCTTGTTGGTTACTGCATTTCGGATTCAGAGAGATTGCTTATCTATGAGTATGTTCCTAACCAAACCTTGGAGCATCATTTGCATGGTGAGGTTTTTTTGGCCAATTTCCTCATCAGACAAGATTTTTTTTTGTGTGTTAATCGACATGTTTTTTTTGCTTACATGGGTTCTGTTCTTGACAGGGAAGGGAAGGCCAGTCCTTGAATGGGCTAGAAGAGTCAGAATTGCTATAGGTTCTGCCAAAGGTTTGGCATATTTGCACGAAGACTGTAAGTACTGCTTTTTTCTTGCGTGTGAAGGCAATGTTTAGGCATTTCAAAAGTTCAAACAGAAGCTGAATCATGGTGACTTTGTTTGCAGGTCACCCAAAAATCATTCACAGGGACATCAAGTCCGCAAACATCCTGCTAGACGATGAGTTTGAAGCTCAGGTAATAAAGCAAATCATCTTTAAAAAGAAAACATTTACTCTGTTTTGAGCTTTGGCTCTAAAGTTTTAATTAGTTGATGAGACATTTATTTGTTCTTACATTTCTGTCTCTTGGTGTCTAGGTTGCTGACTTTGGGCTTGCCAAACTCAATGATTCAACACAAACCCATGTGTCAACTCGTGTTATGGGAACCTTTGGGTAAGATTGATCACAAACTCTACCCCAATATATAGTCAACCTATCTTCAGGAGCTTAAACTTGTAAAACTGACGAACTAGTTTTGATTCTCAAAAGTACATAAGGATTTATGTTACTGAATTTTGTTTTCAGGTACCTAGCACCAGAATATGCACAAAGCGGAAAGCTGACTGATAGATCAGATGTATTCTCATTTGGGGTTGTTCTCTTAGAGCTTATAACAGGACGCAAACCAGTTGACCAGTACCAGCCTCTGGGAGAAGAGAGTTTGGTTGAATGGGTACTAAAGACTAACCTGTCTTGATATTTCAATATATGGTTAGACTTGGCTCTAGTTTTATGAATGACATAATCTATGATGAACTCACAGGCTCGCCCACTGCTTCACAAAGCCATTGAGACCGGCGATTTCAGTGAACTAGTCGATAGGAGGCTAGAAAAGCACTACGTGGAGAATGAAGTTTTCAGAATGATTGAAACGGCTGCTGCTTGTGTTAGGCATTCTGGTCCTAAACGTCCACGCATGGTTCAGGTACTTATGACTAATCAAATCTCAACAAAGAACAATCCTATTTATGTCATGTTTTTGTTTATAAAATTTGAAAATCTTACACAAAACTTGTTTGAAATAAGGTTGTGAGAGCACTAGACAGCGAAGGAGACATGGGAGATATCAGCAACGGAATCAAAGTGGGACAAAGCAGTGCTTATGAATCTGGTCAGTATAACCATGACACCATGAAGTTCAGGAAAATGGCGTTTGGTTTTGACGACAGCTCAGAGTCCGGCATGTACAGTGGAGACTACTCTGTCCATAGCTCCAGGAAAGGATCCAACGGAGCCTCCTCTGAGTTCACAAGGAATGAATCCGACAACAGAAACTTCAATAACAGGCGGTTCTGATTCAAAGATAGGTCAAACTTATAACCTCTTCTTCTCTTGTCTTTGCCTTATAATCACTCCTCATGCTTGAGCTCTTTGTACAGCATTAATGCTCTCTTTTGTATTCTTTTGTGTGTGAGATACGTTTCTTGCTAGCTTACCTTTAGTTTTGCTTCCATAATTGTGGACATTTGCCTCAAAAGACTTATCATAGGTGAGAACAGAAAAAAAGCAACAACAAAAAAGAAAAAGAGAAGTCACAACAGTGTTCTGTAAGAGTGATTTTGAATCTTGTTTGCTTTTGTATGTTTCTCTGTGTTGAGTTTTGGATTTTTTTGTTGTGTGTGATAACATGAATGAAGAACTCCATCATCTTATTTTTTCACATATTGAGCTTAATTGTTGTTACTTGTCATCTAATTTTTTCTTTTCTTGCTTTCATTATATAATTTGATATCTAATTAAGTTCCAATACCCCATATGTAACAAAACCAAACGACACAAAAAAGACAAAAAAATAAAACAAACAAGAATACAATAAAGTAAACAAGCATGATGAAGTCTCTAGTCTTATTTAAGATTTAAGACTCTGTTCTGACCGGAGTTTGAAGTCGGAACCACCGTGTCTGAAGTGCCCTTAGACATGGTGACTCCATGTTTAATACATAACCGGAGGTTGTCTTTTCCCTCCTGCTCCTCCTCCTCCTCCTCTTCCTGCTCCTCCTCCTCCTCCTCTTCCTGCTCCTCCTCCTCCTCCTCCTCTCTTGTTATCAAACCCAAACTCAATGTCCCCTCCGTTTCGACCAGAGGGTTTACCCATTGGACCAGGCCGCTTCATATCGAACCCAAACTCCACATCACCTCTTTCTCTCGGCTCACGCTCCACAGGTCTGATCTCACGGCTCTTCTTTGACGACGGTTTCTCGTGCTTCGAAGCTTTTTTGTTGTTTTTTTCTTTGTGTTGCTTTCCCCCGCGGTTGCATAGCCTTCCAAAGACACAAGCCAGTGCCGCCAAGATAAGGATCGCTGCTAGAACTATGAACACTGTACCGAACGAGCCACGTGAACTAGAAGTGGGTGAAGGCGGGGTCGTATAAGAGGTAGAAGATGAAGAAGGAGATGGATACACGTAAAGAGGCTGCTGAATCTCTTGTGGTTGATCTCCCATTTTTATATCTCTAGTAGTTTTGGTTTTGATTGTGATTTTGGTGAGATATATGCTTTAGGAGGTCTGTGATAATGAAGAGTACTTCAATGTATTAATAGTAGTAGCACTCCTGTCTATGATCATGTTCTGTAAATAAAGTTTATGTGAGACATAGGTTTTTTATTTTTGAAATAAAGTTACATATAGCTTACTTTTGTGGAAATTATCAGTTTTTTTTTTTGTCTTCTTTAATAAAGAAATATTCTCTAGTTGTTTTTTTCCTTTTCTTTCGATATCAACAACATTGTGGGTTTTGTTTATAAGAGATGATGCACTTTAGAGCAATTTCTGATTGCTTTGTATGAAGAGAAAGTGGGATTTTGGTTAAGTATTTTGAGATGAGATGAGACACAATTCATTGTTTCCAAGAAAGATGAAATAAAGAGATTTGATGAGTGGGCGGATGCTTTACCAATCATTGACTCTATATACTACTCTTTAGATTCCCATTACCCATTAATTTATACACTTTTTGTTTGGTTTCTCTACTCTTCACTCTTCAATATCCAATTTTCAATTCCCTAGTGCTTGAATATATATTGTGTATTGTTATTATAAAGTTGGGCTAGATATGATCAGGAGAACAAAATGATGATTTTGCATCCACTGATTTTACAAAAGGAAAAAAGATAGGTGGCTACATCAACTATAGAGGAATGCATGCTCACACATACCAAGTATCATATTGTATATTCAACTACACGAACTAGATGTATTGCATGGCCACATGCATCAACTATACAACGTCATGTAATCAACACCATAAACATAAAATTATGGTACACCGGTCAACTGACTCTGGCGTTGACTGTTTTTGACCCAAAAAAGTTTCAAATTTTTTTATATAATTTTATTTTTATTGTTAAAAAAACTAAAAACTGTAATTATTTATAATGAATTGTTATGGTTTTGTATACTTTAAAAAAATATAATCTTAGGAAAAAAATTGTAACAATAATTTTTGTATTTTAGTAAATCACATAATAAGTTGATGGTTTTGATTGACAATGTAAAAATAAGCAATTCCTTACTAATTCATAAGATTTTCCAGTTTTAATTTAGATTCTAATATCTTGAGTTATTTTACTATTAGTTTAGCTCTAAATTTTTAAAATAACTAATTATAATAAGAATGAATACATTAAAGATTTAAACAAAACTAGTGTTTAGATATTGAATATATAAAAACAAAATCAATATTTTTTATTAAATTTTTTATGGTTTTGTATAATGAAAAATATATAATCTTAGGAAGAAAATTGCTATGATGATTTTGTATTTAAATAAATCAAATAATAAGTTAATATTTTTATTATATTATAGTTTTGTATAATTAAAAATTCAAAATTAATTATAGTTTTTAGTTTTTTAACAATAAAATAAAATTATGTAAAAAAAAAGTTTGGAATTTTTTTTTGGTCAAAAACGGTCAATGCCGGAGTTAACACCGGTCAACGCCAGAGTCAGTTGACCGGTGCACCAAAATTTTATGTCTATGGTGTTGACTACATGACATTGTATAATTGATGCATGTGGCCATGCAATACATCTAGTTCGTGTAGCTGAGTATACAATAGGATACTTGGCATGTGTGAACATATATTCATCTATAGTTGGTGTAGGGAGCATCTTTTTTCCTTTACAAAATCCACCACCAATCTTCTTTAGTATTCAAGTGTTAAACCCTTCTTGTGTGAGTTTCTAAGCTGAGGTTTAAGTCTTTTACTTTAGTTTTGTCTTTTGAGAGTGAGGGGTTCCACAAGTGAGAATGGAATGAGATCGTATTCAACATAGGGATTAGTGTAAAACATAATTTATAATTCGTTCTTTAACGCAAATATTCTTTTCTTCTTTCTTTCTTTCATATGTATTTCAAACTTTTTGTCTCCTTAATGCTATCTTCTCATCAATCACAAATGGCATCGGCTTAACGCGACCATTTTTGTTTTTTTTCACCAACTGGACCATCTTTATATTTTAAATTATATATACTTTTTTTCTTTTTTTTTCTGCTAAAATAAATAAATATATTCCTTGTATAAACATAACTCCTTCAAATAGTTTTCGATGATATGAAAAATCAAAAAACGTTTGTAACCATTTGCATAACTGCAATATTTTTTTTTTTTTTTTGCTGAAAATGAATTGTACTATCAATTACAATAAATTGGATTTATCAGTTTTAAAAAGAGATTGGATCATCATAGAAAAATTTCAGTGCGCAATAATCCTAAATTTGCATATAACATACCACAATAGGTATCGATGACATGTATTTGTCGAATTCACTTTTGAGAGAAGCTTTGATGTAAATAAGAATTGGACGAATGTTGTTATCTACTGAAATTTGACACATCAAATCACCGTAACAATGATCAGAAGTCAGAACGACCACGGTAACCTCCTGCATCGAGTGGATCAGTCCAAAATATTTTTTTTGATTTCTATGTCAACGATTTTGACAAAGATAACACAATCAAGAAAAAGACGGAGGTATACTTATACTTGAAATGAAAAAAATGGAACCGGCGTCCCAAATCGTTTCGGTGATGTTTTTTTTTAGTTTTTTTTTATCGATTACAATAAATTTACATTTATCGATAATGCTGATGAAAATCGCAGTAATCCTAAATTTTATTGTGTGAAAAGATAGTTGAGATAGTAGTTAAACCAGTTATATTAACCAGAATATTATTTTAACAAATCTAAAATTTAAAGGTGTGTCTATATTTTGCATATATGACATTGAATTCAACTCATTTTTAGTGTTGTAGTCTTAATTGTTTAAATGTTAGTGATGTATATTTTTCAAAGTAATGTATAATTTTCTTTAGCTATGTTTATATGTTTTATAGAAATATGCTTCATAATCAAACTTGATTACGGGTCAAAGAATAATTTTATAGTTAATGTATAACTGAAAAATGGAATTGTACAAAAGATGTATTAAATCTTTTTATACCAACAAGATACTAATGAGTTATTTCAATGATTTATCCTCATTTTTTTCGATGGCTCTCCCTATATTTTATCTCAAAAGAAATATTTCAAATATATTATTCTATATTACTTATACTTATTATTTTTTAAAAAATAAATGTCTCTCAAAATGATTTACTAATGGAAAAAAATTTCCTACAATTTTTAAATGTTTTTTACGTCAAAATAAGAGACCATTGGTAATGGTTTAAAAACTTACATCATTTTAATCTTCTACTAAAACAAAGTCTCAAATTTTAAACCCATAATTTCATGTGTTCAAAAAGTAGAACATATTAATGAATTCCTTTCACGCTGTTATAATACTCATCACCCATGAGCTTGAACAATGAACACTCTTCCATTGCTACCATATTTTGCACTCAATACAATCTTTTTAGAATCATAATAACTCCTCCAGAACTTTGGTCCAACCTAATAAATCTATTATGTCCAAACAAAAAGAAAAATATGAGAAATCAAAACAAAAGTAAATATTTTTAACTCACCATAGAGAAAAAGAGCCATCAAGTGATTGACGTTTTCCTAGCTGGGTAAAAACGGCACGCAGTTTGATAACTTTCAACGTTAGCTTCTTTTCTCCGCGCTAAGTCCAGCTAAAAAACGACGCGTGGCAATCGTGTTCCTCAATGGTCTCTTTCGTCTACTACACACAGAAAAAATAAAAGAGAACTGTGCCAACACTCTCGAATCCTTCGTATCGCGATTCAAAGTTTGATGATAGTTTCGTCGTCTTCTTCAATGGAATAACGTGTTTAGGCGTGTATCACATGGTGCTTTGTGTGACACCAAAACAACAAAAAGCTTCCATACGATTTAGACCCTTTGAAAAATCTGTCGATCGCTGTTGTAAAGATCTGGGTTTGTGTCCTCGATTTTGGTGAGGATTGTCGGGGAATAAGAAGACCCATCTCTCACTTTAATGCTCCCACAAATTGATTCTCTGTTTCTGAATCTGATTGTGATTTTACAGATTGTTCTGGTGAGTAAAGCTTTTTGCTCTCAGTTTAGATAATATTAAAAATCTTAAACTTTGGGGAGGTCTTACTTCAATTGTGTCATTAAATTCTTGTTTTTGATGTTTATTGTATTTGTGGAAGCTTTATACTTTAAGAGAATGTTTAATTCTTTGTTTATGTGTATGACCAATTCATATCATTTCCCACTTTTTGATACTGTTCTTTATATTTCCCGTCTCAATTGGCTTGAGCTCATGTTCAGTGTGTTGTTTCTGATTTAGACATGTACTTATGAATGTTGTTTATATACATTGTGCAGGGAATAAATGGGCAATCCGGGTCCAGACACTGAGAGAAACAAGAAAAATGTGGTCACAAGTGTGTTTGATCCTGCAATCTCTAGATTCGTTGGATTTTCTCAGAAGCTCCACACCCGTCTTAAGGTGATACTTTGATTCTGATTCCACGCATGCTTTTCAATGCCCTGTGATGTTTGTTATCTTGAAGAGGAGCTGAAAAAAGGAAGCATTTTTGGTCTATTTGTCACAGTCCCAGCTAAAGAATTTGAAAGCTGATAAACATGGGTTTGGTTCTTCATGGAGGCAAGATAAAGAAAACTCATCGAGTTCCATTCAAATTGATCTGGAGAAACAGATGGATATTTGGAGAGAAAACCCTTCGTGGACTGATCAGATCCCAGTCATTAAGGTGAACAAGAGACTTCACTCTTCATTCCACCTCATGATCTTATCAGAGCTAATGGGAATCTTGTTATATGACTGATAATAACAAGATTCTTTGCAGGTGAGTATTCCAAAAGGATCACTTTGCAATCTCAAAGCCGAGGTGAATGTTGGTTTACCTCCTGATGCAGTCTATAACATTGTGATTGACCCTGACAACAGAAGAGTCTTCAAGAATATCAAGGTATGTTTATATGTATCTTGTTCTCTTGTAAGAGTTAAGCTCTTGCAATTCATTGGGCTCGAAATCACAGGAGGTTATGTCGCGGAAAGTATTGGTAGATGAAGGGTTAAGGCAAGTGGTGGAAGTAGAACAAGCAGCTTTGTGGAGATTTCTCTGGTGGTCAGGGACAATCTCAGTTCATGTCTTGGTGGATCAGAACAGGGCAGATCACTCTGTAAGACCTCTCCGATTATAACAAAAGTCTCAACTTTCTTGAATGGTTCGTGAAAGGAATTTAAATGGGTGTTGCAGATGAAATTCAAGCAAGTGAAGAGTGGATTCATGAAGAGATTTGAAGGAAGCTGGCAAGTTAAGCCATTGTTTGTGGACGAACATATGTGTGATCGTTTGAAACCAAAAACGTTGGATGAGTATAACCGGTGCACTGGAGGCAAAGGGAGGATCGGATCTAAGGTCACACTAGACCAGCTAATACAGCCAGCAATTGTTCCACCTCCACCCATTTCTTGGTATCTCAGAGGAATCACGGCCAAGACGACAGAGATGCTCATCTATGACTTGTTGGCTGAGACCGCCAGGATCCGTGCAGCTGGAGAAATGGAGGATGGTCACTCGTCGGATGAGCAACGGACTGGGACATCAGGGGATATAAAGGAAAGATGGGCTGCACATAGAAGAACATCAAGGAGACGCCGGAATGATTTGTTTTAAGTCTCAAGTCCATGATTTTGTGATAACAGAAACCTTGAGGATTATTGGAACACGCAGCAATATAATGTTTGTTTTCATAAGATTCACTGCCAGATCAATGTGAGAATATGTATCCATCTACTTCCTTGTTGAAGAAAATTACAGTTACAATCATAACTTCTGACCAACATTGATATGAAATTTAGAATAGACAACATTTCGAAAGATATAACTTCATTCATTTTTTATTCTTTTTTTTGTAAAGAAAGAATTATCTATGCGATATATAAGATGCAGACATGAAACTATGCAATAATCAATCATATAAATCCATGTACAAATAAACGAAAACTATTTAAAAGGGTTCATCTAGTAATTAAACTTTAGGTACAAGACATCTACTTGCACAATCAGAAACATTCACATACCCAATAGCAAAATATCTATAATCTCTCTTGCATCCAACACAGCAGATAGAGTCATCTCGATGCAAAGCAATATCTCCCTCATCATGCCTGTGAAAGAGAGAACAAGAAGAAGAGATATAAGCATCACAAGAAAAAAGAAGAAACCAACTCGTTAGATTTGTGTTTTTTTTCAAAACTTCTGTTACCTTGCCAGTGATGTTTTTGGAGAGCCAGTCAAGACCTTCGTACAGCCCTACACCTGAAGTGGCACAGGTGCTCTGAATGAACCTTTAGAACGCATAACACACACACATAAATATATCGAACAAATTAAATGAAAAGGTTTTTTGATTTTTGGAAAATTGTTGGGATGTGTAATTTACCAATGACGCTGACGGATGGAGTGAAGGCCAAGCTTATCTGTGATTTCAGCTGCGTTCATTGCATTCGGAAGATCTTGCTTGTTAGCAAACACAAGCAACACAGCATCACGCAACTCGTCCTGCAATTTTTAAAAAGTTACTGTTAAGTATATAACAAAAGTCTAAGAGAAGAATCTCTCTTTCTGTAGCACAATGGTTACAGACCTCATTCAGCATCCTATGGAGTTCATCTCTAGCCTCAACAACTCTGTCTCTGTCATTGCTATCTACAACAAAGATAAGACCTTCAGTGTTCTGGAAGTAATGCCTCCACAATGGACGAATCTGAAAAAAAAAAAAAAAACAAACAAGAAAAAATTTACTTCCAAAACCTGTCAAAGACAAAAACAGATAAGAATCATCAGATTGTAATGATGGTACCTTGTCCTGACCACCGACATCCCACACGGTGAAACTGATGTTCTTGTATTCCACAGTTTCCACATTGAAACCTATTTGATAGCTTTTTAGTTTAATCACAAATCAATCACAACAAGAAACCAGAGTTATGATGTGAAAGAAGCTTTTACCAATAGTGGGGATAGTGGTGACAATCTCTCCGAGCTTGAACTTGTACAAGATTGTGGTCTTACCAGAAGCATCAAGACCAACCATAAGAATTCTCATATCCTTCTTGGCAAATATCCCACTCAACAGCTTGGCGAAAGTCAACCCCATTTTTTTGTTTTTGCTTCAAAAACACAAACGAAAACAGAGTATCAAAAAAATCTCATCCACATTCAACATTTGAGCATAGATCTAGATCAAACCGTACTTACGAAGACGAAAGTACCCGAGAGAGAAGATCTTAGAGAGCAGACGCAGATAAAAATTTGAAAGACAGAGAAGGGAGAAGAGAAGCTTAAGAGTTAAAGAGAAACGCGACGACGATGAAATTGGAAGTGTAGGAGACGATATTTTTTATAGAGGAGAAATTGCCATGTTAAATTTACGAAAGTACCCCTTTGGAATCTTCGATGACCAGGTGTCATGTGCTCTTCAGTGGATCCTGTAAGCTAACCAATTACATTCAGACACGTAAGCAAAAGTTTTTTTTTTAAGTGTGAACTCTTCTTCATTATTTGTTGATGCCGTCTGACCAATTAAAAGAAAATTGCAATGTCATTATCAATGTGTATATTAAGATAAGTTTAAATTAATTAATGAATCAAACTAATCTTGAAATCTTTAATTTAAAAGATAATTCATAATTTATAATTTTAAATAATAAAAGTATAAAACTAATCAGTTTATAGAAAAGAATCCTGTTTTTTTTTTTTATATTAGTTTATACTTTATACATTTTGTCAATGGGAGTTTAGTTTGGTTTGGTTCTTGGCTTAAGAATTAAGACCATCCTTCTATCAAGTTGGTTTATGAAGATTCTTTTTGTATAATAATCATTACGTAAAATTCTTTTAATTTATAACTAAGGATACTACAATGCTTTTCAATCTCATTGTATATGCTTCATTTACAATCTATATATATATAGGTCAGTTGCTAAGATGAATTTACAACTACATATAAGGTATACGTGCACATCCCTCACTATCAACGACCGTCAAAATATATATGTAGCGTACAACTATTATGGTACTTAAAGCTCGTCGTGAGCATTTTCAGTTTCTTCTCCGACCATAACAGTTTTTGCCAAATACTCATGCTGCGTTTGGTCTAAGCTCTTGTCGTCATGCGAATACAGACAATCCGCAGAAGGATGAACCACGCCGTAACCAAACCCTTCAGCAGAGTTACAGTATGCTTCTACATTTTTATCATTGCCTTCCAAATTGACATTGTTTAGGACAATATGGCTACAAGGGACTGCGTCACTGCAGGCAAATTTGATGGCTTTCGCGCTTTTTGTGGTTCCGGTTATGTTCCTGTACATGATCTCGGATATGTGAACCGCCGATGTCTGCATAGAAATATGAACCAACATATTAGTTTCTTTCTTGAGGTTTCTTGATATTAGTCAATGGTTATATGTGAAAACAAACCTGGTTTTGACAAGTTGATGGCGAATCGCAGTAGAATTGATCGATTATAATCGGATTTGCAACGTCCTGCATCTGGACGTTCTCGAAACGTACACCCTTTACGTAACCATTACCACCCTGTTTTCAAAGATGTTATCTTTCAATCAATCTTGACACTCTTTGGAAGAAATGTAAGAAAAAAAAAGCAATGATCATGAATTGAGATTTTACCTGCCATGTCTTGATTCTTAGACCATTAGTTGTGTTCTTTAGATACGCAGTGTCCAACACAACTGCAGAGACGATTCCTGTTGAATGTCCTTGTCCAAGGCTTCCAATGCTGCATGCAGAACCAAGAATTATAAATCTGATTTGAAAATGATGTATGTATAACTCTTTAAGTGTTTCTTCTTTGACAAGGTTAGAGATCGATGGTTCACCTAATTCCATGTCCTGGTCCACAGTAGATTCTCTTCATTTTTATCCTCGCGCTTCCATTAACAATTGAGACGCAATCATCTCCTGTTATCAAGTTTTAAGTGTCAGCTATAACATTTTTGGTTTAATATTACTATGCAAGAATAGTATTTTTGAGTTTTATATAAGATTTGGTGACGAACCTGTGCTGATTTTACTGTCTTGAACTACAACATCAGTCGATGAGGTTATATGAATCCCATCAGTGTTGGGACTATCTCCTGGAGATGTGACCATAACTCTAGAGATTCGAACTGTGGTTGACCGAGCAATGATCAAATGCATTTGTTGGCTGTTCCGGATTGTTAGGCCTCTCACATACACATTTGAACTTGAATATATAGTTAGCGCCTGTATAAATAAAGACTTTGATATTAGCAAAACCATACATGAAAATTATAAAGTCAAATGGTTGATGAACACAAAAAGGAAAGATTTTGGACCGTTGGTGCGCCTACGCAAGGCTACAAGAGAGAAAAACAAGAAAGCTTTGTCAGATCTCTACTTAAGAATTAGAAGAGAAAGTTCAGTTTAGGCAAAGAAGATCTTTACGTTAGACTTGTTCTTCTTGCAAGAAGCAGCCCACCATTTGGTTCCAGAACCATCTATTACTCCATTCCCTTGGAATACAACTCCTTGGAGCTTAGAAAATTGGAGCCAAACCCTTTGGAATTTTGGATCCCATTGGCTAGGCTCATCTGGTGCCACAATTGTTCCATCAATCTATAAAAAATCAGATTTCATAAATAAAAATGCATAAGACAATATGGTAACATGTATGATCTTTGTTGTTTTGAGGTTTAAGAACCAAACCAAACAGGAATTAAGAAGTTAAAATATGACCTGAATAATCAATCTTTCTTGACATGGACCATCAAATTTCGTCGCATTTACTAGATAACGACGTCCTTGAGGAACCAATAAGACAGAGTTTGGAGCAGAGCAGGCCATGGTCCAAGCACTTGTAAATGCCTGGTTATAAGAAAAACATTCCATCAGCTGATAAATTCTATAAATGGAGATTTTTGAATATCTATCCACCAGCATTATCATGCATCTTTTAAACCGATTCAAGCATAACACACCTGAGTATCATCAGAAACTCCATCTCCAGCTGCACTAAAACTATCCACATTCACCAAATTTTTACCAGAATATTGGCTTGTAAACAACGAGAAATCAAAGAAGGTCGCATTATCGTCAATCTCATCATCAGGGACATCAAGGTTCTCAAGCTTCCCAAGTATGTCAAGTTCCCTGTACGATGAGTTTCCTTGAGCTCCATAAGAAGCTACCATTAACAGAGCAAACAGGGAAACAATGAAGGGCTTATCCATTTGAGGCTTATTAAAAATAAAAACACCAACAATATATCTTATGATGATTGGTATAGTTTAAGATATGAGATTCTATGCAAAGATGGTTTCTTTATAATGAGATGATACATGGTTTGAATATTTATATATAAGCAGAGTAATTAAGGGGATTTTATTGGCTTGGCTTAAAAGTAGATAAAGAAAAGCCCTTATTTTTTCAAACACATCTAAACTTAAAGCACAAGGTTTCTTCTCTCACTTCTTTGCTTTACTCCAAAACCTCTCTACGTTTCTGGTCAACATGTTAATCCCCATTGAAATCTAGAAGATGAAACATTCTGTCCTTGAGACGTCAAAATGTTTTTTAGTCATGCATAGTTTGGAAATAACAAAATGCTAAAAAATTAGTGTAGTAGTTGTTCTTCCATGTAATATATAACGAAAAGTTCTAGAAGTACTAGCTCAACGATCATGATGTTGGCGTCAAACGGAAGAACCCATTTCTATATATTTGTTTTTTTTTTTAAATCGAACTCTGAGTTTTACACCCAAAAAAAAAGAATCAAACTCTGAGAACATCAAAAAGCCACAAGCAAGAATAGAAATTTAATGCGCAGATCTTTTGATGACACTTTGCAATTGCTCAATGTATGATTAATCAGTGAGTAAAATGTAATTTATGTCCTTAAGTGCTAGAGGAACATGCTTCAGACATATCAAAGTTTAATTTTTGATTTGAAAAAGGGTGGTTAGACATATCAATGTTGTGTAGAGATAAAAGTCCATCGGTGGAGTGACATGGCTGATAGTCTCTATGCACTGTTCCGTAGTTCAGGAGGGTGCTTGTCTCGGCGTCAAAGCATAATAGATTCGTCGGCGATAGCCTGAACAACACTTTGTCTGACCGAATATCTATAATATGAACTAGACCATCGATATTGCAGTTTGCATGGACTTTCCTAAGGTCGATCTTATGAATCTTGTGCCAGCCACCGCCTTGAATTTCTCCCATCTTCCAAATCTCCATGAAACCAAATGGGACACTAGTGTAATCTAGCATCCATAAGCTTCCGCGGCTCCCAAATAAAGTGAAAAAAATGAGATTCTTTGGATACTTGGGCATCAAGGCAGAAGCACGGAGGTTTAGGGTTTAGGGTTGAGAAAATCTCGTGGTGTAGAGAGAAAGATACAATCTTAAAATCACTAGTAGTAAAGTAAATGATACCATTGACGTGAACCTGAGAAGAGAGTTTCAAAAGATAGGGACATTTTCTTTGCAACCTTCTCCAGGGGGATAGTGTAAGACGGCCATCTTCCACGATATTGATATTTAAGATCTCAAAGACTTCCTCTGTGAGGCCACTAGGCAACCTCCTTGTACTTTCATTACCCATGTCGCGAGGCCACTTGATGACTTTGTACTGCATCGTGGTCTCAACAAAACCAAAGGATACGCACTCCTGAAATCCGTTGAAACACCGTGGAAACCAAGGAGGGTCAGGTAATCTCTTCAACTCCTTGTTTATGGGGTTGCAAAGATGGATCCCATCTTGAGTAACAAAGCATAAGAGCTGGTGGTGAGAGCTTAACACCCTCATTCTTAAACCACACAAGTATTCCGTGAACTTGTGGACGAAGTAATTGGCCTTGTTGCTCACAAAGATATCGAAATATGCATAAACTACTATGGGATAAGGGGAATTTTCACGTAAATTCTTGTGGTAGAGGACTGTGGAAAAAAGGGAATCACGCGAACGGTTGTGGTGGAGGCGGAGGAAACAATGATCAGAGAGTAGAGATCTAAATTGCTTTGAGACTGATCGGAATCTTGCTAGAGATTTGCCTGGCACTCGAGACATGATCTCCATAAGAAGGTCACTAAAGTTCATCTTTGTACCAGTACAAGCTCTTGATAGTTTTGGTGCTTAACCGTGTGTCCTTGCCCTCTTTTTATACACACTTAAATATGTAAACCCTACAAAAAAAAAATAAAAAAAAAAATTAAAGAATGGAGAAAACAAAGCTAAAGAGCGTGAGAACGGGCGCATATAAGATAATCAAATTAAAATTTCTTTGTACCACAAGATTTTTCTACCCACCCTAGCCTTTCCAACACACCATATTCATGTCGTGTGTTACAAGAATTACGATTCATCTATATAGAAAAGGGCTGTTAGAGCATGATTATCAAGGGGCTTTTAACAAAATCTTAAGTTAAGAAAAGTAAAAAAAAACTAAGAAAAGTGACTAAATATCTCTTATACAAGAGACATAAACTAACTTTTCTTAGCTTTTCTTAACTTTTTTTAGCTTAAGATTTATTTAAGAACTCCTTGTTAATGATGGTCTTACGGCGTCTTCAAGTTAGGTTTTCAAGATCCCAGCATGCTTACAGGGCTTATACTATTGTAAAAGTAATGGCCTTAAGGCCCATTAAAGAATGACAAAAGGCCTGCAACAGGTAACTTCTTTCTACCTCTCTGTCTTCCGCTTTCTCGACCCTTTCTTTTTGACCGTTCGATTTGATTACTAGAGAATCCATTGGCTCTAATGTTATAAACGTATATGGCGAAATAAACGTGTGGACTGTGGAGTATAATAAGAGTAAGAATTATATTACAAGAACACAAATCCACAAGTCTCCCACTAACTTCTCCAACTAAAGAAATATAAAAAACATCAGATTCCAAATTCATAACTACAGGGATGAGAGATCTCATCGTTCTCCCTCACAGAATCTGATACTGAATTGAAGCAAAGCTTTACTACAGGTATCTTTTGTCTTGTCTAATCTTTTCTTTTTTTCCTTCTTGTTTTTTTTTTTTTACTTTGTCTGACTCTGGTTAAGTAAAGAATCTGTCTCTTGCTTTGAATGCTATATCTCCCTTTCATTGTCTATTGTTAATGCTAACCCAAAAAAACGAAATCAAGATCCGTGATGTTTCATCATGAGTTCCTCGCCTCTGCTTTTTTTTTTGCTTTTCTTGATATGAATTTATTAGACTCTTGTTAAATTCAAGATCACTTGGTTCAAAAGTTCATATAAAGTTACAGAGATTTTGGATTGAAAATGGTTACGAACGTGTTTAGCCGAATTGATTTGTCGAGTTTCATTACAGGATCAAGTGAACATACTTGGCAACCAACAATGTCTGCAGAGACGAACATCCCAAGTTACTGGCTTAACTGGAGATTCTTTGTGTGTGCTATCTTTATCTTAACGTCTCTGTTTCTATCTTCGTTTCTGGTTTGGAGATACGAAGGAGAAGGACCAAGAAAACGCAAGAAACACGGCGATAATGATCAAAGCCGGGAACTCGAGCAACTCACAGGAGTTGTATATGATGATGAAACTTGGAACACTTGTCTCAAAGACATTCATCCGAACTGGTTGCTTGGTTTTCGTGTTTTTGGTTTTTTTGTTCTCCTTGGACTCATCTCTGGTAATGCTATTGCTGATGGAACCGGCATTTTCATCTTCTACACTCAGTGAGTTTTCATAAAGACTTATTTGACTTACATAAAAAATTTTTTACATCTCACTTGTTCTGATGACTTTTGATTGGTTCGTATCAGATGGACTTTCACATTGGTTACAGTTTACTTTGGGGTATGGCTTTTCTTCACCTTATCATGGTACTTCACATGCTTTATCCAATCTTTGTCTCTAGATACTAACATCTACCTGAGATTAGTAGTTTTTACATGGGTCTGTTGAGCAATATGTCCTGTGGAAACCGGTTTTTCAAAACCTTTAATTAAACTTCGATGTAACGCAGCTTGGAGCATTGGTGTCTATATACAGATTTAAGTCTGTTGATAATGGTGAAAGCGGAGTCAGTATAGTAGATGAAGAAGAGCGAGGGTCGTATAGGCCTCCCCTGAATGGTGAAAACTCGAATGTGTTTAAATCTTCAAATGGACATGATAGAGACAACAGGTCTAGACGTCAGATTGCAACTACACTGGGTTACATTCATCAGATTCTTTTTCAAGTAAAGACTTCATGGTTTAAGTGTCAAACATCTTTTAAGTTATATGCATAAGTTTCTCTGTTTCTGAACATGTTTGTTTGGATTGCAGACTTGTGCAGGAGCTGTATTGCTTACAGATGGTGTGTTTTGGTTCATTATCTACCCTTTTCTCACAGCTAAAGATTTCAGTCTCGACTTTGTAAGTTTTAACCAGGACATTGTCACAACTTTATATGTATTTGAACTGTCTCTGAGGCTAAATTGTAACCATACATTGAAAACTGTAGTTCATTGTGATTATGCACTCAGTCAATGCTATTTTCCTCCTCGGTGAAACTTTCCTGAACTCTCTGGTTAGTTTTTAAGCTTAGTTCAACATAATAATAATAATAACCTTTGAGGATAATGATGATAACCTTTGATGATGGTTTCCATGTATCCAGCGGTTCCCGTTGTTCAGAATTGCATACTTTGTGGTATGGACCTGTATATTTGTGCTATTCCAATGGATTGTCCATGCTTGTGTCTCATTCTGGTAATATTCATGGTTTCTATCTATCATTACATTAATCTATGAGCATATTAGTTTTTACTCGCTTAGGATATTGAGATATATGTGTAATATAAACAATGTGATATCTGTTTGTGCAGGTGGCCTTACCCATTCTTGGATTTGTCATCACCCTATGCCCCTTTATGGTATGTGATGTTATTATGGTCTTGGAGATGTAGATAATGAAAACGATTCTTGATCTTGAATGGGTTTAAAGACTACTAAGTAAATGTTTTGAATGATGTTGTAGGTATGCGGCTGTTGGGTTGATGCACATACCATGCTTTGGAATCTTTGCTTTGATCGTGAAGTTGAAGTACATGTGGCTTTCAAGATGTTACTCAGAAGGACCATAATAACAGATATATCATATATACTCCAATCTTTTAATAGAGTCTCTCTAGCTCATTAGTCCTTGAGTAGAGAGTTTAAAGAAGAAGTTAACAAACTCTCATAGTCTCTCTTGTCTCTGTATCATTTTTTTTTTTTTTTGTAAAGTACATTATAAATTCCTTTTGAAGGAACATATAATCACTTAGCTAGCTATTCACCATTTTTGTCTTCGATTAGAACTTCTAGGGATCTTCGAGAAAAAAATGTTCATTTGTGTTTACACCATCTGGGAGAGCCCATTATCACTTTTGTTGTTGAACAGAAACTTCATTGGGCACATCTTAAGTGGGCAAACATAATTGCATTAAATACAGTGGGCATAACTAAAACAAAATCTCATCGCAATAGATTATACATAATGGAGATAAAAGTGATAATGATAATAATTTTCGTATAATGACACTTTAAGAAGGTTGACGTGAGGCTCTAAAGACTAATCGGCCATATACTTGAGCTTTATCAGTGCTTGAATATGGAATTATTGATTGTGCCAAAAGTGCATAAAACAATAGTATTATTGAAATAAAAATGTCATAAGCCATTTTTTTAATAAGTGGACCAAACCCTGGCTAATTTATTCTCGTGAGTATAGAACTATATTTATATATTTCGATTTTTCGAATTGCCTGTTGACATGATTTCGTATGCATTTGACTAAACTATACCACCATTCTAGATATATAGATACGTGTAATCATTTTGATCTTTTCTAGTTTAATAATTGACTTAAATAAGATGTATTAGCTTTTTTAGCTCAGTATAAACGTGGTGGTTGTAATTTGTGAGCTCTCTAATGTCAGAAAGTCAGCTACCTAGTAATTGCACTTTTGGAATAGTAATAGATAGGTTTCCATCGTCTAATTTTTATACACGGCTAAATAATGGACATAACCAAACCAATATATTTATCTGAAGTCAAATGAAAAAAAAAAAAACATCTCCAAATAACTTGACCCAAAATAAAACCAGAAAAATACAAAGATCCTTATTTTAGACAAGAATCCTAACAAAACATCTACCATATATATCTTTAAAAATAATAAACTAAAAACTTACGAAAAAGAACAAGTGGACTAGTGGTTCTTATTTGTCTTCTCACCAAATCCGAATTTGGATCCGGTCTCTTTTATAGAGAGATGTATAATTTGTAAGGACATAAAAAAAAAATTTATTTTGATATATGTTCGCAAATTCGCAATGTCCATCAGCCAAAGTTTACTATTACGTGGTAACAATAGAAAAAAGAGAGTAGAACACAATCTGTTGTAAGAAATCTTCGAAAGTTTTTTAAAATAACGAAATAAAGTAAGAAATCTTCGAAAGTTTTTTAAAATAACGAAATAAAGACAAAATATACATTTGATGATGGACCACAGACAAAACTCAAAGGACCACTTCACAATAAACATTTGAGGATGGAGAACATAAAACACTTTTGCATATCAGGATGCTTGATTTATATTGTTTTTGTTTTAATGCATGTCCACGACATCCCCAGATCATAGGAAATGAAATCAATATGCATGCTATACAGTAATTTATAATTAAATTTTTTATTTTGTCATCTGTTGTTATTATATATTAATCAGGTCAAAAGACGAGCATTACAAGGTCAACACCAAAATTTTTGGTCAGAAGAATTTTTTTTCCATTACGTACAGAACTTAGAGCATGTCCAATGGTAGTATGCTATCAAAATTTTTTAGTAATTTTTTACTAATAAATGTTGTAATTTTTGAAACTAAAATTTTTTTGAAGATAATTAAAATTATCCACCTCCAATGGTAAAACTCTTAATTGGAGTTCTTAAAAAAAATTTGAAAACTAAAATTTTATAAAACATAAAAATTATTAATTTGTAACACACATAATATAAACATAACTAAAAGATAATAAAAACACATAATACAAATCATATTTTAATTGTTGCCAAAGTTTTGCTAAATATTCTTAACCAGATCAGACAAGAGATGAAATTGTTTTGTTGCTTAAGAGAACTAGAGAGAGATGGAGAGTTTTTTGTTTTGGTTGTAAGAGAAAGATAAGTTCAAAAATACATCTTTTCAAATACCACTTTTAAAAAGTATTCCATTTTCAAACTTTATCAAAAACCATTGAAAATGTTGAAATTTATCCAAATATGTGTGTGATCTTATAAGTATACACAAAAAAATTATAAATATTTCATAAATAGCGTAAAAGTAATTATAAGAACATTTTTAAAACCTTATAAACACTTTTAAAAACCTTTTTAAAACTTTATAAAACTTGTATAAAAGATTTAAAACATTATAAAATATTTGTATCGAATCTCCCCGTAGTATTTATTATATAGAAGTATTTTATAAATCGTATAAAACTTTATAATTTTTCATATTTAAATATTTTTTGCTTTTTTTCTTAAACTGACACGTGTCCCTAAGAAACTACTTCAAAACTTTTTAAATAAGAGATATCTCTTAACTTAATATTGATTTTTGATTTATTTTTTATCCTTTTATTTCTAAGATACTGGTTAAAAAACCTGCATTGGACATGGTCTTAGAGTACAGGTATTTTAGAAAACTAAACATATATATTTTAGTAGATGCTCATAGTTGCTGTCTTAATAAGGCAATAGCTATTCTTCTCCACTCTATTTTAAAAGCTTTGTTCCTCAATACAAATGTGAAAATAAATAACCCATAATTTACTTTTTTGTCCTTATAGAAAACTTTCATTGCTATTATTTCCCCAGCCACTGTGAAACTTTGGTGTATGTTATATAAGAGGCTTTGGCACAACGACGGATGAAGAAATAAAAGATCAAGTGGTTCTGTGATATGTTTGCATAGATCACAAAAACCATAACTTCCAAAGCAAGAAAAATAGCAACATAGCAAGTAAATAACATATGAGTTTAAGACTAGGAATTTCCCAAAAAAAAAACAAACCATAACAATTAACAAGTGTAATAAGAAGATCAGCAGACACAATTTGTTAACAAAATAGTAGTATTATAGAGTTATTTTTTTTTTTGAAACATAAGTATTAATTATAGAGTTTTTTGGTCAGCACAATAGTATATTATAAATAAGACACAACAACATAAGATAGATCCACGGGGAAAAATCCATAAGAAACACACTTGAGTGGACGTACAGTACCAGCCTCTCACTGATTATGCAAACTTGATCCAATAATTTTAGTCGTTGTTTTTTGTTGTTTTCATTTTTCCTGCAAGACATGGACTCATAATGGGAGGTTCGGACCAAAAGCTTTCTTAATCAAATCTGGAACGTTATGCGTTATGCCCACATCGCTATTATTTTCTCGACGATAATGATCGTATAGAAACTTGTGAACCCAAAAATCAGATCCAACAAAACTCTGTCCTTTTTATAAGTTTTTAATACATAAAGCTTTATGTCAGTTGAAAAATTCACACTAAAGTAGTCCGACGGATATGTCAATCAACCTGTCCATCAACAAAAAGACTTTTACGACAATGTTTTTGTTTTTGCGGAAAAATAAATGAAATGGATCACTGGATCGGGTTTTGGAGTAGATCCATGCACAAATATGGGTTTTCTTGAAATAAGGTTTTTTAAATTACCAGCTTGAAATAAGTTTTATGAATGATTAATCTTATAAAAAACCTGCAGGTTCGATTACCATAAAAGGAAATTATATATTTTAAGTTGATATTATACGGCTATACGCTATAATCAGATTTCTTTTGAATATAACAAAAACAAAAGTGCTATTAGTCGAGTGGCCACTAAAAAACCTAAATCCACAGAAGCAATTAACAAAAATTAATTATTGCTCACTAAGGAGATCTTGATGACTGTGATCGACAAGGAGAGCGCTTAGGTAACGTACACATGATACATTGAAACACAACTTTATAAAAAAATCAATGGAGTGAAATTGAAGTTGAACCGATCCGGTTTGACAAACTAGAATTTGTGTAAGTGTCGGCCACCGTAATTGGAATAGAAAAGCGTATTACGTAATTAGGTCATTTACGGACGTGCAAATTCTTCCCTTCGAACTGTTTATTCCGGTCACGATTCAAATTACTATTCTGCAACTTGTTTTTGTTAACAAAAGGTTTGAGGAATAATTAATTTATACATATATATCAAAAACATATAAATATGACAAGAAAAATTAAAAAGACTACTATTGAATTACGAAGAAAAAGACAAGTAAGGTGATCACAGGGTAAATATATCTTTTTGTCCGAATCGTATTCCTTAACACATACGGCAAACCTTGATATTCTTTCTTCCTTTTTCACTCTCTTTGAAATCTAATGTATCTGATATATATTTTCATTTTTTCAAAGAACTATGCAAATTTCTATAGGACCGGTACACAAAAATAGACAGACCTTATGGCTAGTTTCGTAATTTTTGCTTTTCCTTGCAACATTAATGTTTTTGTTTCTGGCTGAAATATTAACGATCCTTGTCCTCTCAGACAACACTTCCGAGCCCGACCCAACTTGGCCAAGTCTTTTTTCATTGTCTTGTTGAACCGGCGGTTTCATATTTTCTTTCAACTCTCTTATTTTCGTGCTGGTTCAGTAGTAAGCAAAACAACTAAACAAGCCAAGGCTGGTGCGGATCGCAGAGACGTATCATATTCATACTTATGGATAGAATGTGTGGTTTCCGTTCGACGGCAGACTACTCGGAGAAACCGGCGCTGATGATGATACCGTCCGATTACCAGCCTTTGCTCTGTTCATCAGCCGGAGATAATCGTCAGTTTGTATCCGACGAACTCGCTACCGCTTTGTCGTCTGAGAGACCTTCGACAGCTCCGCGTATTCGAAAACCTGAGGATAACTTCTCGCTCGGCTTGATCAAATCGAAGATTGCTTGTCATCCTTTGTATCCTCGCTTGCTCCAAACCTATATCGATTGCCAAAAGGTGGTTTCATGACCATTAACCATACCAAATCAGTACTGTGCTTTGAAGGTTTTTAGGGTTAACTTAAGCCTCAATGATTATTACATGCTGTCACATCTATGTGCCTCGTATTCCCTAATTATTTGTTTTTGTTGCAATTTTAGTATGTTCCTTCCTCTTTAGTGTTAAACCCCAATTTTTTTACCCTAAGATAAGATGGTTATTGATTAAACAATTGAATTTAAAGTTGATGTGTTTTTTTTTTTTTGGTTATTGGATTCATAGGTGGGAGCACCGATGGAGATAACGTGTATTTTGGAAGAGATTCAGAGAGAGAACGATGTGTACAAGAAGCGAGATGCTACTCTAATGGCTTGCTTTGGAGATGATCCTGATCTTGACGAATTCATGGTTTCTTTCTTACTAGTCCTTTGGTCTCATTTTTGATCTTATATATCTCTTTTTGTTCTTTAAGAAACTTTTTTTTTTTTGGTGTGGTGCGATTCAAGGAAACCTACTGTGATATTTTGGTTAAATACAAATCTGATCTCGCGAGGCCGTTCGATGAGGCTACTAATTTTTTGAACAAGATCGAAACGCAGCTTCAGAACCTGTGCATTGGTCCCGTGTCAGTTACAGGACTTTCAGGTCAGCGCACTAGATCATGATCTCTCTTTCTAGGTTTAATGTATTTTTGATTTCTTGTTCACTCTCTTGTAGTGAATTTTTTATTGATCTTTGTGCAATATCCTCGATCTCTATGTCCTTGCACTAATTTTCACCTTACAAATTGAGCGGATTTGAAAATCTCTCCCCATAACTTTCCCTTTACATTTTAGGAATTGATTGCATATCTTCTGAGTTCTGACCGATTATTTTGTTTCCTTTTATATTTTTACCTTTTTAGTAATAAAAAAAAAATACATAGAACGACAAAGATTTATTGTAGCTGAAGGAAGTAGATCCGGTTAGAGAACCCAAGGTATAACAGTTAGAAACAAACAACAAAAGAAAACACTTAAACCCTAGTTTTGGAGGAAACCATGATTGCTTCAGTACATCTTACATATTTTGTAAAATCTTGGAAACAAGATAAATCATGCGTTAGATGGATGCATGAACTTGGCACAAAGCTTTGTGCCATTTAGTTTCTTTCATCAGTTAGTTATATGGTTTAGCAGTGGGGGTATCAGTTATAAGTGGTGTTAAGGGGTAGGATTTTCACTGCTATTGATATTATTTTTCTAGTGATCTTTTGGTGTGTTATACTTTTCTTTTGTTTCTTTATAATATACTTGTAATATTATCTTCTCTCCTTTGTCAGAAGAAGAAAAATGGGTCTACGAAAGCAAAAACTTTTGCGCTAGAGATTCTGATTATGACATTTCAGTGTCGTACTGACACTTTTTTTTTTTTGTTAATTTGCTTCTTCCCTGTGAAAATCCAATGATAGAGAAAAAACCTAGTCATAAGTTCCACTTATTTTCTTCAGCTTGTTGCTTGGCTCCATGTTTAGATTATCTGAGTGGCTAGCTATTTCTTATGTTGTTTTCATCTTCATTAAAACCGATGGGTAAAACAAAACTTAATTTATTAGTTCTTGATATCTCCAACTTCTCTTGGTGAATGAACCAAAGTTTATACTGCTTTTTTCATAGGATGTGTCAGACTTACATTGTATCCCTATCACTTTCGTTGATACTGTTATAGAGAGAACACAAATCATTGTGTATAATGAGTATAACATTAACTTGAATAGTTTTCTTAGTATATGTCATAGTTGGCCATAAAAAATGCTTGATGGCCAATTTGTCTATATTCTACATGTCATGGTTAATTTGTGTTTACTATTTCTTTGAGGTAATTGTTTTTTTTTTTGGTCATATTTGAGGTAATTCTATAGTATCTTATTTGATGCCATGTGTGTTCTTAATTAAGAAGTACTAAACTTTGTAAGCAAGCAGCCCAAATATGGCAAGAATAGGTTATATATAAGGGATGCTTTAGTTGCCTTGTGATTATATAAGGGATGCTTTACTTGGTCTTTGGACTATAGTACTATATTAATCTACTAACCACGTTAGCTTGTCAGAGTGCGTGTGTTTTGTTTTAAGTAAACAAAACATTCCACTAGATTAGGGATTATTAATTAATTAATCATATTCTATTAAAGTTTTGTGACACTTTTGAGTTGGTCTAAGCTTATGTTTGTGGGCATTTTATCGTCAATCTTTTCATATCCTAAAATAAAACATTGCATGTAGATTATAATCTCTATTCCTAGAAAACTCAGTTGGCTAGAATCTAAAGCCTGTTGTGCTGAACTAAGTACTATGTCATGGCACATTAGTTGCTTCACCAATAGTCCTTACGAACAAAGCTTGAATTAGAAACCTTTTAGCTTTAAAAAAAAAAAAAAATTCTCAATAGAAGAAGTTGGAGATAACTAGAAATATAGGGGGTGGTCGGGTGTCACATGTACTCCCGTGGATTCCGCTGGTGGAACCCTCTCCGACCCAATCACAACTCTCTCTTTTAAGCATTTGTGCTGATTTGATTTGATTATAAAGGAAAAGTTAGAAAGAAAAAAAATAGGGGAGAGACATGGGGTTTCACCTCTGTACAACGCAATCATCTATGACTAAATGCTTTTTTAACTCCAGCTTAGTGGTTGTCATTTCCTCTGTGCGTTTGTTCCCCTGCTGGGCCAATGCAATTTCCACGTGTCTACTTCTTTTTGGGAAGTGTACAAGTCCATCTAGTTTTATATCAGTGCATGTTCTCTCTTTCATTGCATTAGATATAAACCAAGCATATTATGAACCAGATTCGGCTAATAGGTAAAAGAACAATCTGAGTTATGCCTTCCTCAACTAGCAATGGTTAATGGATGATGGTAGGTGTGAGCTATCTTTGTCTGATTTGCCTAGGGATCCACATGTGTTGAATGTTCTTTATATCTTTCCACATGTTTTAGTCCAAAACTCATTGCTTCTTTAATAATACCTGGGCAATCGTAGGTATTAGTGTCCTTGTTCTCTAACTCATACTTGGAGATCACTTGTTGGAAAATTCTAGTGCAAATATTTTTTGCCATTAATCATGTGTTAAAATTTTTAACTTAAAAACTCCTTAAATTAGAGGCTCCCCTTTTGATAGCAGCAGCATACACAGGAGTCACAAATGGGCCATTACATAATCAAAAGATCATAAATGCTGGGGAAGCGTTTTTTCCGGGGGTTCTCTTAAAAGTCTCATAAAGCCAAAGGTGACATGTGTCGTGACACAGATGGGCAGTGGTAAGCCCCAGAGAGCAGGTCGTCCCCTGACTACTAGTGTGGACTGTGGCTAATGCGAAAACTATTTAGTGTCTCTTCTTTATACTTTTTGGCTCTTTTCTTTTTTTAGCCACTTAGCCATTTAGCCGAGCCTTGCTAGTTATGTTTTAACATTATTTGATTAGGTGGTAGAATTTTTTTTTCTACATTGTCAAGTTTACTCCCATACATTAATCTCCTAATGCATTTTTATTGATATTACACGTATTTTTTGGCTCAAACATTGGAAGATAAGCACTATTGAATCTTTAACATGACATTGTTCTTATGTATGAACAGATGATGGAATGGTCTCATCTGACGAGGAACTAAGAGAAGATGATGATAACGTAGAAGCACATGAAAGCCAACAAATAAGCAATGACCGGGATCTCAAGGACCAACTGCTGCGTAAGTTCGGTAGCCATATTAGTTCATTGAAACTCGAGTTCTCTAAGAAGAAGAAGAAAGGAAAGCTACCAAGAGAAGCAAGACAAGCGTTGCTCGATTGGTGGAGTGTTCATTATACATGGCCTTACCCCACTGTAAGTCCCCATTCTGATTTCACCTTAAGCTAGTATACTCTCATGGAGACATGATATTAATTTGTTCCAACATGTCAATCCTAGGCTAACAACTATAGGTGTGTTAATAATATTCGGGTCACAAAAATGTGTGTAGGAAGGTGACAAAATAGCTCTGGCTGAAGAAACGGGTTTGGATCAAAAACAAATCAACAATTGGTTTATAAACCAAAGGAAACGTCATTGGAAGCCTTCGGAGAACATGCCGTTAGCAATGATGGCCGATTCTAGTGAATTATTATTTACTGAGAATGAAAAAGAGACATGAGAATTCACATGTAGTACGTTGTATGATTTTACAATTGATTTCCCAAGGTAAAAAAACGAGTAAAAGGCTTTGGCATTACATGGGACGTCATCGCCAAAATGTATAGGTTATATGTTTTCGTATTAGAAATAGTGGCAATGTCAAAGACCCTCATCCTCCAATGGTCCAAATTGATAGCTTACTGATTTCTTTGAACCTTAGATAGAACTAATAATTTATTTTCATCAGGTTCTTGTCATTGTTCACAACTAAAACTAGTTCGTGTTATCGTATGGTTAATGTGTATTATATCAACCAGTTGTAATAGGAATAGCATGGTTCAAATAAAGTTTCACAAAATTTGATTATTGAATCCACTTTATTTGGTGGCCAACGTTTTGATTTTAGTTTATAGGTTTTTTCAAAAAGTTTTGGGGGGCAACGTTTCATATTTCGAGTCCTTCACTAATTCGGGAAAAAAAACAGAGGGAGCAGAGACTGTTTTTTTTTTTTTTTTTTTTTTTTTTTTTTTTTAGTTTTCGTTTAAAGTTATTTCCCTCGTTGCCTTGCGGAATAAGGCAATGACGATACTAAATGAGGTAGTATCTACGCACACGTCTTGGATTATGTAATAGTCTGCTTCAGGAGTTGTTCCTACGAATACAAGACACAACACAATGGTGGTTACAAATACAAGACACAACACAATAGTGGTTATGAGATGCATCGCTCATAATGAGAAGATAAATGGGTATAGCGTTTAGAACCTCTGTAAGAAAAAAGGCATGGAAGCCATACGGGACCCTATGCGGTAGCTCCACTACTGCCACAGTCTCATCAGACATTGTTTTTGCGTCTATCACCTTCAGACATGATTTCCTGTCCATTTTCAATCACCATATCAGGAAGACACAAAAGAAACGAGTGATAACTGATCATAAGGATTTAGTAGGAGAGCTTACCCAGAGTTTTCATCATGAACAAAGAATAACAAGTAACCATCATCTTCTTCTTCTGCTGCCCCGCGCGGGACATATACAGCCTCTGAACCATATCTGCCTTGTCCGAGCTCATATATTCCTTTGATATTTCCCCCTACTTCCAGCATTTTTTTCCCTTCCTCGGCTTCGGCATGCAGATCAAACTTGATAACTCCTATAACCTTTAATACTGCACTATTATCTAGTATTGTTCCATATACATATCTATGTTTCCTAAATGCATTAAACAAACAAAATAACTATTAGGCATGACGAGGGACTCAAGTGCATATCACAAGGATAAGCGTGGAAGCTCATACTTCAAAGTATAAAACTCGTTGATTTTGGGAAATTCAATTGGAGATGCTGATAGTTTTTTTTGAGAGGCTGAGCCCGTTTTCATGTTGAATCTGATTTCGTACCTACACACGTAACATTTTGATGTCAATATAGATATATATGCACGGTTTACGAGAGAGGAGAACACACGATGTAAACAGGTCAGGGATATTCTTACAGTTCGCTACTACAAATTTCAAGTTTTTCTTTTACATATCCGCCGACCATGTCAATATTTGGATTCTCAAGACGACAAGTGATGAGGACGACTTCATCATCTTCTTCCCAAGCATTGGCTGGATATATATATTATAAGTCATTCACACATAATGCAAACGTAAAGAGACATAGAAAAACATGCACACACCAGTGTGAGATATATAGCAGTTGGGAAGCTCAAACCATCTAATCATGAGGTCATCCTTGGCATAGCGTGGAAGAACACCAAAACGAGCCTTTTTTGTGGGATCAAATGAGATTATCATTTTGTTCTCCTTCACCATTTCCTTGGAATCAATATAAATACACATGAATGTATAAGCGTACGTACGGGGCAATATATTTCTATTATTAATTTGCTTTGTACTCTTCTAACGAAAGTGTGTATATGAGAGTCAAAACTTTATTGGGTAGCCATTAAGCTTGATGAGTAACATACCTTTGGCTTTAAGAGCATAGGAAGATCCATGAAAATTGCATAATTCTTAGTGATAGCAAAATCATGCATCATGATTGGCTCTGATATAGTAATTGTGACTGGATCATGCATAATGCCATTTTTCGAGATCACTCTGTATGTGAGATAAGGCGGTATAACCGAATAGCCGAATGTAAACATTTCACCTACAAAGGTTAGTCAATCAAGTCAACCAGAAAATTAAAATAATTTGTTTATAAAGAGAAAAGTGAAAAGCTACGTACCCGTGACCGGGTCAACTTTTGGGTGAGCAGTGAAGGAGTGTGTCAATCTCTTGTCATAATCTATCATTCCAAGAGTTTTCAGGTCTCCATCTTCTAAAACTTTGACGACATCTACAAACGGAAGATGCGGTTTTTTTAAAAAGGCCTGGTGTTGCTCTCACTTTGGACCAAGCTATCCCAAAACAAAAACGATGATGAGGTTGTGTTATATAGGCTTACATGGCTTATCTGCCTCATGTAACGCTAGAAGTTTTCCATGGTGGTATATGAGTGATGTATTAGCTAATGCATTAATAAAAACAGAAGTGAGGTTTTTAAGATACAAGAAGCGAGTGTAAAAGGGATAAAAGAGGAAGTAGCCAAACCAGTTCCATCTCCGTAAGAATTATCCAATACTTTCAGATTATTTCTCACTTGTTGCATAATGGTCGTAAGTAATCCGAAAACCCCCTTTAGGTCCCCAATCTGCAAATTATTACAAGAGCAATTAAAACAACACACTGAAGATTGTATGATTATCATACACAATTCAGCATGAACAATGTCATGCTAAAGAGTAACTTCTGGTTTTCCTTTAAGAAAATGTATTATCATTTTATTTATTTTTAAAAAATTGGTAATTATTTCAATTATATTTTGACCCCGATAAAAAATATTTATGGGTCACCTCCAGTACTAAATCATACATATCTTACGGATACCAAATCAAATTTGTAAAATTTGCCAATATGGGGCCATATAAAAATGTACATAATATTAATTAATATTGAGGCCTAAGGAAAATGTCTTGTCACCTTCATGAATTTGGCAGCTCCGAAAAACTCCTCTTGCTTAAGACGTGATGTCCTAACATATCGTGAAACATAAGCTGCTTTCCCATCCTTGATGCGTACCCCATGTATCATCCTACGAAATGTTTATACGACATGAAAGACGATTCCAGTACTTGAGCTAAAAGGTAGTCCATAAAGCTCTAATCTCCAAAATGATAAATAAAGTACAAAAAGGTTAAGAATCAAAATATTCACGTACCCATCACCATCAACCCTGAAAAGAGAAGAGGGAAGTACATTAGTAGCAAGCGACCATGAATATGAAATATTGGTGTAATCAAATGGAAGAAGAGAATAGAAGAGAACGTGCCAGTGATATCCGGCCAGAGGAACAAACTTGGGATTTGGACCAATCCTCAAAAATTCACCATTCAAGCATCCCTGAAGATGAGAAGAGACGGTCAGAAACCCTAAACCTCTGAAAAGAATAGAGTAAAAGAAGGTGGAGCTTACTGGAAGAGTTCCATGAACGGGAAGATCCTTGGTGGGAGGAGTTTCATCCCGGAGGGGAGCGAAGTTTCTTGAGAGGTAGCTGAGAGGGAGAGAAGCATCGTGCATGTGCTTGACGACAAGGCTCTCCAGAAGATCGAGAAGCTTAGAGGAGAAATCCTTGGACGGTTTAGGATTGACAGATACAATGCTGCCATTACTAAGCTCCTCCTCCACGGTTGTAGGATTGATGAGATTTAAAGAAGGCGAGCTACTCGTAGGTACAGACCTGACCATTTTTTGCGGGCTGGCCCATAATTTAGCTATATAGAGTCTGGATGGAAGTGTGGTACGGTAGTGGTGCAGTGACCTTAGTAGTGGAGTCGCAGCTACATGGCAATAAGAGTTGAATGTGGTGGTGCCACTTAAATGGTGTTTGCAAGTAATTAGTTCCATTCCGGTTACTCTAACTCGAATATATCCTTGCAAAAGCACCCACAATTGGGGTGTTGCAACTGTGCTCTATATGTATATATATCACTTTAAGAAGAAACCAAAAATCTATCACATTATATAAAAATCTAACAAATGGTGGGCCGAAGTTAAAATGACTTTAGTATTATATTTACCACCAAAATTTGGCAAATACCTCTTTTTTTTGTTTGCTTCTTAACTCTCGTGCGAGAAAGAAGTATAGTTTACTTATCGTATACTATTATAAAAAAAAGTTCTCCACTAGAACATTCCATCAAAAGTGTTTAAAATTAAAGAAGAGAGCGAAAAAAGAGAGATAGTAAGAAGAGAGAGAAAAAAGAGAATGTCGGGGAAAAAATTTTCCTTTTCTATTTTATTCATGGACAAACCATAATATGGTACGTCGCGTTGCTTATGCGATATTTCTGTGCCCAAGAAAAGCAACGTTATTTCATCTTATGGGACCTTCAACCTTATTTTTGTATTTAATTTGGTCCACTTATACAATAAACAACTCCTTAAATCTCACCACTGGAGTTGATCTAATGTATTTGTTTCGCCAATAGTTTTCCAGAGTCGTCTGTTTTCTTTTGTTTGCTTTACCATTTCTAGCTATAGAGATGATGATCATTGAACATACAGAGACTTCTAATGGTAAATCTGCATTAGTTAACGTAAATACTCATAATCTATTTGGCTACGTTTAAAACAATAACCTTTGATAGATTAGATAGAATAGTCCGTACGTTAACCCAAAAACAAAACAAAAAAACATATGAAAAACGTTTTATGGTCACTGCCGCCGGTGTCACATGACAAATCTTTCTTTTAAAATTTTTGTTTGAATTGAGTCGATTACAAAGGAAGAGGTTAAAAGAGCAAATAGGGGAGACACATGTGAGTTTTGTGACCTTGTCACTTCTCTACAAAACAAATCGTCTTTTTCAACTCTTGCTTCCTGGGCCATGCACTGATTTCATCCGAGCGTACAAGAATCTCCCTATATACACTACTGCTGCCATACGTTCTCCTTCTCACATCGTCAATGCATGAAACACAGAGGATGCTGATCCCCAGACAAGACAAAAATAATTGAAATTGCATGGCACAACAAGAGAACACAAAGCAGCAGTTGAAAAGGATTGGGAGAGAGTGAGAGATGAATCATGATGATGGCTTTGTAACTATATACATTTTTTTTTGGTTTTTTAAACTGTAACTAATTCTGTTTAAATAAATAAAAACAAAAAAAAAAGCAAAAATAATCTGTGAAAATATTCTCTTTATTTGGAAGTTTTAAAAATGTTAATGTGAATATTAAAAAAAAATCATAAAACATAAAGAAAATAATAGCAATAGTATAGAACACTGTACATGTGATTAAAAAAAATGTTATGTTTTTAAAAAACTGATAATTAGAATGATAAAATGACATTAGTATCAAGTATCGAATACTGACACACAAGGAAAACGGATTAGCATAAAATATTTAGCTATACAATTAAAATATTGTTCGAACATAAACAACACAAGTAGTAAAAAAGAGAAGAAGTAAAAAATGAATAAAATTACCCAAACATGAGACGAAGTGAAATTGTCAATAATTGTGTTTTTGAACGTAACAAAGCATAGCCTCTAAAATGTTAAATTATTGGTGGCCTAAAGCGGCCGCTTCATTCCTTATTGAAGATCCGGTCCTGACGATGTCTCTTTATTTATTATGCATATAGCATAATTAGAACCTAATCATCTTCAGGGATGTTGATTTTTAAACACTGGTTTGTTTTACAATATATCATTTAGCCGAGCGTACAAGTATCTATAGCTATCTACACAATATACTGTTGCTGCCATGCCTTCTCCTATTACAATATTTTGTTTTTTTTTGGTTACACGTTGTTGGGTCATAAGTACGTGCGAAACAAGCGTGCATTGATCTTATCTTCCGCAGACAATAGTCTCTAAACCTTATCATCCAACGGATCATTATTACAACTTAATATAGTAGTAACGGCTCGTAACTTGTGGAAACTGACAAGTTACGTATACACACACTCATTAACTCACACCCGTAATTACACATACATACTTGCTTATATAATTATATAAAATCATATACTTATAATATACTACCATAATCAATTATACATAAACTAATATATATTAGGTCTTGTAAGGGAAGATTGCTTTTGAATTGTCGATAACGTTAATGCCCTCGTTGCCCTACGGAATGCATGAGGCGTGATGATACTAGATGAGGCCATTCTTTGCTTATATAGGAGTTTGTCCTTGGAGTTGTTCCTGTGGACACAGTAATGGTTATGAGATGCATCTCTTGTAGTTAAAGAGGAGATGATATATGGGTTTAGCGTTTAGAACCTCTGTAAGAAACAAGGCATGGAAGCCATATGGGACCCTATGCGGTAGCTCCACCACTGCCACAGTCTCAGCCGACATTGTTTTTGCGTCTATCACCTTCAGACATGATTTCCTGTCCATTTTCAATCATCATATTAGGAAGACACAAAAGAAACGAGTGATAACTGATCATAAGGATTGAGTAGGAGAGCTTACCCAGTGTTTTCATCATGAACAAAGAATAACAAGTAACCATCGTCTTCTTCTTCAGCTGCCCCGCGCGGGACATACACAGCCTCTGAACCGGATCTGCCTTGTCCCAGCTCATATATTCCTTCAATATTGCCTCCTACTTGCAGGATTTTGTTTCCTGTCTCAGCTTCAGCTTGCAGATCAAACTTGATAATTCCTGTAACCTTTAGTACTGCAGTGGTGTCTAGTACCGTTCCATATACATATCTATGTTTCCTAAATGCAACAAACAAACAAAATAACCATTAGGTATGCCGAGGGACTCAACTCTCAAGTGCATATCAACAACACACAAGGATTAAGGGTGGAAACAGCTCATACTTGCCAATATAAAACTCGTTGATTTTCGGAAGTTCAAGCGGAGATGCCGATAATTTTTTTTGAGAGGCTGATCCCGTTTTCATGTTGAATCTAATTTCGTACCTACACACGTACGTAATATTTGAGGAGAGTAGTATGTGCATGGTTTACGAGAGTGGAGAAACACACGATGCAAACAGGTCAGTGATTCTTACAGTTCTCTACTACAATGTTCAACTTTTTCTTTCGCATTTCCGCTGAATATGTTAATATCTGGATTATCATGACGACAAGTGATGAGGACGACTTCATCATCTTCTTCCCAAGCATTGGCTGGATATATGTGTAGGAAGTCATTTACACAATATATATATATATATATATATATAATGTAAATGTAAACAGACATAGGAAAACAATAAGCACACACCATTGTGAGCTATGAAGCAGTTGGGAAGCTCAAACCATTTAATCATGAGGTCATTCTTGGCATAGCGAGGAAGAACACCAAAACGAGCATTTTTTGTGGGATCATATGAGATTACCGTTTTATCTTCTTTCACCATTTCCTTTGAATTAATTTCAATTATATGATTTAGACTCTTCCAAAAAAAAGTACATGAGAGGTAAAAATTTGTGGTGTAACAATTAAACAAGCTTCATGAGATACCTTTGGTTTGATATGCATAGGAAGATCCATGAAAATTGCATAATTCTCAGTGATAGCAAAATCATGCATCATGGTAGGCTCTGATATAGTAATTGTGACTGGGTCATGCATAGTGCCATCTTTCGAGATCACTCTGTATGTGAGATAAGGTGGTGTATACGAATAGCCGAATATAAACATTTCACCTGCAGAGGGAGTCCATGATGGGTCATCATGCCAACAGAAATAGTAATAACTTGTTTCTCAAGGAAAAAAAAAAGTGAAAACCTACATGTAACCGGGTCAACTTTTGGGTGGGCAGTGAAGGAGTGGGTCAATCTCTTGTCATAATCTATCATACCAAGAGTTTTCAGGTCTCCATCTTCCATAACTTTGATGACATCTACAAACCGAAAGAGAAATGGGTGAATAGAATTAAACACTGCTGCCAAAATAACAGAAGATGCGGTTTTAAAAGAAATTTGGTTAGGCTTACAAGGCTTATCTGACTCATGTAATGCTAGAAGTTTTCCATTGTGGTATATGAGTGATGTATTAGCTGGTGTGCATTATAACGGAAGTGAGATTTTGTGATACAAGAAGACACTGTGGAAAGGATTAATAGAAGAAAGTAGCCAAACCAGTTCCATTTCCGTAAGAATCATCCAATACTTTCAGTTTATGTCTCACTAGTTGCATAATAGTCATAAGCAATCCGAAAACCCCCTTTAGGTCCCCAATCTGCAATTTTTTACAAGAGCAAAACAATACACTAAAGATTGACCTCACAATGCGGATTTAGACATGCAAAAAAAGTTTTTATGTATTTTACATAACAGTTACCTGATATGTGATCCTCCCAGTACTATATCATAATATATGTTTTAGGTAAATAATGTTTTTCAACAAATGTTTTCTATTTTCAGTTAACAGTTAATTTCATTTCTATGTTTTATGACTATTTCAGTTATGCAAGGTGTCTTTCTATAATTGAATTATTTTTAAATAGAAATTAAACAATTAATGTTTTGCACAAAAAAAAAAAAAAAAGAACCAAATGATGTTTGAATTTTGGAAAGAAAAAACTTGTTCACAACAAACGCATCCTTAAGCTTGTTTGAAGTTTTTAAATGCAACCTTAACAGTCAATAAATATGATATAGAGAAAAGTATATAACTAGTGTGTTACGTTGTTTTTGTTCACCAAATAATATACTCTTATATACTTTTTATAGATCATTTTAGTGAAATATGTGTCGGAACAAACTAAAATATTATTTTTAAAACATTTTGCGATCGTATGAAATAAAGTTTTCAGCTCAAAGAAAAAGACAGTAACGATAGATATTAAACAGATATACCAAATGAAAATTTTTTAAAAATTGGGGCCATAAATTTGTATAATATCAATGTCTTGTCACCTTCGTAAATTTGGCAGCTCCGAAAAACTCTTCCTGCTTAAGACGTGATGTCTTAACATATCGCGAAACATAAGCTGCTTTCCCATCCTTGATGCGTACCCCATGTATCATCCTACGAAATGTTTATACGACATGAAGGACGATTCCAGTACTTGAGCTAAAAGGTAGTCCATAAAGCTATAATCTCCAAAGATGATAAATAAAGGTCAAACATAAAAAATATTCACGTACCCATCTCCGTCAAACCTGAAAAGAGAAGAGAGAAGCACATAAGTAGGAAGCGGTACTGAATATGAAATATTAGTGTAGTAGTAAAATGGAAGAAGAGAAGAGAAGAGAACGTGCCAGTGATATCCGGCCAGAGGAACAAACTTGGGATTTGGACCAATCCTCAAAAATTCACCATTCAAGCATCCCTGAAGATGAGAAGATACAGTCAGAAATCCTAAACAACTGAAAAGAATTAAGAGTAAAAGAAGGTGGAGCTTACTGGAAGAGTTCCATGAACGGGAAGATCCTTGATGGGAGGAGTTTCATCCCGGAGGGGAGCGAAGTTGCTTGAGAGGTAGCTGAGAGGGAGAGAAGCATCGTGCATGTGCTTGACGACATGGCTCTCAAGAAGATCTAAAAGCTTAGAGGAGAAACCCTTACAAGGTTTAGGGTTGACGGAAATGATGCTGCCATCACTAAGCTGCTGCTCCTTGATCGCGCGATTGATTAGATTTGGAGAAGGCGAACTACTCGTAGATACAGACCTAGCCAACGCGTATTTTGACCAGTCCCATTTTTGTGGGATGGTCCATGAGTTAGGTATATAGAGCCTGGATGGAAGTGCGGTACGGTAGCGGTGCAGTGACCTTAGATGTGGAGTCGCCGTTAACTGGCCAAAGGAGTTGAATGTTATGCCACTCAAATGGTGTTTGCAAGTGATTAGCTCCATTCCTGTTACTCTAACTCGAATCGTTGCAAAATCACCCACGATTGCGGTGTTGCAACTGTGCTTTATGTGTAATTAGAGAGTTGTCCAAGCATCTCATGGATGAAATATTAATTTGAAAGTTCGAATGAAATTTATATTCAATTATGCTTGTGATTGCGTGCACTTTTCAGCTAAAATAAGACTTTTCTTTTCAAGTTGGTATGCTTCGACTTTGTTAGGCAAATTATTTAAGAAATGTAGGTAGAACTAACTGAGTCAATGGGAAGGAATGAGTCAACAAAATATCGAAAATATGAGAAGCAGAAGAAAGAACATGATGGAAAATATAATAATAGAGTAATGACAACTGTAACTATATGGAGAAGAAAGGAGAAAGAGTTTAGAGAAGACTCAGTTTTGTGTGGGTCGTCTGATAGTACTGGTCTCATACGACGGCTGTGACTATATAGAGAAGAAAGGAGAAAGAGTTTAGAAATGACTTAGTTTTGTGTGGGTTGTCGACTTGTCGCATAGTACTGGTCTCAAATATAGACAAGAAAGGAAAAAGAATTTAGAAACGACAGTTTTGTGTGGGCTGTCGGATAGTACTGGTCTCTCCTCTATGCTTATTTGTATTCCTAATATTTTAATACATGTAAACAGCACAAGTTGATGAGTTCACTCTTCACTGAAAACGACTTCGTAGCTGTAACGGAATCCCAAAAACAAAATTTTCAAAGCAAGAAGTGATTAAGAAGAAAAAATAGGGTTACATTGGGTTTTTATTGGGTCTCCGGTCCGCCATGACTTAATGTTTGTTCTACTGATTGGACAAGTGGGGTGACATTGCTCTATTTTATCAACCGTCCCCAAACCCCTCGAATGGGATTCATTCTTTGTTGTTTGTGGAACAGATTGATCTGTAGACTGTAGCTAAACATATCTAGCTGACTAGCTCTACAAATTTTTTATCTTGAGAATACACCAAAAGGACTCAGTTGTAGTCTCATACATGATACATCAAAATCTTTCACACAGCTTCCATAACGTGTAATGTCGCATTGTTAGGAATCATGATTCAGTTATAGTAAACCCATCTAACCAATACATTTTCTCAACAATAAATGTAATATATTCAGTGTATCATGTTTTCCTAACTCTCCCTGTTAACCATGTTTTTGCTACCACTGCTGTTGGTATGTCAAATACTCTTTTCTTTATTTTCTCTGCCGTTTCAGAGTCCATATGCTGACTGGTCTGACTTAAAAATATTGTTAGAAGATGAGTTTGTATCATAAATCACCAAACTAATATGGCAAATATATATTCTTATGCTTCTTAAAAAATTAATTAAAAAAAAAAACAAAACTTCCCAGAGAGGAGGTTCGTATCATATTCAATTTTTTTTTCTTTTTAATTTGTGTAAGATACAAACTCCTCTTGTGTATCATATCACATTAAAATAAACACATTAGGATTTGTAAGATGAATTCAATTTATTTTAGTTTATTGCTTTAAAAAACTCCAAATCCGGTGTTCCAAAAAAAAACTCCAAATCCTATATTATAAATTTAAAGCCTTAAGAAAGCCAATTAGTACGTAGTTTTGCGTTGTAAACATATGTTAGAGTCGTAAATCGAGATAAACAAATATTTTTGGGCAATAAATAATGTGAGGCAATTTTTTCGAACTATTGAGCTAGCTTTTGGGTATGAGTTATGCCAATTACTCGAGGCATTACATATATCTTTTGGGCAACATATATAGTGTAGGGTGGAATTATAACTTTGTCATGGCACATTTTAGTTGCTTTACCACTTTTAGAGATGATGATCATTGCACATACAAAGACGTTCCTACTAGTAAGATCTGCATTACTTTACCTAATATAATCATAATCTGTTAACTATAAAAGGGGTGGGGTTACATCGGGACCGGGTACGGTGTCACATGGGCAACTCTTTGTTGATATGAGATATGACTTTTTTTTTTTTTTTTTTATAATCAAAAAGGTTATAAGGCGAAACTCATACATTCTCTCAGACCCGAAACCAGAGCATGTTATATGGTTTTTTCCCAAACGCTACTCGAACCGGCGACTTCTAAACTTTTGCTAGAAATCTTTATTGATTGAGATATTAACACTTGGTCATATGAGATATGACTTTGCTACAAAAGAAAAGTTTAAGAGAGTAAATAGGGAAGATACATGGGTTTTACAGTTCTGTACAAAAACAATGCCCCAAGCCAGTGCTTGCTTGCTTGGCCTCTTCACCGGCTCTGTATGCCGCTATGCGTTAGCCAATGTCGCACTCGCCATTGTGTTGTCGTTTCCTCTCCTCTCTGCACGTTTGTTCCCTTGCTGGGCCATGCAATTTTCAACTATTTTTGTCTGGACATCAGCAACAGCAGCCTATTGTAGTACCCGTGTTTGCATTGACTATTGCCTACGTTAGCGAATCTGGCCCATAAATATTCTGTATCTTTTGTTTTATCTCGGTCTTAATGGGCTAAGGTAAGCCTTTTTATAGTGTAAGGCCCATCAGTTTCAGATTTTTTTCCTTTTCTTATCAGATCTTTTTTTTTGTATGTGTTCCGCAGATCACCTGATGTAATAAGTAGTTTCCTTTGTACATAAGGAACTATGTGAGACAGACAGTTACTGGAGAGTGGAGACAGATGTACATAAGGATAAGCAGATGTAATAAGTAGTTTCGTTTGTATCGCCATTGCATATCATCGTCATCGTCATATAATATTCAAACTACTCAATTTCATATCTATAAATATATCTTTACGTAATTAGCCTCTCTCACTGGTTTTATACACAAAATTTTTAGTTGATGCTCTCAACGATGCATTTTGTTGTTCTTCTTATACAGTTCTTCAAGGCTCATCTACCGTAGAAGGAACTTTGTGAGACAGTGGCAAGAGAAGCACAACCAGCTGAATCTCCATCAGAACCATCTCGAAGTTCCATTACTCTTTCATCCATAAACGGAGGATTACTTGGCAATGGCAGGATCTCCTCTTTGTTCTTTAGCATATGCAACAACTTTGACATTGATGGTCTTAGTGATGGGATCTCTTGAGTGCACAAGAGCCCTATTTGAACAACTCTTCCTATCTCCTTTTTGATGATGTGACTGTCAATCTGATTCTTCCAATTCAGGTTTGGATCATATATCTCCTCCAACTCTCCTGACTGAAAATGCTTCCATGCCTTCCAAAAAAACATAACACCATAATTAGTATGAGAAGTGAAATCTTACTAACTACTTCAAAGTCCTATAAAGACAAAAATATGTCTAACTTACTTCTGTAATTAAACTGTCTGAGTAATCTGACATCTTGGTTTTGGTGTTCTGCTTTCCAGTTACAATCTCTAGTACAAGAACTCCAAAGCTGTAAACATCTACCATCTCTGTTAGTTGACCGTGTGCCAAGTACTCCGGAGCCATATAGCCTCTGCAGATTCACAAGCATTTGATCAGCTCAAACATTTTAAGTTTATGAAGTAACAAAAATCACATATTTTTGAACTAATGGTGCATTTTTCTAACTATACTTACAATGTCCCTGCAATTGCAGTGCTGATATGGCTCTTATCGTCCTGGAACGACCTGGCCAGCCCAAAGTCTGCGATTTTAGCTTGAAGCTTTGAATCTAGCAGAATATTACTTGCTTTGATGTCTCTGTGAATAATCTTCACAGCTGACTGCTCATGCAGATACACCAATCCCTCAGCGGTTCCAACAATGATCGCATATCTTCTCTGCCAGTCTAGAGTTTTTCCTCTGTTCACGTCTGTAATAGTAGTAATAATGAAGAATGATTTGGTCTGATGTTGCATTCATGATTAGAAAAATGAAACTCATCAAATAATATTTATTATAAATAGTTACCGAAGATGAACCGATCAAGGCTCTTGTTCTGCAGGTATTCATAGACAAGGAGGCTCTCTGGTCCTGAGCAGCTACAACCAAGTAGCCTGACAAGGTTCTTGTGCTCAACAGTGCTGATCATGTTAACTTCATTGTAGAAATCTGATGCTCTATGTCTGTTGTTGAAGAATAACCGTTTCACAGCGATATCTCGTCCGTCTTGAAGAACCCCCTAAATTTCATAGAGATGCCACTAGATCACTCATTTGCTTTACAAGAAGGTAAAATAGTTGCAAAGAGATAGAAAGAGAAAGCCATGATCATACACATACCTTATAGACAGTACCAAACCCGCCTTGTCCAAGCTTGTTTGCCTCGTCAAATGAACCTGTGGCCTTCTCCAATGTTGAGTATTTGAAGTTCAAGCTACTGTCTTTTAGAGTTTTTGCCATTTTTTCAACATCATTTGATCCTGAAAAGCACCAAAACGCTTAGTTAAAACACTCAATATTGTTTAAACATATTCATCACAAATAAGAAACTAAGCTAACCTCTTCTCTTCTTCTGTATGGTCCGACGTTTGCAGATATAAACACCTATTGCTACTCCAATCATGAATACAACCACAGAGCTAAGTACTGAGACCACAATCACTACTACAGAGCCTGCCAAAGTCAATTAATTGGCATAAGATGGTTAGCTATAATCAAACGACTAGATTATATAGTATACCATATAATAATATCTTTATTGTGTCACCTCTTGATCTTCCGTTTCTTGGTATCTTATTCAAGAAATCTTGATCAGAGTACCTAAGGAAACAACCGGTGTGAAGCGCACGTCCTTCTGACCATGGCAAACAACCTTTGACCACAGACGCAGACGCGTTCTCCAAACACTGTTTACAAGAATCAGGACTCAAAGTTCTCCAGCAATTCGCCAACACAAACGCCGATTCAGATTCAGATTCAGCCACCTTTGAAGACGCACGAGCGTACCCTCCAGTCCCAGAAGCCACAGCAACCGCATTTCTCAGCCCTTGTCTCACCGCATCACCGAAAGTTTCACTCTTTCTCGTCTTGTTTCCACACACAACGTTATCTTCAGGTCCTCTGTATTCATTATAGAAACTATAATTCTCAGCTCTCATGAAACATCCGTCAAGAAAGATTCTACCTCCGTTCTTAGGATAACACTGCGGAAGCATAGTACGGGCTTCCGCGTAGCAGAGGACACAGTCGTTTAAAGGAAGATCTCCGTAGCACTGCGCGAGACCGTAGTTAGCATCAGGTCCTGTACCGGTAAGGGCAACTCCAAAACCAGCGGTTTGAACTTGTGTGCTGATTTTCTCCATCGTGGCTACGAAATTGGGGACGTAAGCGGTCTCGTTGTGCTCAAGATGAGGTGAGCAAGTGACTTGAACGGCTCGTGCCCTTGCGTCTCCGGTGATTGGACGGAGTAATGAAAGAAGAAACATAAAGAGACATGGAAGGTACAAAGGATGTAGATGAGTTTCCTCTTTCTTCATCTTTTTTTCAATTTTTGATTGAAAAAGATCTCTCTTTTTTTTTTGTTCTTGATCAAGGCTTCTGTGTTCTGTTTCAGAATATGAATTGAGAAAGAAGAATGATGAAACTGAAGAATTTTTAAACAAAGAGAGGAAATTTCAAAAGATTTGACTTTGATATTTTGGTGTATCTCTCTCTAGACTCTATGTGTACTGATTAGTCAAAAAAGTAAAAATTTTAATATGATATAATGTATTGGATTTTTTCTTCTAGAGCGAAGTCAGAGAGAGATATGGTTGGAGTTAAAGTCTTGTATTCACACTTGGATAACCAAACCAGCTCGATCATGTTAGAAGTCGTTGTCTTCATTCAAGTATTGTCGGTTTTATAAAACCTAAAAACCGGTGGACCAATAAATAATTGAGCTCATCTGAATTGGAGCCGGTTCGGTTTACTTGGATAATCCATTTAACCGATAGATACATTCTGAATAATTTAGGAAAAGAACAGGAAACGTCGCATGTCCGTAGTGTTTTTCAAAAACGACGAAGACGACGACATTATTCAACAGAAAAATATTAAGATATGACAAATTGGATAAACTGACGTTGGAGACCACTTTATATTTTTTAAAATAGGTTGTTGGGTTGATTTGTAGACCTAGTTGGTTGACGTCAACAAAATAATAATAATGGTGCCCTGGTCAAAGTTTTTCAAGATCCATTACAAAGAAGTAGTATACTATGTATTTCTCTATGACCTGAATCTTTTTTTTTTTTTTTGTGATTTGATATGTTTCATATCTTGTGGGTTACGTTTTCTTTTGTATAAGTTAAAACGTAGAAAAGTTGTTGATTTTGTATAAAACAGAAAACAGTATCATAAAACTCAAGAAACAAAACACATAACCGTGTAAATCGATCATAAACAAAGCTACTTAATCATAAACCGAATCACTAAAATGAAAACCGATACTCCAACCTCCTCTAACAGTGTCGTTCAGTTCCTAGCTTCTATAACATTGTCGTGGCACAGACATAATAACACTCAATTAGTTACACACGATTTAATTGTAAAATCTCATTTTTTTGTACATATGACACAAGATGATTCAGAATCCACTCTACAAGATTCTGATATATGTATCAACTATCTAAAACCTCATCTAGGTTCGAAGAAACTTGAACTCTCGGTTATGTAGTCACTCCTCGATCCTGAAGAATTAGACTGATTCGTCGTGGGAGTCATCATCATTTTTCTCATCTCTACCACACTCCCTGGATTCAGAAACGGCGGTTGAGTCGGCGTAAGAATCTCTAAACTCCCTTTCATCATTTTCACAACCGCAGACATTGCTGGCCGCTGATCAAAGGCTGCTTGAACGCAGAGCAGCCCGATTTGAAGAAGCCGTGACGCTTCTATCTTGTCAAAGTTATCCCCTAAGATTGGATCCACGGCCTCCTCCACATTGCTTGTTCTGTACAGACTCCATACCTGAAGTATGTTTTCAAGATTCAAAGAAAAGGGTTAAAGCTAAAATCAATCCATCAAGAAAGTGTTAATTACTAGTATTAGAGAGATTTATCTACCGTTTGTAAGATCGAACCAGCTTCTTGTACGAAGGCATTGTTACGTTTTCCGGTTATAACTTCAATCATAAGAACTCCGAAACTGTAAACGTCTGCTTTCTCAGTCAATTTTCCTCGTACCACATACTCTGGCGCCATGTAGCCTCTGTTTCCACAAGTGAAAAACTTCAGAAACACTCAAAAGAATTGAAAAAAGTTGGTAGAGATATAAAGTTAACAAAATCAGGTTTGAGAGTTTACAGTGTCCCGGCGATGGCAGTGCTAATATGAGTCTTGTCCTCCGGGAACAATCTAGCCAATCCAAAATCAGCAATTCTTGGAGTAAAATCATCTTCCAAAAGGATATTGCTCAGCTTAATGTCTCTATGTATGATTCTTAGATTCGACTCTTCGTGAAGATACGCCATTCCTTCAGCTGTGCCAAGTAAAATCTTGAATCTCTTCGCCCAATTCAACGGTTGAACATCTTTTCTTACTAAACCAAAATATCAATAAACACCAGTCAATAAAGATCCATGAAGACATGGTGAACAGAAAAAAAAGTTTAGGATGACAAAAACTAACCAAAGAGATAGTCGTGGAGGCTTTGATTCGCAATGTATTCATAGACCAGAAGGCTTTCAGGTCCAGTAATGCTGCATCCCAAGAGCTTAACAAGGTTCTTGTGATCAACTTGGCTTATTAGATTAACTTCATTAAAGAAATGATCAACCCATTGCTTTGTGTTGAAGAACAGTCTCTTTACTGCAACAGTCTTACCATTACTAAGAACACCCTATTCCACACACAAAAAAAAGAGAGTAAAGAATTAACCAATCAAAGTATAGGAACATCCAAAGAAGTAAATCTAGAAAATGGATGATAAGAACACAACTTACCTTATAGACAGAGCCAGATCCTCCTTGTCCTAGCTTGTTTTTGTCACTAAAATAATCTGTGGCTCTCTCGAGATTCTCATAGGAGAAACAGAGATTAGATTTGTTCGCAAGCATGAATAATGACCCTAGTTGCTTCTTCTCTACATTACATTACACACACACAAAAAAAAGATCAAGATTCAAACTTGAATGACTAATCTTGAAAAGTAAGCTTTTCCTATGACCATAAATTTGAAACATTCAAAGTCACAAACCTCTTTGTTTCTTGGCGTGTCTCTTTTTAAACAAGAAACCAACTGCAGAGACCAAAAGAACAAAAGCTACCACTGAAGATGTCACCGCCAAAATCACACCCAAATGGTTATGACCTGATCAACACAACCAATTGCTAAATCAATGCCACAATTTTGTTACAAACATATACTGCATTTAAACCAAACTTCAAGCTTATTGTACTTACCACCATTACCATCAGATGTAGAATTTCCAGAATTGTTATAAAACTTCTGAGTAGAAAACCTCAAATAACAACCAACGCCAAGAAATCGACCTTCTTCATTAACCAAACAAGAACCAATCCCCACTGAAGCTTTACTCAAACACTGACCACACCCACTACGATTAAGAGTCTCCCAACACTGAGCCAGACCATGAACCGTCACGTTCTGTCTATTCACAAAACCAGCATAGAATCCACCATTTCTCACCGCCTCCACTCTCATGTTCCTCACCAGCTCTGCAGCGTTAGCCCGAAACACTGTCCGGTTAACTCCGGTTATCTCCTTTGGAGCACATTTTGACTCGTCTTGCAAGCTTACCGTCTCATTAAAGAAACTGTAATCATCATACCTAACAAGGATAACCAAATAACAGAAATCAATCAAACCAAAAAAAAAGCTGAGATTTTTATGCGATTGAAACGAGTATCAGAGAGAATCAAACCTGATGTAGCAACCATCAGAGAAGACTTGACCACCACGAGTACCTCTTTGGAAAGGTAAGCAAAGAGGAACCTTAGCTTTGATCTGAGCGAAACACAAGTCACAATCTTTCTTATCAAGATCCTTTATACACTCTCCGTAAGCGTAGACGGTTTGGTTCGCGGTGACGTTCCTGTTGACCACTTGGCCGTAACCTCGAGCTTCCACAAGTGGAGAGACGGCGTCCATGGCGGCGAGGAAAGTGCCGACGAAGAGAGTTCTCTGTTGTAGCGGCGTTGTTCTGTTGCTGCATACCCGAGACACTGTTTCTCCTCTCGAGTCTGACACACAAGGGTTTATAAACAAACCCAGAAGAAGAAGAAGAAGAAGAAGACAAAGAGTGAGACTTGACATCTGGGTTTAGTGTTTTAAGCTTTCGAAATTGAACAAGAGAGCATTTGTGTTAAGGTTTTTTTGATCTTTTGCTCTGTTTTTTTTTTCTCTTTGAACAGATTGTTTTGGTGATAGAGAAACAAAGAAGAAGGAGGCAATATCAGATCAGAGAAGTTGAAAATGAGAAATCTTCGATTTCGGTTGTTGGGTCAAACACAAGAAGAAAGTTTACAATTTTTTTTCCAATTGTAAGAGAAGTCAAAGTGAGACTTTTGTCTCTTTATGATTCTCAACGAAAGATAACGATCGCGTTTGCGGGCAGAGGAAAAAGCGCAAACGACGCCGTGTGGGAGTTATGTTCTGTTTTTAATGCAAGGGCGATGACGTCATCGCTTGTGTCACCTTTTTCGTTTTGTTATTTGTATGTTATGTTTTGCCACCCACACTGCTTATGCGAAACACACAAATAAAATTTAAAGGTTTCTGTTATAATATAGTTGGCTGAAGTAGGCTTCGTGATTAGCTTATCACCATAGCATCTAAAAAAATATGGGAGAAGAAGAAATTAGGAGAATGCATAGAGGTAGAGGTATATGGAAACTGTAAGAAGTAAGCTTATTTGGACCATAACTTACACTCACGTAGTTTGTAAATTTGGGGTTATCTCCAATTTAGAAATAACTCAAAACTTTATCATAATGAGCATATATGTCAGTACTGATTCCAATTCGGTTTTTCGAATTTAGATATTTATCCGTACATTGTTTTTGTTTTATTAGAAAATCCATAAAATCTCGAAAACAATGTCTCATGAGAAGTCCATTAGCCCATGTAAATAAGATATTAGAAAAAAACGGAATTCATATAAATTTGTTTCTAGAACATCAATATAAAATAAGAGAGCTTTGAGAAACTATTGTCTTTCTGCATTTATGAAACTAAATCTAAAATCATTGTGTTCATAGTGACAATCTAAAGCTATTACTTGCATAATAAACTTCTAATGAACTATTTCATTTAAGCTCATTTAAGAGTAAAAAATCTTCTTGCTTTGGATTTGTTTACAGTTTTTCAAAAACGTTATTTGTGTAGTTATTGGAGGAGTAAACAAAAGCAGCATCGTAGATAATGGACGTAAGTAAGCTCTCTCGTCTGCCGTATTGAGAAGGTCGTCGTCTCTAAGTCAAAGCAAATTCAATCATTCTCTCTTTTTTTTTTTTTTTTTAATTCTTTCTCCACCACTATCCATCGACCCATCTTTTTCAACCCTTGATTCAACTAAATTTGCCGCACATTCTGAATTCCTTATATTTTCTGATAATGACATCTTCATGTCTATCATGGCATTATGGAAAATTACGTTTTTTGGATGTATATTAGCTGTGTATTAATTAGAAGAAAATAATTGTTTTCAATATGTTTACTGAAATATGTATATACATGTGGATATGATCATCTGTAAATGAAATTAAAAAAATGGTCTAAACAAGTGTTAGTTTTTATCAGAAAAAAAGGAATATAATATCTCCAAAGTTATCCATCAAATTACAAAATCTAATCGCAAGTCCGTGACAAATCCAACTCAAGATCGTTTGACAAAATGGAAGTACACACGGTTTGTGAAATTATTGGTAGCAGGATAATTGAGGAAACTTGTCGGCGTTTTCTTATATAATAGAACTAGAAACTGGTGGGTTCCCCCAAATGGTCGACGTCTAGAAACAAAGCGACCAACTAGTGACTATCAAAGTCAGCGTCAACTCCAAATATTCAAAGAGCCATTGCTCATCGTATTAATAGCGTATCATTCAATCCTTGTCTTGTTGCACAAACATGATCCTTACTATATAGTCATGTCATTGTCCGGAGATTAAACTCCTTATCTTTTGAATACAAGATACCGTGTTGTGTTTTGTTCTTTTTGTTTACTGATGAAATGAAATGATGCATTTTGGGTCATTTTTCTTCGGCCAAACGAAATGAATAATTACGAGCTTGTTCTACACGGCAGTAAGTTTCAAGATATTGAAATTTGTTGGCAACTACAAAAGATCGAGCATTGACTTACGTTTTTGGTGTGTGTACACTGGCCCCTGGCCACTAATCGCGCCGTCGCTATATCCATAACTACCACAATTACTTCTTTGACATAAATGACTTAAATGAAACAATATTTAAATCATTTTCAAATTGCAGCAATAAATAATACTAATTAATAACCCTAAACTTCCTAAGTTTTTCCAAAACGAGACTCAGTTTCATAGTCAAAAGATATAGCTAAAAGTAAGTAACGAATTAAAAGATTACTTAACCTTACTTCTTGTTTAAGGGACAAATAAAGTATAACATCAGTAACATCATTAGTCCAGCCCACAAGAAAACCAGGTTTGAAAATTGCTACACAAGAACCTTCTGCTTCTGCATTATCTTTTATTAAATGGCCTTAATTAGAGACATTGTCAACGCAGAAAGAAAGAAGCCCAAATCAGTATGATTGGGAATCAAACATAAGGCCATTTTGTAAGTTGATTAAGCCATGAGGCCATATGAATTGGTATTTATAATTTGCATTTCCTCATAACAAAGCAAAAAGGAAATAAAATAGAAAACAATCATCATTAGACCTAATTAACCAAGGAACTAAATTTGACATGTCTCTCTAAATCACTGGTGAGAAATGATTTCAACTCTTTTTCTTCAAAAATACTTACTAAAATTACCCATTTTCTTTTATCATATATACATTTATATATAAATAACCAAACCCCTCTCTTCGTTCAAATAATCAGCAATCGGTGTTCAAACACCCCACAAAAAAAAAACATATTACAATGTCTACAAATCTCCACCTTGCGACCGCGGTGGTAGTCCTCCTCCTCCTGACTGCGAGCCAAAGCGGCGTAGCGGCTCGGCGGGTTACTCGAGGTGGGCGTGATCCGTGCTCCGTGTCAGATTTCAAGGTGTTGTGCAGATCAGTGGTGAAAGGACAAAAGAACGTTAACGCAGCGACGGAGGTGTCCATAAGAGAGCTGATGAAAAGAACGATCAAGGCGAAAGAAGCTGCCAAGATTGGTCGGAAAAGTGGCGGAGGACTCAAGACTTGCTACTCAAACTACGACAGTGCGCTTGACAATCTACAAAAAGCGTTAAAGAACATCAAACAGAATGATGGGTTTAGTCTTAACATCAATCTTAGTGCTTCCTTGACGGACTTTGATACGTGCAATGACGCCATGGCTGGTGGTAAAGGTTCCAATGTCTTTGCCAAATCCACAAGCACGTTGCATGAAATGGCTGATAATTGCTTGGCTCTCTCTACCCTCGTCAAACAATAATAATAAAAGCCAAAATGTAATTATTTTAAATTGAACAGACAAAACAAAGAAAAGAAGGAATACAGTTTGATCTTACAGTAGATGTTTTTGGTTACCTCTTGTGTACAGTTTCGGAATGTTTTGATCGTTGTATTGTGTGATTAAGAGAGGTTTCTAACCAATATATTGTTCTGTTCTTCTCACCGTATAAAGCCCAATATAGCAAATTTAAGGCCCATATAAAGCCCAATTAAGCAAATCTCATGCCCTTTTTTGTCATATGATAAACGACAGTCACATATGCAGGCATTAATCATCATGTGCATCATGATGATGTATCAGTCATAATGTGTATGGTCCGAACAAAGAAAATGTACAAATAATCACGCCGCTTTGTGAAACACCTTGTTTGTAAAATGATGAGTAATCATAGTCTAATGCCGAATCGTATAGTATATAAAAAAGTCACAGAATCGTACAGTATAAATATAAATATGCGACGGTACTTCAATGAGATGAGATCTTTTAGCTAAGTAATAAGAAGAAAAATAAAGAATGTAACCTCGTGGAAGAGAAAAGCTGAGCATGGGACGGCTTTAGACAGCATCATTACTCGTACATCAAATTGTTGTATCCTACTTTTGTTTCAATATTCCTCTTTTTCTTCACTTTTTTTTTTCACATTCTTTTCTCTATCTTCTTTTGGTTAAAAAGATACTAGGCTATTATAGAACAGATTTAAATGACATATTCAAGTTTTCATTATTTGTATTCGTTCACACAGAAATAGGAATGGGAATGTAGATGGTGTAGTGGAATTTATGATGAGGAATTTGGCCATGTTGAATTATATGCCTAGTTTTCTGGAGTATGAGAACGACAATATCATGTTACATAGACTTTATTTCTATCAGGGTATTTTTGAATATGCATTGGTTACTAGAATTATAATATCTACTCAGTTAACTGGTATTCTTATGTTCCTAATTAATCCAAGTTTTAGAGAAAAACAATGTTTAAAAAATATATGTTTGCTTTTTTTATATTAATTATTGTCTTATTGATGATGAATTGTAAACTTCAAGAAAATTGATTAAATACTAGTATTTGTTTTTAATTATAAAAAGATGTTAATTAAAAAAATGATGCATTACTAATCAAATGTTAATAGGTGTATTTTTTTTTAAAAAAAATGATTAAATAGTAATAAGTAATTAACTCTGTTATTGTTGTTAGAAACTCATCAATTTGATACGTGTTAGAATCTGAATTCTTGGACGTTTCAGCACACATGTAAATGGAGTAATCTAAACATTTTGTTTCTCTAACCTTTCTGCTCAAAAACTTAATCCTACGTATACATTTATATAGTTCTACAGACAAACATTACGTCAAAAACAGGTAAGCATAAAAAGCTAAACTAAATGTGAACAGATAGTTTTGTAGTCTCTCGGATTAGCTAGTGGTCTACTAATGCAAATATGTAGTGATTCATTTTTTCAATTAGTGGTCGTAATAATTCTACCTCATGAGTCATGATTTAGAGATTCACATATTTTATAGAGAAGACCTTTTTAATACTGCTCCAATGAGAGCCACCAAAGCTATTGCCCTCTGATGCCATTCTTTTTGTTGACAGGAATCAAATTCTCCCACTTTATAGAGAAGACCTTTTTTGTATATACATTCTCTTCAATTATTCGAATTAGTTGTTGTTTTTTTTACCGTCTTACCACTTCTGGTTCGATCGATCCTCCCGTGTGTATAGATAGATGCATGCATATAAAAATATAAGATAGAACTGTTATAGACCACACACATCATCTGGTATATATGGATCGGATTCTTCAATACTTTCTATAATACAAGTACGTACGTATGCGTCTTTACATACGTATTCATGTATACGTGCACACATGCGTATGACCCCAACCATTAAACCCTTTGGATTAATCAGTTTATAGGATTTTGGGTTTAAAACTTTAAGCAAGTTGGAATTGAACCGCATCATCCAAAATAAATAGGATTTGCTTGATCTTCTTTGATAATAGGATTTGTAAAACTTTATATCTTTTACTACTTTGGGTTAAAAACTTTAAGTGAATTGGACCTAAACCGCATTATCCAAACTCATGCTTCAGGTTAATTAGTTATTTAGTTAAATTATTAAAATCATGCTGCTGTGCCAAACTCAGTCATAATTTTCTTTTCTTTTTTGCCATTCAATCATAAGTCCTATCTGGTCAACTCTGCTTCTGTGTGTTGAGTATAGTTAATCAAAAATTAAAAAGAAAACAGTATGGTAGTATAAGACTAAAAAAAAATCTCAAAAGAGACAAAAACATTTTTGTAATATAGTGATTATTTGAAAGAACTGAAAAATTAAAATGTGAGGGGATCAAAAGCTAGAGGAGAGCGATTACACAGTAAGAAGAAATAGACTAACAAATGATCATCAATGTGTATCAGTGTATGTGTCCCTACGAGGACCGCACCCACTTAACTCCGCAACTTCAATACCTATTGACCCTCTTTTTCTTCTAAGTGACCCACTTCTAATTATGATCTCAATATTGGTTCGTATATTGTAGTTGCGAGGTAGTGCAAAACATGTTACTATAGTATAGTTTTTAGATATACGAAGAAAAATATAATGTCACTATGGAATCATATACCCTAAGGTCAAGATATATAGATACAAGTATGAGTATGCATCATAATGCATGCTTGGTTAAATCACTCCTATGTTTCTTGAGAGACAATATGATTATACTTTAAAAAGAGAGACACTCTCGAGCCTCGACAATTATATTTCACAACTCGTACTATGCTATTGTAATGTTTTTATTTTATTTCTTTCTCAATAAACTTGTTTTGTTTTTCCGCGAATTCATGTATACATAGTTTTATAATATTTTATATCACCGGTTGCTCAAGGCTTCAATCCAACGATAATATATATTTTATAAATAGTTAATTTGTTGTATATTATTTTTCCAGCTTGGAGAGAATATTATTAGCAAAATCTGGTCTCTAATTTAAGAGATTACGTACCGTAAACGTAAACTCGAGACTTGTATATATAGAAAAATTAATAAATACGTTTGTTAGAAATACCAAGAGATTCCATAAATAAACACTTCATTGTTCTACAAGCAACGACATTGTGGAATAAATATTGTTAGCTGCGTCGTAGTTTCTTGTATGTAACAACATGGAACATGAATTTAACTTGTACAGTACTCTACATTAACTGTGGAAAATACACACACACAAAAAAAAAAAAAGGGCTTGGAAAGAGAGAGTGACACCAAGAAAGCAAAGAGCTTTGAGGAAACCCAAATTCAAAGGTACTCAATTTCATCTGACTAGCCTCTGACCCCTTTCTTTAAACTAAAGAATGATCACACCAAATCCAAATCCCCCACTATATATTAACCTTCTCACATATATATAAAGTTTACTACTCTTTATCTCTCTCTCACTCTCTACTCTGTTATCATTTACTACTACTTAAACTTTCTAGAAATCTGCAAAACCCTTAATTTTGAACTCATCACTAACCCTGTATTTATATCACCTCTTATGTTACCCACATGCCCAAAACTTTAGCAACACACAACCCTAATAAATTGTTGTTGATGAGTTGATACATTCTTTATTGTTTTTGTTGATCTTTCTGGGTTTCCTTTAAAGAAAGTGATTATGTGTTTAATGGGTTTGTTGGGAGATGTGTCAGTAACATCAAGAAGACGAACAACAATTCAAAACCGTATTAAATGTTGTCTTTTTGATCACTCAAGAAGAAAACAACAAGACAGCAGATGTTTTCATCATTCTTCTTCTTCTTCTTCTCCACACCAAGAAGCTTCGTTCAAGTCCGATACGATGTTCTTCTCCTCTAGCGTTCTCAGATTAATTCTCTTACTCTGTCTCTTCTCCTTCTCCACCGCTTCTTCCTCCGATTCCACTTCCGCCGAGCAAACTCTCCGGCCGCAAGAGGAGATTCAGAAGCTGAAACTGATTAGAGAAGAGCTCAAAAAGATCAACAAACCTGCTGTTAAAACCGTTCAGGCAATTTCTCTATTCCTCAAGTTTTCAATCTCTTTGTTGACGTTATTAGTCTCTTCTCACTCTGTTTTTGCTCTGTTTTTACTCTGTTTTGTTAGTTAACCGACATGCAAACTCTGTTCTTACTCTGTTTCTTCTCTCTATGTCTTTATGTTTGCAGAGCTCAGATGGAGATACAATAGACTGTGTTTCGACTCATCAGCAACCAGCTTTTGATCATCCTCTCTTAAAAGGACAGAGACCAGTGGTAAAATTCTACATTCCCTCATCATCTTCAAAGTTTTCGGTTTTTATTAGTATTATTCTTATCAAAGTTTTCGAAATTTTCTTGTGTTAGGATCCTCCTGAGATCCCAAAAGGGTTTAGCAAAGAAGAGGAATCGTATGAAGAAGATTCACAGCTGTGGAGTTTATCAGGGGAGTCTTGTCCGGAAGGTACGATTCCGATAAGAAGAACAACGGAACAAGACATGTTAAGAGCAAGTTCTGCCGGTAGATTTGGTCGGAAATTAAGGCGTGCTAGGAGAGATTCCACTAGTAACGGACACGAAGTAAGTACACCATTTTAATACTAATTAAGCAAAAAAGTCAAGAGGTTTCTTACCTTTTTTTATATCCTATCCTCTCTATAAAGATAAAGATAGAGAATGATACCAAAAATCAGCTTTTTCGTAATTCTTCTTTGCACGACCATAACACTTAACTAGTTGTATGCAAAGGAGTGAAGCGTGACATAACAAAACCAAAAAGATTATTCTCTGCTCAATCGTGAAAAAAGATTATTCTCTGTTACTTTTTTTTCTCTTTTTCTGTGTTTAAGAAAATGATACTCCAAATTTAGCATTTGAGAATTAATTCGACTGATCAATGATAAGAAAAACAAATGAAATTTTTGTAGCATGCGGTGGGATATGTAACCGGGAGACAATACTACGGAGCCAAAGCGAGTATAAACGTGTGGTCGCCACGTGTGACCAGCCAATACGAATTTAGTCTTTCTCAGATTTGGGTTATTGCTGGTTCGTTCACACACGATCTTAATACTATTGAAGCCGGTTGGCAAATTAGCCCGGAGTTGTATGGCGACACTTTCCCAAGATTCTTCACTTATTGGACGGTAAATGTTTACTCTAACTATGATAAGTAATTAGTTTCTATTGAATTAACATTTGATTAACAAGGGTAGCGATAGTGAATTTTCAGTCCGACGCATACCGAACAACGGGTTGCTACAATTTGTTGTGTTCCGGTTTCGTGCAAACCAACCGTCGAATCGCGATTGGAGCTGCCATTTCTCCTAGATCTTCGTATAGAGGCAGACAATTCGATATAAGCTTATTAATTTGGAAGGTAATTTTCTCTTCATCATCTCCATATACATATTACAAAGAAATATCTATAGAAACAATAGTTACAACGTAGTCTAACTCCTTTATTTTCATTCATTCATCCACAATTCTGCCATGTTACCTATCAGAATTAATAAACAGTTAGAAGAATTCCACATGGTTCACATCAATGTTTTGTTGGGTCAACCCCTTTGCATACAAAAGTCTTAAATAATTTGATTACGTTTTGAGTCATAACAATAGCAGCAATAATAATGCATGGATTTATTATAATCTTACGTATATATAGGATCCCAAGCACGGTCACTGGTGGCTACAATTCGGGTCGGGTGCTTTAGTTGGATATTGGCCATCGTTTCTATTCACGCATCTAAAGCAACATGGGAGCATGGTCCAGTTCGGGGGAGAGATTGTGAACAACCGACCAGGTGGTTCACACACTTCGACACAAATGGGCAGTGGCCATTTCGCCGGTGAAGGTTTTGGTAAAGCATCTTATTTCAGGAATCTCCAAATCGTTGACTGGGACAATACTCTAATCCCCGCTTCGAATCTAAAGATGCTCGCAGATCATCCCAATTGTTATGATATTAGAGGTGGGACGAATCGTGTGTGGGGTAACTATTTTTACTATGGAGGTCCAGGTAAAAACCCTAGATGTCCATGAACAGGAAGAATCAAGAAAACAAAAAGAAAAAAGGTCATTGATTATTATTATTCTTACATTACATGTAGTGAATTTTGAGACTAAGGGAGATTAGGAATTTTTACATTGCCGCTACGTGTTTTTGCAAATATCATGTAGATTTAAGATTTTCTTTTACCATAACAATATCACCACAAGCGAACAAAATCTTGTTTGTGTGTTTTGGGTTATGTTATAAAATTGATCAGTATAAAGTTTGGTAGTGAATTATACTTTTCTTGGTTGTTTTTTAAAAATGTATAATGGCAATGCATTTATATTGTTTGATTAGTGTTACTAATGTGACCATATTCATGAGAATCAAGTGTTGTTGCTATGTTATGCCGTATTTGTATGGTTCATGGAAACGAAGTTTCACTTTCAATATATATATAGAGTTAAATGCAGAATTAAAATTGTCAGATTTTTTTTTTTTTCATAATTCGTGGACCAAAGTTATATGGAAATATATAATAATTGGTTGTAGCAGAGACCTCATAATTAATTGAGGATGGCTGTAAAATTTCTGACGATTAGATTTGAACATTCATAACTCATAAGTCACAACAACTGTCCATTTATTGAATAAATATTCTGTATATATCAATGAATATTGAAGAAAAGAATTAAGCAAAATAAAATAAAATTTATATGTAAATAATAAGTTTCGTGGGACCAAAAATTAAAATGCCGATTTAATGATGTTCATTAATCACCCCACGTGCCTTCTTTTATCTACTTTCCGATACATAAACATACTGTATTTCTCTCTAAATAGTGTTATTTATATGATTCAGTTCCATAACAACATCTTTTATTAAGTGTTTCTTACTAATTTTTATTTTTTATTGTACTAGTAGTCTAGTACTATTTTCTTTCTAACTGACTGAACTTAAAACAGTTGGTCCAATTCTCAGTTCCAGTTATTTATACCATGTCACACGACTCACACCTCTAAACATTTGTACGGTTTAGGTATGGTTGGTGCGGAAAAAACATTGAGAATAGTATAAATAAGCTTCAAAACTCTCTAAAAAACCATAACATTATTCAGGTTTACATAAAAAAAAAAAAAAAAAAAAAACCATAACATTATTCACATGTAGTAGGGTGTGTAAAATACAAGAAGTGCTGAAACACAATTTTTTTATTTATTTAAAACATGGGCCTAGGCCCAACAATTATAACAGAGGGTAGTCGAATATACGGCCCTGGCCTTTTTGTGAGAAACACTGATTTTTCTATGTAAGCGGCAAATTAGTGTAACGTATTAGTTGTTTCATGTTTGTAATTGGAATCTTGGGATTGGTGAAAACTGAAACGAGGTGCTCGTCTTGCGGAATTCAGCATGTTTAGACATCCTTTAAAAAAAAAAAAACATTTCTTATTTAACAAATATTGATTTGGTTTGATGATATACTAACATAGTTTTTGGTATCAGTTTTTGAGATATTTTCAAATATAAAAACCATTAGTTAAAACAATTTTTCAACGTACTCATTAATTAGGTTTAGCTTTTCTTGTTACAGTTTTGGTTTTGATGATATACTAACCTAGTTTCGTTTTTAACTAGGTTTTGGTGTTACGACTTGTCTTGTTCATATCTTTGATTGATATATAGCTGGTTTAGGCTTCCTAGCCTATACACACAGACAGTGTAGAACCTAACTCTCAGTGAGTTTTTAAAAGTGAAATCTGTGCAATGGTCGGAACTCAGAACCAATCCGAATGAGATAGAGTGCGAATATGATTTGGATTTTTTATAATTTTAACATCGAAAACTTTTAAATCTAATAAAAAGTATAAAATAAAACGACGACAATGAACAAGAACAACGGCGAGTGAAGTGGGAGCGTGAAGCATGCAAACCGACTCATCATGTTCTTTTGTCCTTTATTATTCTCACCGTTACAACTACGTAGGCTCGCCATTTGGCAAACACCATCGAAGAATATATATTTATTACTCACAATTTCGAATATTAACAAAAAAATAATATGATTAAGGAAGACGAAACTGACGTGATTATCATTTATCACATAGTCGACAATTTTTAAAGTCAACCTAATTAAATAACTTACTAGTAGCTTTCCTCTTCCCTTCAATTATAGGCAAGGCGAAATAATCATATCGAACCTTTCCACGTGATACATCACGACCCTGAAATACATACCTTAAACAGTTAGATTTTTTTTAAAAAAAATAGACGAGTTTTAGTGTAATATGCACACTTTTCTCAAGTATGTCAATGTCATAATGGTTTTATCATTAAGATAGTAATCTCGTTAATAAAGTATGGACAAAGTCTTATGTAATTCATACAATGTTGCATCATGACTATGTCAACAGTTGATTTCCATAAACTAAAATGAAGTTAAGAAAAAGAAAAAGTAGCCTCTCTTTTTTGTCAACCATTGACAAAGCCTTTTAGATAGTTCCTTTTTATAGTGTAGTAAAGATATATTGCTTCACTTTGGACGCAATTTCTACAAATGTATTGTTGTAACAAGTAGCTAGTATATTATTTTTTTTCATGCGATCAAAAGTATCAAATTCTACCTTTGTATATTTTTAGTATTAACTTTTCAATAGTTATTTATTATTGGTAGTACAGTTTTGTATATATTAAGACATTGTGTTCGATTTATAGATACCCATATTGTTTTACAAGAGCAAAACTCAACCACAACAATTCTAATTTGTAAAGTGGTATATATATAAACTATCATTGGATGCATAGTCATCATCATTGTGTGGGACTCTTTTGTGCATAACATATCAATACTTGGTCCCATGAATCAGAATGATTAATTGACTATGGATGAAACGACTTGTATCACCCTTACACAATTTTTTAAAAAATTTAGATTTCTTAGAAACGTGGCTTAACTAATCTCAAAACTTAGTTAAAAGAAATTGTCATATTCTTTAAATATTGCCTAATCTTTTTTATTCCATCTACGGAATTTTTGGACTCTCATATGATAGGATACATAATTAATTGATGTATCATGTCCCACTCGCTTTTGTTTCTCGGAATGAAACGATAAAATTTCATGATATTTTGCTGGCTTTTAAAATAATATCAACGGATTTGTTAGTCTCTAAATTGAGGGGGGTATGAGTGAATGAGATAGTTTGCCCCAAAAAATAAAGAAACAATGAATGAGATGATAGTGTTGAAATAGGTCCATCTAGGAAAATGATATGTGATGATGAAGTGCTATGGGAATGGAGAACTAAATGTTTTTAAATTGAAATGGCTTGTGACTTCATCATTTCCCCCAGACTCTCCCTACGTACGCTTTCCAACTTGGTGGTCTCAATAGTACTTTTGTTAATTGTTACTTTGTTTAGTGTGGTACTGTGTTTTGTTTTCTTCATGAAAAGATATCCATGCTTGATGAAATTGTGGTATATGAATCATTTTCGTAGGAGTTTGGTGCTTATGAAACTTTAAAAATAATAATAAAAAATAATAAATAACGTCTACCGAATACTGAAAAAATCCAAACAAACAAAAATACAATGAATGAAAAACAAACATAGTTCGAGAAAAAGCAACAATGAATTTATTGACATGTGGAAAAAATTTCAAACGAAAATGAAATATCATACATTTCATATGAAAACAAGTGTGGCTAATGAACAAAGATAATGATAAAGTTTTGTATTAACTCGGAAGATATGCATGTTGTGTCCAATTTCCGTATATACTATTTTCACTAGCTGGTTTTGCAATTTTGGAAAAGCCTCTCTGATGGTATTAGCTGGTTGGATCTTATGTGGACTCAATACTTATATTTCACGAGTTGATTGGTCACTACAAACCTAACAAGATTTTGAGGATGCATATGATCAAACGCAAAGCTGGTTTGCAAAGAAGCCAAAGAAGGAAGTAAAAAGGAGTTTGAATTCTTCTCAAGCATTAACTAGCCTCGGATTTTCTTCACTGATGTTTCTTTTCATTCAATGTAGAGAAGAGAATAAAACCAACGAATTCAAAGAGAGAATCCTCCAAGATTTACTCTCGCCCACTCACGCAATTAATGAAGCTGATTTTGAAAATGAAATCCCAATTTTGGAAGATAACAATTTTGGAAAGGAAAAAATGATAATGGTCTTTGAATGGATATAGATTCTTGTAGTTTTTGGTATTGGGGTTAAATGTGTTAAGACTAACCTAAGTTAAGCACTCTCTTTGAACCAAAGAAAAGAGAGAAAAAAAAAACTAAAGTTATAGTGTGTTCAATTGTATGAGAACACTAAAGCATACAAAGTAGAAGTAAATCATTATTTTTATTGTTTGGTCAGCTAGAACTGTAATTGCATTAGCTGTTCAAAATAAGTCAAATTATTAAAAGATGTAGGATATAAATGAACCCCTAGAATCAAATCAAATTTTATGTTCACTAATTCTAATCTAATTTTTGAATTTGTTAAAACATGCATTTGTTTCAAAAATCAATTTAGAGATTTAAATAGACGACAAACGAAAGATTTTCCGTTATATGGTAGTCATGCGAATGTTGCTTAGCATCCGACAAAAAATATGAAGAATTTTTTTTCTTAAAGTGTTGAGAGTGTCGGCGATTTAAAGATTGCAAACATCATTTTAATTAGAATATTGATGAGTTAAAGAATGCAGACATAATTTTTTAGATGTGGATAAACAAAATAAATGAAACCCAATAATCAAATCAAATTTTATGTTCATAAACTCTCTTATAGTTCGAGAATTTATTAAAACATACACTTATTCTGAAATCTATTTAGATATTTACGAAGACGACAAATGCAATATTTTCCGTTATCTGGTAGACATGAAAATGTTATTTAGCATCCGACAAAAATGATATAGACAGATTTTTAAAAGTATCGAGACGATTTTAAAATTGAATACATTCCGTTATCTGGTAGACATGAAAATGTTATTTAGCATCCGACAAAAATAATAAAGACAGATTTTTAAAAGTATCGAGACGATTTTAAAATTGAATACATTATCTTAATTTGATGCGAATAACGATATTTAAATGAAATAGGCATAACTATATCTGATGAAATACTAAATTGTCAAAATAAAAATTCCTAATTCCATAAACAAAATTTAAAATTTATATCCATTGAAATTAAAAAATTTTACAAAAATTTAAAGAATAGCATGTGTTTTTAACTCATGGTAGTTTTTGTTAGTTATGTGGTAATTCCTTACCATTTTGTTGTTCTTTGTTAAATATTGCGTGGCACTTATAGCTATTTATTGGCTATTTTGTTTATTTTAGAGTAATTATATTAAGAAAAAGTGCTATACTATTATTGACCTTATAAAGTAAATATAT